CGATATTTAAGATTAGAAATTAAGTATATATATATATCCTTAATGAATCACACTTTTATTTTTAGCATAGATAAATTAATTACATATATATAATATAATTTACCTTAAGTCTTATTAAGATGCAAAGTAATGACATAAAACTCAAATGTTCAGTTTCAAATCATGATGCTCTTGTATAATTAGTGTGTTTTGAACCAGATTGCAAGGCATTTAGATTCTTTTGTATTTAGTGTTAAAAAGATGGAATTCATCAAAATCATGTCCAAATGTGTTTTGAAATACCTAAATTGTTTGAATACGCATAAAAGGTTGGAAAAGAATGTGATGATCTTCTAGAGATAGTGAATAAATAATGGAAATCAATCAAATATTAATTTTAAACATTGATTGAAGGAATCAAGAAAAAATACATCATCTCAAATACATTTTTGATTTAGCTTAATTATTCATAGTTAAATTAAACCTTAGAAGATTTGATTAATTTTCAATCATAAAACTCTTTTATTAAGAATACAATTTAAAACACTTTATTTGATTTTATTGAAAAAATAGAAAAACTGGAGCAAGAAATTAAACTACATGAAAAACCACTTTCTTTTCATATATCTAAATAGGAAATAGAGAAATCATAAGAATTATTTTATAAAGGTATCATAAATTTAATAATTTAGGATATGAATTATATTAAGATAATGACAAGTATGATGAAGCCATCATCATATTAGATCAAGCAATCAATTTAAATCCAAATAACTATCAGGCTATCTGGTGTAAAGGTATTAAAATTATATATTATTAGCTGCAAGTTTAAGAATGCTTGGCTAATATAAAAAAGCTATTATTTGGGCTGACAAAGCTTTATTATTAGATCCAAAACATAATTTTTCACTTTATTGTAAAGGTAGAAATTTATTTCTATATTTTAGCTGCATGTTTAAGAATGTTGGATCAATATGAAGAAGCAATTATTTGGGCCAATAAAGCATTAGCTATAGATTCTTAAGATTGTTTTGCTTTATCATGTAAAGGTATTTAATTTTAAATACTAAAGGATCTTCACTACGATTGTTGAAAAGGTTCAACGAAGCAATTAAAGTTATTAATGCATCATTAACTATTAATCCAAATCATTTTGATTCATTAAAGGAGAAAGGTTTTCTTAAAGATTATGCATATATTAGGTGCATGTTTACATGATGAACATCAATATCAATAAGCAATGTTATTCTACGAATAGGCTTTGAGGATTTTTCCAGGTGACCAATGGACCAAAGATAGATTAGGTATTGATTCGAAATATTTCAAGATAAATGTTTGCAAGCTCTAAAACCAAAGTAAAAATGATTCCCTTTCATGAGTTATTAATCCACATTTGAAAGTTATAATTTAATTATCTATTACTGTAATAAATCAAAATAAACGGTCGCAGTAGATGCTTTAAGATCCTTTTAATCTTCTATGTTTTACTCAAGCAGCAAAGCTTGAGTAAATACCAATAAGATCTCGTTATAAAATATTATGTATTAATTAAATCTTATACAATAGGATTTACCAAAACATAAATATACTAAAGAGCAATTCATAAATATTTAATTCGTTAAGTAGGATGAATTTACAACTTTTGAATAATCCTTTCTTATATTATTTTTGCCCAAAGAAGCCAAAATTAATGTTTGAAAAATTTGGAAGTCATTATTATATACCATACAAGGGAATGTTCCAAACAAACATTATTCTTTAAATGCAATTTGAGAGTAAAGGTATAAATTTAAACTCCATTAACAATTTTATTTATCATAAATTTTATGTTGATTTTAATTATGTTTGCAATTAGCCTCTTCTAATAACTGGCTGATATCATAATCATGTTCAACCCTTTATAATCCTGCTATATTTCAACACAAAAGTTGCCCTGTAAATCCCATCAAATTTGCTCGACTCAGGTCAGGGAATTCAAGAATAGATAAGAAATTTATGGAAAAAGTTGTTAAACTGAAGTAATAGTTGATATTTTTTGATGATACTTCAAGCAGCAATGCAGCTCTATTAAAAATTAATCATATAACTCCATCTATATTATAAATATTGTATCAAAGCAGCTAAAAATTAACAAATTTAACTCAAAATGCAGCAGGAATATATGAAAGCACAAGAATCTCTAGATTTTTTGACTATTGTTGATAGTATTTAATGTTGTTTTCTAACTTTACATCTTAGGTTTAATAATAATAATAATTCAATATCCCTCCAGAGCTAGAATATAAAAACGAGGATTGATGTACGAAATTTGTTTGTCTATGTCAAATATTATTTACCAACTTGCTTGAGTTGTTTAAGTTCAAATAGCTATTTAACTTGCTCTTATGGTATTCTATTGACGGATGGATCTTGCAATTGCGATCCTCTTCATTAATTTCCTAAACTGGAATTGGATGCAGACAAGAATGTGAAAGAGATTATTTTATAGCAAGATCAGATGATATTTGTGTTTCAGAAGGAAGGATTAAATCGAATGTTTGATTTTTGAAACTCCAACTTTTAATTTATCTAAGATTATTAATAATTTAGAAGTACTCCATTATTGATTTACTCTTGTAATTTTAATAGTTACGTTGGAAGTTTACTTTATAATGAGGGAATGAGTTTAAAATTCGCAAATTCACAATCATTAACATTTATTAGACTCAGAATTACATTTTACATCAAAGACTTTTTGACTGATAATTGAATATAAATAAAACTTGATAAGGTGAAATAATCAAAACATAAACAGATTATAATTTTATAAAATCAGAAAGGTTTCAAGTTTTACATGCTCTACTCATGATTTAATTAGAATTGAAGTAATTCTTCGAACTTACTCTCTTAAACCAAGACTTTTGTTAAAAGGATCTTAAATAACCTAAGCAACTTCAATCTGGGGATTTAAAAACATCACAATTGATAGTGGCAATTGCAAAGAAAATTGTTTAGTGTGTGCAGATTTCTCCACATATCAACAATGCCTGGTTGGCTAAATTTTATATAAAATGGATGTGTTAGTTCTTGTCCTGCCTATTCTATTAATTGTGATGATTATGCTATCATACAATGTAACTATATAATTAATTCTTATACTCTCGTTACTTAGCAAAAGGATTTTATAATTTAAATATGACTAATTCAGATATCAACAATTTCTTTGATACAACTATTTCTAATGGTAATAACTTCATGACAGGCTACAAGTTTTCTACATTTCCTACTTAATTCATTTAAGGATGCGGTATGGTATGGAATAATGCTATATATTAAAAACCATGGAGTATATCCAAACCTCACTATGTTGTTACATTTAGATCTAATGTTACATATGGTGATGGATATGGCGGAGTTTTAATCACAAAATTTAAGGTGTAAAATCCGCTGCCTATACAAATCCATTATCAGGTGGTTATAGAAATTATCATTAATTAAAATACAACCTAACCATATATATCTTGAAATTTTACAACCATATACAACTTTATTGGTAGGACTCAAGCAGATATAATAAGATATTTTGAAATCTTTTAGAATACATTCTAATAGTCTACTTTAGATATTGAGTTTCAAAGTACAGGCAAATCCAATAGATATTATAGATAAAGATCATTAGAAGAAATCTTCATTCAGGAAATAATAATAGTTCCTTAAAGATAAGTATATGTAACTGATGAATTTAAAGCTCTAAGGGGAAATTATGGCTTTGACTTACAAAGTGTGTTTTCAGCCTAAATATATTTAGCATCTCTAGCAATATTATTTGGAAGATTTAAAATCTTTTTTTTGCCCTCCTTATATTTTGTGTTGGATGAATAACTTTTATTTCTTAAATGATAATCATCCAGAGCAGAATTTTATCTAAAATATGTTTGAATTGTTTAAAAATTAATTATCTTAACCTTGGTCCCAGATTTTTTGAATAAATATAATTGTGGGTTGTACAATTATTTTTGCATTTTAAGACAGATTCCAAATATTAAATGATGAATCTGTCTTCTTGGGAGGAATTAAAATCATAGATTGCATATTTGAAAAACGCAAATGTACTTGTAATGTATTTATAAATTGAAATATAGTTTTTTATATTATACTAATATCATTAATAGATTGATTGATATTAATAGTTCATTTATTTGGATATAAAAAATTCTAATGTGCTTACTATCAGAAAATTATGATAAAATTTTATAGAGAAGATATATACTGTTTAACAAATTTGATTATTTTTATCAACAAAACAAGATCATTAAATTAGATATAAATATTAAATATAATAATATTCATTTAGATCTTTCATTTATTAAATAACCTGAATATCTACAGTTGCTACTAAATTTAATCGAATAAAACAAGATATTCACCATTTTTTGTTAATGCTCCACACATATCATTAATTCCAAAATCGTGTCTATATATAATTCTAAATTTATCTTATTTCTAATATTTAATTATGTATATTTTATGCTTATGTCTTACTATTATTATTTCGAGTTCTTGATTATAAATTATAGGGAATTAAGAATAATCATTATACTCAATATTCTTATCTAATTAGATTAGAGAGTCCAACTATTCTTCAAATTTTCCATATTATTATGAATATACCTAAATTTTATCTTAATTCTTTCCATAAGATACCCAAAGAAATTTGGAATCATTTATAAATTGCAGTTTCAGTCTATAAATTGATGATTTAATTATTTATAAAGGTTCCCATTTATTATTTGCTCCTTCTTGCCATAATATTATTTCACCAAAAGCACAAGATGCAAATAACGATTCAGATTAATTGAAATTTAATTAGCGCACTTAATTCTCGTATTTATCAATAGAATATCTAAATTTGAGTTCATTATTATTAAGATCTACTTCCCAAAAAGTTAATAATTTATAATATCCTCCTGAAATTAGCTGATCTTCTGATTTATTTAAAATCAAACATAAAACACTATCATTATGTTCTTCAAATGGTTACGAACTTTTTCCATTCATCATTATTGATATATTTCCAACAAATAATAGTTTGATCATCTGATCCAAAAATAAAACTATTAAGTTATTTACTATAGACTAAGCAATTTATATTACCCTAATGTACATTTTAAGTTTGCAATAGTTCTACTTTTTCTTCGTTAAATTTCCATATCCTAATAGCGGATTACTCATTTGAAACCATTATTGATCCAGTTTAATTAAAGACTATTGTTGAACAATTAAGTAATTATTTTTTGAATCATCAATTAACTCAATTCTAAATTACTTATATTTCAATAATTCTTAGTTCTCATCAATAATTTGCTCCTATTAAATAGGATTCAGCTCTGACTATTCTTGAACCAATGTTTCTTAATTAATATTCCATAATTTTATTAATTTTATCCATATTTCTCACTTTTTTAAAATGGTTCAAAATACTTCATCTTTGTAATAATTTTTTCATTTTATTATTAATTTTTACTATTTCATCAATTAGTGGTTAACATGAAAATAAAGTATATCTTTTTCCATTACCTCATAGAAATCATATACTAAATATTTTTATCCTGTTTTCTCTAGGTTTACTATCCACTCTTTAGTGCTATAAATGAAATTATCCAAATATTCAATTACTTTATTTTTCCAGGAATCAATTACATTTTTCATTTTTACAATTGCTTTACAATTAATCTCTATGACACCATTCACCTTGTTTCTCTTTTCCTTCTGATTTTTTGTTATTTGTTCTAGATAGTCATCAAAACTGGAAACTTGGCTCTAATTTGTAAAGCATAATTCACATAATAGCCTTTTATTGTTTTGAATGTTTTTTTCAAGATTAATTTTATAGATTTGAAGATTATGATTCATTGAACACACAAGATCTTTCTAATTTTTTGAATCATTTTAGGTTAAATCATTAATAATCAAATAATTATTAATTAAAAATATACTAAATAAAATATAACTATTTTTACGACTATAAACAATCTGGAGCTGAAATCTTATGAAATATGCATCAAATTATTTAATTAGAAGAAGTTGAATAATTTGATGATGATGATTAATTTGTTAAATTCATTTTTAAATACCTGAAATTTTCAATTGATTTCTTTCTAAATTTCGAAGGATAATTTTATTAAACATTTCGCTATTGAACTATCTCTATAAACAAAAAGTCAATACGAAAATCTTCAGATATTTGTAAAATCAATACAAGTAGAATTCCTAATTTTTTTTAGATTAGTTTCCGGATTTGACAAAATACTAATTCCCTTTAATATTTAGAGAAGCAATTTAATAAGTATTTATAATTAGATCTCTTTATATTATCTGATAGGGATTGAAACTTTTTCATCTATATATTAGAGAATAAATTGAATATAGATATTAGATATTCTAATTAAAAATAAGGCAGCAGAAATAAATCAAAAAACAGATGTTGAATAATAAATACCCTTATATGTTCCATCGAAAAAACTATGTAGGTAATGCATAGATAATATCGACTTTCACAATGATTAAAATATGTGCAAGAGGGGAATATTGGAATTTAAATAACCCTTTTTTACTGAAATGATATTAAAAATTATGTAGAGGTAAATGAAATTTATTAATTCAAATAAAACAATATTATATTTTTTAATTTATTATGAATTGTATTAAATTAAAGATTGAGTTATTTGAATGTATGAAATTTTTATAAAATTCGTTGTTCTAATATTGTAATTAATAAAATATTATATAACAACTAAAAACATCCATTGATGTTTCTAGACTTAGTATTCAATTTTTGTTGCTCTAAACGGCAGAAAGATGATAAAGATACAAAATCTTAAAATAGTAACAAAAGTCAAGAGGAGTAAATAATAGAACAGAAAAGAATGGAGTTGGACCTTGGGAAAGGAGGTTCTAATCAGATATAAAGTAGCAAAATATTGAGTTTTATAAGAATCATAACCGTAATCATCAATAGTATCGCCTACGGACAATTATTTCCAACTGAATGATGAAAAGTAATAAAAAAAGAGTAGTTTCGAAGAAGATAATATCGATGAGAATCAATTTAATTTTGAAGGTAATGAGGAACCAAAATTGAATACTAACAATGTTAAAGATCATTTGGGGAAACGGTAAATAAAAAGAATGTTAAAAAAATAGTTCTAAGTCTTAGGAGAAATAAGAGAAGGGTTTGAAAAAGAAAATCAGCAAGAACAAAGAGAAAGCAGAAGGAGATAAAAGAGTGGTGAAGATTTGGTAACCGGAAGAAGATTAGAGGTTGAGGAAACTCTATCAAGAATATCAAGGAAATTGGAGCAAAATCATATAATTTATGCCAGACAGAAACATTTCTTAATGTTCTTAGAGATGGAGAAGGATAAATCCAATATAAGTGAATTAGTAATTGTATTATAGAGTAAATAAAAGTGGACTTAAGATGAGGATACAAAGTTAGTATCTATGGTTGCAGTAGAAGGCAAAAACTGGACTAAATTAGCTAAGAATTTCCCAGGAAGAACAGGAAAATAAATTCGAGAAAGGTATCTCAATAAATTAGATCCAACTCTTAATTTTGTAGCATGGACAGAATAAGAAGATCAAGAAATAGTGAAATATTACAATTAATATGGTGCTAAGTGGAGTTAGGTTGCCTCACATTTGAAAGGGAGATCGGTATTCATTGTAAATATTTAGGAAAATATGGTGAAGAATAGGTTTTATTCGCATATTCAGAAATATCTCTTGGGTAGATAAAATAAATACTAAATAATTTATAAATAAGGCAAGAATTAAAAATAACAGAATGGCAGTTCATAAATGATTGAAGTAGGTCAGAATATGGATGTTGAATATTCTGACACTTCTAATAGTGATATGAAGTTAGTTCATTCTGAAAATTATTCAGTATTTTTAGTTTTTAATATTTTAGTCTTCCATTGGATCAAGCACATTTACTTTTTCTTATTATGACAATGATGAATTTAGTGGGAATGGAGAGGATCTGGATTATGATAATTAATTTGATCATGAATTCGCCGAAAAAGCAAGATTATTTTGAATTGTTATATTTTTTATCAAATAAAATTATGATTTAGTTGAGACCTTAAATTTCACTAAAAATTGACAAAATCTCTAAAGATGGTATATGCATTAGAATATTCGGTTGGTTTCTATTCTATGTCATTTTGTAGATAATGATGATAAACAATCGAAAAAAATATTTATCCTATGATATTAGATTAAGTAAGTTTGAAGGAGATGCCAATCAAAGTGAAAATAAGAAATTAAATTATACCAACACCACTGGGAAATATACATTTCCTATTCAAAATATAAGCGAAGTGGAATTGAATCTAAATGTTACAATCAATAAAGTATTAAAATCATTTAATCATTCTTAGAATGACTATTACGATTTAGAACATGTTATGGTTAAGGAAGAGGAAATACTTAATGATATGAAGTACTAATTAATAGTGCATTCAGAAGATTAAACTCTCGTGCTCAATGAAACCCACACGACTTCATTGAAATGCAAATCTAAGAGCTAATAAATTTAATGCACTGGCTATCTAGAGTCAATTATCAATAATGGCTATAAGGATCTCCAATTCCAATTACTCATATTCCATCATAATGCATTAGCCATTCACTCTTAAAATTTAACATTGCTATATGAGAACAATCAATATTTCACTATGATTTTGATTTTTTAAGTATCCCTATATTATTACATTTGTAGGTTCTCTTCCTCTTTTTGATTCTGTATGGCATATACTATTTCTTCAGCAATTTGAGTGATTATCCTAGACAAATTTGGCCCAAAATGTATTTACTAATATATACTTAGACATTAATGGCTATTAATATTACTTATAGGAATGATTCTCTACAACTTTCCAATACTACTAATTCGAAATCATTATGGCCAATTTGTTCACTATTACTCGAACTTAGTTGAATTATTCATTTAATCAGGATTATTCTACTTTTGGCTATCCATTTTTGAATTAGAACAAACTTAATCTTCTGAAGAGGATGGACAAACAACTTCTAATTAATTTACTATATGGAATCTATTAAAATTGCTTTTGGTAATGTTGTATACAGTTCCTCAGGCAATAATGGATACATTTATTTTTATAATGCAAGAAGAATTAATGTAGTATGATCCAAGAGTTGAGATTCCATTTTACAGTATTTACTTGAAATTTGTAATTTTAAGTTTAGTTGGATACTCTGTATGTTTTGTATTTCTTTTATATAAATCATTTAATCGACATGAGAAATCAATATTAATAACTGAACCTCCTGTTATTGAAAATGATAAATAACATGATCCATTTTATGAAGGTTAATAAATAAAAGAGTAAGATGGATAAGGAGAGATCAGGAATTATAAATTGTTGCATATTTTATCGACAATTTGCTTTTCAGCTTTAGTTTATTACCAATTAGTTACAATATTGGAACCAATTGTATTAACAAGTTCTAGTACTATAAATGAATGGGCATTGATCAATATATATTTATGCATGATAGTACAATTATACATGCCTTATAATCAGCCATTTGAAGATGAACAACAAAAGTCAATGTATGGAGATGTGGAAATGGATGATTTAAATATGTAATAATTAATTGAATATTTATTATTAGTAAGAGTACTAGGGTTAAACATAAAAATTTAGCCAATAAGAAATTTTATACAAAGTAGAAGGATGAGCAAACAGGTTAAGAGGATGATATTCAAATATGAGTAGATGTATTATATATTGTTATTGCTTAATAAATAAAAATAATGGCAAATCAATTATATGAGGATGATGTTTAAGAGGATGAGGAACTAAAATCATAAATTTTGGGTTTTTTGATTTTCTTCTTAATTTTTGTGGACTTTCCATTATTTTGAATAATAGTCTTTTAATTTTTTGACAAATATTGGTACTATTATTTTTGTTATTCTTCTTCTAATTTGATGATTGTATTAGGGATATACTTCTATTTTTTTTTATTTTTTGCTCTTTATATTAGGTTATCGTCGTCACTGTTATCTGATTATTGACATTATTCAGTTTTAGGTGAATCAAATTCATAGATGTCTAATTGAGCTGATAAGGATGCACATTTATCGTAGAGTTTAGCTAATACTTTATAATATTTTGTTTCGCTCACAACTCTCATAAATTGTAATATTAAATAATTAGATTGGCAATCTAAAATAGAACCTAAATTATTGGAAAATCCTTGTATTTATTGAATTAATAATAAATAATTAATCTGTTATAAAAAGATGAGTAAATGTTCACTTAATATATAGCTAAAATAAATGATAGATGATATTATGAAATATATTATATCTTCATGCTAATAATCCTTGAGTGATTTGATGCATCAACTTTTCTTAGTTTTTTTCATCTGGTACAAAACATACCTTAGTTCCATTACTGCCAGCCAATTGTTATAGTGTTTCTAGATACCTTACTTGCATGGCAGTCTTAGAATCCAAGAATTCAGAAGGCTTATCTCATTAACTTGGCTGACTCAACATCAGCTTTGGCACTTATCAATTTACCTTGGGCCAATCTCTATTCAGTGGCTGCAGAACCTAATGCTTATTAGAGATCAGCAGACAATTGGATGTCCTTCATGTAAATGTTATCAATTAATACACCCCTTAAATTAATATGCTGTATACCAGTCTTTCACATATTCATCAACCTAATCTTCAATCTAATCTGCAACTTCCTACCTTTTCTCAAGCAAATCCTAGAGCACAAAGGATCCCACTGTGTTTTTGAGGACTGCATATGTAATTTATCGGACTGCTTAATCGTAGTTCTCGACTCGATAAATAGCAAACCGCGATGTTTTGATTCTATAATAAACGGATGCATCTATGGAAATAGTTACATTATCTTTGGTCATAACAGACTAAAGAATATGTATTATACATTACTTGTCTATCTAAATCGATAACAGTAATCCTCAAGTCTAGTTATTCTAAGGTGTCTGTACATGGATTGACATAATGTAATCCTGGTCTAACTACTTTGATATGTCTTCCAAATCTTTTGAACAATCCTTCAGTACCTAAAACGTAGATTGGAATTATGAACCTTATTCAACTTCCTGGTATGGATAGTTAACACACATACAAAAAATACAAGGAATCCAGGTTCTTAAACAACCAAAACATTCTCCCAAACAATATTAGCATTTGGCATATGCAATCATTGTTTGATTATCTTAGAATTCTGGAACTTCCAAATGAGCTATCTTTCTTCTTGAATGAGCATTCATATTCAATCTAATTTATTATTATTGAAATCAAATATGAATTATAACCACCATCAAATTGTTGAAAAGTGGTTATCACGATTCAGAAAATGTCTTTCCCTGTGTTATACGAGTGATTAACAAATGATCACTATGGAATTGCATAAAGGAAATGTTTCGTTGCTCAGTGTTCCTTAAAACAAGAATATTTTCAACACACGTAAATATACAGTACGTATACTCATCTATAATCCTTTTATTAGTTCCTCAACTTTCTACCCAAAACAATATTCACAGGTTTAGTCAGATTTGGTAACATCTATCTCCTTGTCATATCATTGATCATGCTCATTGATCCCACTCTTTCCCCCTTCTATATTTGGATCACTATCTTCCCCATAGGACTCAGTGTACTCATTTATGTTTTAATTGAATTCGTACTTGATATTCGTAGGCAAAGTCATGATCATAAAATCAACATGCAAACAACATCAAGAGGAGCCAAAGATGGTTCCATAGAAACTATCAAATGGAGTGATATTCAAATTGGAGATGTTTTATACCTAATTAAAGGAGATATAGTTCCAGCTGACATCATACTCTTAGATACTGGATAAGTAAGAGATCGAGAAGCCATTTGTATGGTAGATACTTAATATTACAATGGCAAATCAAGTCTAACCAAAAAGAAATCGTCCTATCTCACTTAATTGATCGTCTTGAGAACCAGATTAAAGAATTAATTTCCAGAATACAAAAAGATGTTAACTGGAAAATTAGAATACGAAGCCCCTAATGGAGATACACAAAGTTTTTATGCTAGATTGAAATTGAAAAAAGATCCAAAGAACGAAGAATTAACTATAGACAATTTCATTCCCAAAGGAACTAAAATTAAATAGACTTCCTGGTTATTTGGTTTAGTTGTCTATGTTGGCAAAAATACTAAAACTATGCAAAGTAGTCATTATGGAGCACAAAAGGAGAGTTTTGAAGAAAAACAATGCAATTTCTATTCCTTCCTTATGGCATGCTTATCATTATTTTTCACTTTTAATATCTATAATAGTATTATTAGCCAGATCTGATGAAAATAGTTTTGCTTTAATAATTGACAGCTATACAACTAATGGGATGAAAGTATTTTAACTAGCTATATTGTATGCTCAGTTAATCCCAGCTACATTGTATTTATTATTTGACATAGTAAATTTCATATCATTATTTAAATTTGAAATTAATCAAATTGAGGATAACCTAGTCAAGTATGTGAAGATCAATTCATCAAATAATTTATGTGATTTTGGACATGTTGATTATATGTTAATAGATAAAACAGGCACATTAACTACTTCTTATAACAAATTGGATAATTTACAATTTGGTTAATTAGCTTTCAGTTTGAATTATGATCAATTGTAATTGGCATTAAACTAAAAGTACACCAAATAAGACGATATTGAGGAACCCTAAAACATTGTAAGTTTGAATGACAATAATGAATATTTGATACCATTTGAGTATGACAAGAAGACTCATCATACAACAGAAGGTTAATCAAATGGCAAATTGTTACTGAGGAGTGTTAAGACTTCTAATAATAACCCAATATTTAGTTAAATCACTGCTCAACCACAAAATAAAAGGTTGACCTTTCTCAATATGGATGCATAATATTAACAAAGATACCAAGATTATTCGTAAGGAAGAATGTTCTTACCTCAACCAAAACTTCGAAACACTCCTGGAAATAATAATGATGAATTCATGCAATTAGTTAATTAATTAAAAAACAGTTCTCCATAGCATGAGTACTTGTAATCAAAAGACATAAATACATTATATTATGATGCCTTTTTAAAATGTTTGATGTTATGTCACGAAGCTAGACCAGTGTTTGGAGCAGATTCAATTACATATGAGTCATTTTCCAAGAATGAAGAGATATCATTAACATTTGCTCGCTCTTGTGGGTATTAACTAGAGAACTTTAATAAGTTTGATAGTCCAGATATGTATTTATGTAAAGTGGGGGGGAATTAAATTTGGTATTAAATATTAGGATTAAATTTATTTACTTACAATAGAAATTTAAATTCTGTAGTGGTCTAGGTACCTATGACTATGGATTTAGAATTAAGTTACGAACATGAAGCTCTTAATTAACTCTGTGGAGAAGGATCGAAAAATAAATCATTGTTAATTTGTAAGGGAGATTACGACGCAATTAAGTTAAAGTTGTAATTAAATCATAAGGAGAGAGAAGAGTTGGATGCTTATATTCAACATTATAAAGTCAGAGGTATTAGAATGATAGTATATGCAACAAGAGTGCTGAGTGAAAAAGAAACTGTGAATTACAAGGAAAAATTTAATTTGTTGCATAGTTCTCTGACAAATTAGGATAGTTTATTAGAGGAATTGGCTGTGGAATATGAAAAGGAGTTAAATTTATTGGGAATGATAGGATTCAAAGAGGAATTAAAGAGTGATGCTTTAGATTTCATAAGGACTGTTAAAGAGTGCAATATAAACATTTGGTTATTGAGTGGAGATTAAGAAGCATAGACAATTAGTTGTGCTCAGGCTCTAGAGATGACAGAGACTTCCAAATATTTGAGAATTGCAGCAAAAGACAAAGAATAGATATGGTTATAAATAAATACTGCTATAGGATAGATATAAAGTGAATTGTAGAAAATACAAGAAAAGCAATTAATCAAACAATAAGAAAAACAATAATAATTATAAGGAGGTAGAAGCATGATCAAGTCAAGTGTAACATTATTTGAAGGAGCATCATATTAATAAATGTTATAATTTGTATTGGTTGTAAATGGTCAATCTTTATCATTAATAAGTGAATCACCAGATCTAATGAGTCATTTTCGATTCTTGTCATGTGTTTGTAAGAATGTAATTGGATTTAACATGAATCCACAATAGAAAGAATTAGCCTGTATAATCATCAAGGATTACTTTCCAAATAAACCAACAATTCTAGGAGTAGGAGATGGTTACAACGACGCTTTGATGATGTAAGCTTCACATGTCAGCATTGAAATAATCAATAGCAAATTAAATCATATATATCCATAAGTGAATGCTGGAGACATTGGTGTGAATACATTAAAAGAGATAAAAGTGTTATTGTTATAGAAGTGTAAATTGCACTCGGAACGTGTATCTTCTATGATAATATATCTATTTTATTGTGCAGGCTTTTTAGGTATGACACTCTTCTTTTTCAATTGGTTTTGTTAGTTCACTGCTACATCTTTGCATGATTCTATGACTGTATTTTTATTCATATTCTTATACACAACTCCTAATGCTTTGGTTATTGGATTAGCTGATTTACAAACTAATCCTTTGGTAAACAAACGGATTCCTACTTTATATGTGGATGGATAAATCAGAACCAGACGGTTTGGATTCTATTATTTAATTGAGGCATTTTTAGAATCATTTTTATCAGCTGCCTTTACGTTTTATACATGCACTTATATGATCAATTACACATGGACTGATGATGGTCATCAGAGTGATTTATAAATGGTAGCAACCAGTATCATTTATGTCATAATTACAGTATCCACTCTAAAGGTATTATTTAGATTGATCAAACACAAAGTACATATTGTCATTATAGTTTCCTTATTCACTTTTGGATTATTGGTTGGGTTTGTGTTCCTTAATTATAGAGGAAAATTCAGTGATTTTGATTACTTAGAATTGACTTATCAATTATTCACTCGATTTAATAGCATAGTAGCAATAGTCTTTTCTTTATTTGGATGTTTCTTCATTAATTACTTCCTTCATGATTTGATTAAACTCAATTTATTTCCAACTGCCTATTAATAATTTGCATTTTACAACAAAGATGGCACATAATATGATAATTTAACTCACCAACAAATAGTAAATTAATGTTTGGATCAACATGTGTAATTATTCTATTTTAATTTAGTAATGTCTCCACCATCATACAAAATGTGTTTACTGACTGTTCCACCACGTCTCCTTACATTTCTGAAATGCTCAATCCTGGAGATACCAAAGTAACTGAAATGAAACTCAAACCTTTAACTTTGGAAATGAAGGAGTTAGTCCTTGAATAAAAGTTCCTTGCCCACAAATTGTCACAATCGCTCAATCATTTACGGTTCTTCTTATGCGTTTTATTACTCTATTTCATAGCATATTGTTTAACTGATTTCTTCATCAATGATCTTAGAGTATTCACTGGAGTCTATTATTTGATTATCTTTGGAATAGTATTCCTAATGTTATTGTTCACATTCACTTCGATTATGGAATAACAGTATTATACTTATTCACATTTGGCTGTTCTGATCATATTTGCAATCAAAGTTGCAATCGATTGGTTATCGGATGATTTAACTATTACTTTATCTGCAACTTTGGCAATACTATTTAGTACATTTAATACTATGAATATGACAGTCATTCCTATTATGTTATACAATATCTGCTATTTAATACAGTTGATTGTAAGGATATTAGTTATTGTTGTATCTACTGATTTAAGCACTTCAAATGGAACATACACCTAAAGTAGGATATCTGTTTATGCTGCTTGTACCTAAATATTATTGGTGGTCAGTATTACAATTAGATTTTTATTCACTTATTATAAATCAATAAAGCATAGAAGAAATGATTATTTAGCAAAGTATTCAATTGAATAGGACAATATGACTGCATAAGATATTTTGAGTATTCTTGTTCCCAGATTTGTTAGATAATAAATATAAACTGGTATCTATTCGATGCAAGAAGCTCAAGATGATGTTTCAATCTTATTTGCTTACATTTGTGATTTTGATACTATTATGAAAGAGGAAGGCAAGAATGTTGTATTGATGTTGGATTCTCTATTTAGATTATACGATAATTTATGCATTTAACATGGAGTTCAAAAGATAGAAACCGTAGGATACACATACATGGCAGCAACAGGAATCAAGGCTTGTGAGTAGAATATGACTGCTCATGTGATTAGAACAGAGAAAACTATGAGATTGGTCAATATGGCATTTGATATGATGTAATAAGTTTAAGGAAGAAAGTATGGCAAGGGCAATCAGATAGAAATGAAGATAGGAATCCATGTTGGTAGAGTAATTGCAGGTGTGATTGGACATCATAAACCATAGTTTTCATTAATAGGGGATCCAGTGAATCAGACAAGTAGAGTAGGATCTACTGGAGACACTGGAGCAATCACTCTAAGTGAATTAGCTTTTAAATAAGCAAGACATGGAATTAAATATTACTCGAAGAAACAGAAGGAGGCCAAGGGATTAGGAATAATAGATACTTATCAGGTTTTTAAGACTAAACCACCAGGGTATTAAGTACCTAAGGCATTTCTACTTTGGCAGAATTGTACAAAGATTGTCGTAAAGGATCTAAGGTCATAGAAGAGTCTGAGGTAAATAGTACCAAAAAAGGGTCAATTCTTATCCTAACTGTAAAACTCTATTTATGTGGATAATATGAAATAGTCAAATAGACTAGAAATATCTCCAAGAGGTCCTTAAACAGTTTCACTTTTACTGCCACAAAATGCTTCTTAAGAAGTAGATAATAAATCTAAATTAAATTAACCCATTCAACCATTAGAAACTGCATTAACTGATGAATCTGTGTTTATATCAAATGATTAGGATGAGAATGAAAAATTAGATTTAATAAAACCAAATTTAATATTGGAAATACCTGAAAATGAGATCAAGAACAATTTCAATTAAATATTGAAAGAATAGAATTTAGAAGAATCCAAAGTTGGCATTACATTTTTATGGTTCACTTATTTCGTAATCACCTTGCTATCTATAATTGTTCGTAAGCTATTCAAATATGATCTTCTCATCTTTGTATTAAGAGTAATATAATTCAATTATATTTTAGGCAATATTTTTAATCCTGGTAATAGTGTTATTTCCCATTTTATCCAAGGCCTATAGGAATGTAATAGTCAATCTGATGTATTACCTTCTATTGATATATGCTATTTTTACAGTCTTGTTCTAGGCCTACTTGACTGACAATTCGGAAGTGGCTATAATATGTCTTTTGGAAATACTGTATATAATGATTGTGACTTGCTAATTTAAGATGTTCACCTTCTTTTAAGTGATAGTCTACATGTTCATAATGCTAGGCTTTTTCTTGGGCTTTTACATAGCATCAGATTTGGTAACTCATTTTGCCATATTTTACATTTGTTGTTGTATGTTAATTCTGTTATTGGGTTATTATTTGGCTATGAAGGAATAGATTCAAATGTTTAACAATCTGCAAATCAACGAGGATAAGAAAGTAAAATAAATCAATTTGGTGAGTCAATTATTGCCAATGCATTCCTATTTGAAGATGAAGAATAGTTCAATATATGATAAGAGCGATTTCATAGATGAATTTGAAGATGTTACTCTCCTATTCGCAGATATCAAAGGATTCACAGAATATTCTCACACTCAAACTCCAGAAGGAGTCGTAACTATGCTTCGGGATCTATTTACAGAATTCGACAAATTGTGTTAAAAGTATTATGTTTATAAGATGTATACCATTGGTGATTGCTACGTTGTTATGGGATTCACAAACAGTGCCAAAAGAAATGTAAATATCTATATCTTATATTTCATAGCCTATCCAAGAAGCCATCAATACAGTCAAGATGGGATTCTAGATGGTTGATATCATCATGTAAGTGAGACAGAAGATTAAATTTGATAAACTCAATATGAGAATAGGTATTCACACAGGTCAAGTTACAGGAGGGATTATTGGAACTGATATCGTGAGATATGACATTTATGGCAAAGATGTATCGATTGCTAACAAGATGGAAAGCAGTGGAGAAGAAGGTAGAGTGCAGGTTTCATAAACTACTAAACAAATGATTGAGAGAGCAGATAAACATCCTTTTAAATTTAAATTCCATCATGTAAAGATTTCAAACTTATTGTAGGATGTTGATTTAAGCAAGTTTAATATGACCACTAAAGGTTATTTGGTAGAATGGGATAAGATAAAGGAAGAGGCAAGTTTTGAATAATAGTGACACTTACATATTTTAGATTATTATTTTGTTAATCTTTTTAATTATTATAATTACCCTTTCTTATTCCATTTTATTTGAATCCTCCAATCAAATAATTAATCTTTATTTTTATTGTTAAACTTTAAAATTTCTTATTCTTTTATTACATCTGGTAGTCCAATTTGTAAGAATTAGTTCTTAAATTAGAGAGTATATAAAAAACTAGGAGATCTTTAAGAAATCATAGTTAGGTTTGATTTAAATAAATATTGAATAAAAAAACTATAAAAAAAGTCATGCACCAAAGCCATAAAGAGTTCTTCCTTATCTCTTCAATGAGTAAACAACATCCATGACTGTGACTGTCTTTCTTCTTGCATGTTCTGTGTATGTGATGGCATCTCTAACAACATTCTCCAAGAAGCTTTTTAGAACATTTCTTGAGTCATCATAGAGGAATGATGAAATTCTTTTGACTCCTCCTCTTCTTGCTAGTCTTCTGATTGCTGGCTTTGTGATTCCTTCAATTGAAGCCTTATTTGGTTTTCTGGCATGTCTTTTAGCACTGACTTTGCCAATTCCCTTTCCTGATTTTCCTGCCATTTGTGTTATATTATATTGAAAATAATGGAAATAATTATAAGAGGTTGTATATTGTAATTTTAAATCCGAATATTCATAAATCAGCCAATCATAATTTTTGTTTAGAAAAGTTAATTTATATAGGTCTATTTCAATGTTATCATATAAATACTTTCCATCCAATTCGAAACCATTCATGTTGGCCAATACAGTAAGTGCTACTTCGGTGCTTGTATACTTGATAATTGACAAGTATTTGTTTCCAGTTGTCAAAATTCTAAATGTTATTAATAATTACTTAATGGCCTTAATTTATCCAAAATCTTGCATATATTATTACATAACGGAAGCTTAACAAGAATTCTTAGTCAGATTAGAGATTTAGACAGTATCACAAGGGGGAGCAAGAGTGTAAGTGGAATCTGGTTTAATTCGATGTGTCTCTTCACTTCCTTAAAAATATTCCTCTTGAGTTTTTATATCAAAGACGATCTCTCCTGGTTTAGTTGGCTAGGTTTTCAAAGAGATCTCTTCATAATTGGAAAAGAAGATCTGTATAATAGAGATGAATTACTTTGATTGATTATCCATAAAACATGATATCATTGAGAGATTCCTTGGCTATAGCAGCATGTTCTTGTGACACATATTGTATCAAACAACTTGATCTTTCCTTTAAGAATATCATTTTATCAATGTTGCCATAAATGCTAAATATATTATAGAGCATAGCTGATGTTACAACTTTCTTGTCAAACCATCTTGCATAGATTACTTTAGATTTACGAGCATCTATAATTGATTTAATGAATTCATTTACTTTTAAAGGATTAGGATTTAGATTAAAATTGATCAAGTTTTTCTGCCTATTGATAAATGGTCTGACTCTTTGAAGTAGGCTGTTAGTTCGATCTCTAAATAATTTTGCCTTTGCTGATCAATTAATCAATATTGTCAACACTCCTGGAAGATTATTCAATGGTGTTTTTCTGAGTTTATTTCTCCACTACAGCAGCTACTTAATTATCAACTTTATCAAATGACATATCTTAATTCAATTTCTTAAACACTTGTTATCTGTCTTTTTCAGTAAATCCTTGATTTTAATCAACGAATTTGAATAGATCATTATGGATATCCTCATCATCAGATTAAGCATTCAATAATTATTCTTCAAATTAATTGGAATCATCATCAGCTTCATCTTCTGAGTCTCTCAAACCCAAACCATTGAAATTCAATTCTTCAGCCTTATTAACACTTCTGCCATCACTTTAATACATCTTTTGGACTTGTACTTGATCTATTAATTTATCTGAACTATGAAACATAATATCTTTTGTAACATCACTTTCCTGATAACTTTAGATGAACTCAATTTGATCTCCATTTTTAGCTTTCTTATCATTTGGCAATGTTAGTTTCTTTCTATTTGATTTTCCATTCTTACTTGATTCTATGCTGATAGATTTTTGTTCATCTTATTGGTTGAAACCTTATAGAAAATTCTAGTAATTGTCAGTCACATTCTAGAATGTTTATTAATATTCATGGATATCTTTTAAAATTGATTGTTGTTTTTCGATTTAATTTAACAAGTCTGTAGATTACATTAGAGGAGTTGCAAATCCCTCAACACAAACTTACTATAACTACCCCATAAGAGTATTAATTTATTGCATTTGTTGTGACATTTAGTGTTAAAATAACATTTGTGATTGCAGCAATTAGAAGTTTTATTAAGGAACTATCTAAATAGATTTTGAAGATTGAGAAGATTGATTTACTTCATTCGGTGGTGATTATTCTTTCTATTTACACCTTGGTATTGTATAATCTAATAATTTTGGAATAGATAGAATTCATACCAACACCCCACACATTGTTTTCTTAGAAGGATATATAAGTTAGTTTGCTTGCATAGACATTCATTAGTAATGAGGTATCATCACAAAATTATTTGTCATTCATCTACGATCTCGCCTTGAATGCTGATTCTATGTTATCAAACTCAATAAATGTTTTCCAAGTAAGAGATCTCTCGAATATTAGCATCTATTTAAAACCTACTTAAATATATGTACTCTCTGAATAGTGCCGAAAGGACTAAAGACTTTATAATATTTATCATGTGGCAAGGTTTTATTAGCTTTGTTTGTAATAACAACTAAAATCACGTTGGTATTAGGAGGATCAGAATTTCTGTCGATTTAAGAATTCATTTTTAGATTTGGAGATTTATAAATATATTATTTATTTCATTTACTAACAAAAATCTTAAGTTAATAAAACATAGTATAATTATTGTCTACACTTCTTTATTATTCCTTATGCTATTATAATGTATTTAAATTAATTTTATTAATAATGTCCAATAACTCTAAAATATTAATGGGATAATAAATTGATCTCCTAGATGATCTATCCTCTAATATTCAATCCTCTTTCATTAAGATTACAAAACAATAGCATAAATAAGAAGAAGGGACATTTAGCGATTACATTAAATATTTACCATTAAATTAATTTGCTGTTGATAATTAAGATGTTTTCGGAATGAAATACATTAATGATAGATTTGTTCTAAGCTAATTCATTTTCTAATAAAGATATGATGAATAAGAATACTAAGTTAAACTATTGAATAGTTTCTCAGGAACAGAGATACATTAAGAATAATATCGAAATGCTATTTTTGAGTTTTCAATGAATGATAATTATGCTCTTTTATTAAGTAACTGTTTTCATATGATCAATAGTAAAATAATAGTCCAAAACCAATAACATTCAAAGTGAATAGTAATCAGCCCTATTGATTAAGGAAGTGTTTACAGGCACTATTCAAGATGACACATTATATTTAAACTAAATAACAAATATCAATATCTGTAAGTAAGTGGCATTTCATCCATTAAATTCCAATTATCTCGTAATTCTATAAGCATCTCAGGATGGGAATAGATCGCACACATATCAAAAGTACTATATATTTAAATTGTCTAGAGATTAGTTTTTCTTAGTCTTTGAAATGAAGGATCTTAAATAACCTATAGTAAGAATCAATTTGAATTCTGCTATGAATGGAAATGTGTAAGCCTTTTGTTTATCCTTACCAGAAGACAATAATTCATTTCTCATTTACTTTGTTAATAACTTAGGAATCGTCTATTATTATGAATTGATCCTTCCTGACATGGCTTTTAAATTGTAAACTAAAATGTATTTACAGACATCTAAACAAGAATTAATTCAATTTGTTAAAGAGAAAAATGAAAAAGAATTTACTATCAATTATAAAATGACTACTCAAGATGATTATCAAATGGAGAATATCAGATTTAAATCTTTCTAAAATTAAAACTACTAATTGCCTAAAAATACTTTTGTTTTATTTAAAAAAGTACCTATTGTTGAATATTATTTATTCATTTTTGTCTCTAAATAATTAAATAATAATTTGACTATTCAAGTACTTATTGGAAGAGATTTAAACAAACTTTATGAAATATATAACGATGAAGTTTAATTTTCAAAATACGGTAATGATGATCTCGTAATATCATAACTACATAAATATTAATAACCATAAATTATATATTCTAGTGAATATACTACATAATTAGTTTAAAATTCATTTGATTTGCTTAACAAACATCAAATGCTCTTATTGTATCATAATTCATTAATTTCGATTGACTTTACAAATGTTGTTCAATATCAATAAAATTAATCTCCAATAAATGTTACTTGTATTGACTTGATATCTTCTTGGAAAGATTAATCAGAACAATTCATACTTCAAGTGCTGTGTATAGATCTATTCAAATCAAAGTAATTGTTAGTGAGAATAAATAATAAGAATCAAAGATAAACATTTCAATTCTTACCTTAGAAGTTGCTCTTAGGATTGACAGAATCAAGTTCTGAAATCAATAAGATTACATTAGATTTCTATTAAGAATAGAATGTTTATCTAACGAACAAAAGTGTTATACAGCAATTCAAAAAATATCTTGAAGTTATAAGTAACAAAAGACTGCCATAATGCAAAACTGAATAGGATATTATATCAATAAATGAAGATCTATCTAGTGCTTTGTAATCATCAATAAAAGAAGTTGCAATTAAAATTAAACTCGAGGCTGAAAATGTAAGTAACTTATTCATAATTATAGATGAATGATGAGATTGATATAAAAATGAGAGGAGACTTGACTGAATAATAATAAAGAAACTTATAGCTATAACTGTAGATTTCACAGAAAAATGAAAAAATAAACTCACTACTTGAGAAGATACATTCAATTTAACCTGCTGTCTTGAGATAACAATTTATAAATTAACAATAATAATAAGAATTGGATTAATTTGAACTTTAATTCAAATAGATTCAAGAACATATTAAATTGAATTAAAGTTAGCTAGAAGGTTAGATTTAAATAAGTAATCGAACGAAGTAAGAGATCGAATCAATTTAATCAAATCTAATATAATAAATATTATAAAAAAAAGAATGATTTTGATTTTTTAAGAGTGTATTCAATTATCCAAAATATAATTTCTGAACATTCATAAACAAATTTTTATTTTTGAATATTAATTCTATAAATGTCTTTAATTTTTATAATGTAAAATAAACTACCGAGGAACAATCAAATTTTATAAATTTTACAAATTACAAATTTAAACAGTTTATACCAAAAAGATTAATTGTAATTCTACATTTACCTTGAAATTCCTTCTTGAATTAGTAATATAACTTCAATTGAAATTGCTTATGTTCAGAGAAAAAAGGTTATAAATAGGTTTAAATTTTTCTTATTTATGTATTGTTGATTGATTATCATTTTAGAATCCAATATAATTATATGATATTACGTATGAGCTTAAATAAATTTAATAATTCCTCACTCGTAATTTATTTATGAAAACTAGAAATTGGGAAAGCAAGAAACAACGATTAGAAAATCTTAACCGAAAAAATGAATTAAGTAAATGTATACAGTATATTTGTTAGAGAAACAAAAAAGTGTCCAGTAGATTTCTGACACGAATAGAAATTTTTTCTGCAATTTTTCAACCTTTTTTCAACTAAATATGGATTTAAAAATTCCATGTGTTGAGTATTAAGCCTTCATATTTAGATTTTTATCAGAACAATTACATATTCAAGAACTTTTTACAAATCAATAAATTTTTGAATTGTAATAGGAATTGTCTAAATAATGGATTCCCAAAATAAAAAAGAATTGGAGTGAGGAAGATAAACAAATTTTAATATGGATTGTATTGAAAATCTGTTCTAGAGATAGCATCCCCATTAGAAAAATTGTATTATATTTGATTTTTAAAAAAAGCCAAACAAAGTATGGGAGGAAGTAGAGCAATTAATCAGCAGGAGGACTTTTGAATAATGTAAAATAAAATGGAATGATTTATTGAAATTATCCTTATAACAACTACCATGGACATAAGAATAAGATGAATATTTAATATAATTGATTAAGTATAATTGAAATTTAATTTTAGTTAAAGCAAGGAGTAAGGAATGTTGAACAAATGGTGCATTATAGCAAATTTATTAAATGCATAGTTTAAAGAATCTCCGAGAACTGGAAAACAGTGCAGAGAGAGATGGAACAACCATCTGAATCCAGATATAAATAGACATTAATGGAGTTTAGAGGAAGATATTGAATTGTTAGAGTTAGTAAAAAAGAAGTAGAGAAAATGGGCTTACATTTCAAAAATATTAAAATCAAAAAGAAGTGAAAATGCAGTGAAAAATCGTTATAATTGCTTATTGAAAAAAAATAATTGTTAATCCATTACAAGTTTGATTGATTTATTGAAGAAAAAGTATAAATCCGAAAATCCAGAGGCTCCTTTATTAAATATAAAAAAAAGAAAATTAATACATATGCCATAAAGTACAATTATTAATTAATTTTTAATAAGTTTAACAAGTATAAAACTAAAAAATGAATACTGAGTTCAGTATCTAATAATTTGATATTAACGATATTAATCAGCTAAAATGTCTGACTCCTGCTTTTTACGATTCTAAGAATTAAATCCTATTCATAAGCAATAAAAATCAATTGGTTTCTTTCTTAAGTAACCAAATGATTAAAGTTGAAAGTGATTAAAATATCTAACATTTTGATCAAAACAATTAATAGCATGAATTCTCTAATTAAATGAGTGGTTTATTAAATTTAGTAGATTCATCAAATTTTGCAAAATTTGTACCCTGTTTATTTGCCAATCAATAAATACCAATTTAATAAGAAAAGAAGTAATTTTCTTATTTATATATATTCAAGATCTTAGTTTAATATTCCTAACATCCCTGCAGTTAGAATAGAATAAACTAATTCAGAGAGAGTACCAAAAAGTAAGCTTTCCTTTTTTTCCTCAAAATTTATTGATCTTAAGGATAGAGTTGCTATGGAATAGGAAGAAAACAATTAATAAATTAAAAATTGTAAATGAACAATTTCTGATAGTCAATTATTTTTAATTTAATATTATGATATTGCATTAATAAAGTATAGTATTGATAATCATGAAAGAATAGCATAAATTATTAAATAACATTCCTAGTATATGATGTTATTGAAGATTTTCAGGTGTAGGTATAAGAATAGATTTTTTTAAATCTTGTTTGATTTAATTATATTATTCGTTATGATGCAATATTATAATCGTGAATGTTTATAATTAAAACATTTATAGAAGTTTTAATGATCAACTCAGTTAGATAGAGTGAGAATAGAAAGCTGTCACAAAGTCACAAGAGTTAAAACTACAATTTCCCCAAGAGAGCATCATCCTAATTTAAGTAATAATGCATTGATTTTAAAGAATCCATTATTTGCCAAGCATCTCGAGCAATTCCACTTGTTGCAGTAATTCATGTACTTCGAGTCCACCAGAGAGTTGTTCCAAATTAGATGAGGATAATGTTGAAAGTATAATAAGTAACAACAATTAGATATATTGGTTTCCAAAAATACATCATAAGATCCTCTAAGTTGTTTTAACTATGATGATTTCAAAGGAGTACTACCAGTTACTATCAATGGAATAAAAATTCTGAAAATTGATTGGAGTTATTTTACAGCAACTCCTAATATGTAATCCCCATGGAAGGCTCATTGTTATTGGACTGTTGGATATACTTTTGATATCAATATGAGGAAGATGAAGAGATCTTAGAATATAAGATATCGTTTGATCATTCAAAGTTGGTGTTGCTTAAACAATAAATCTTGGGTGAAAACAAAATGGGATAGATTGTTGGAACATGAAACTGGACATTATCTAATTGGGTGTTTATGTGCTTTAGATTTTAAATAAAAGTAAAATATATCTATAAATAATACTCAGAGCAGACAAATTCAAATATACTAAGAATTATCGAATGGAATGCACTAAGTTATTTCAAGATACATTCTATTTTTATTTGCAATTGGAGAAAATATACTGAAGAGGAAACTAATCATAGTCAAAATGTAGCCAAACAAAAAGAATGGAATCAATTCATTAAGTTAGAATTATTAAAATATTGACACAATCATGTTTCTCAATTAATTTATTTTTACTCAACATCAATCATTTATTATTTTAATATAAATGAATAACCTAATATCATTGAATTAATATTGTATTTGTAGCCAAATGTGAATATTATGTATCAATAATATAAATGATAATAAATCAAAAGGATTTTATGTTCAAAGAGATTAAACAAGAATTGGCCTAAAAGTATAAGCAATTAGAAATTGATCAAATTGAAATAATGCAGAAACTCTAATGTTATAAAGAGTCTGCATAAAACAAATAACATGTCGATAATAATTCATTATTGATTGACGATATACAAAACTCTTCTCTTCTCTTGCTTTCAAATACATAAAGGGACGTAGCAGATAAAACAATTACTGATTTAAAAAGAGCATTAGAATAATCGGAAAGAGATAGAGAGAATAAAATTGAATAGATTAACGAATTAAAAAAATTAAATTAAAAATTATACGAAGAATTAAATATTGCAAAAAACAATGTAATAAAATCAAATAAACTTCTAAATGAGATTACATTTCAAAAGGAAGAATTAATGAATTAAATCAATATGATTAGGAAGCGTAAATCAGTTGACACTTCTTTTTATTAAACTTCGATTACTGATATCACAAATCAAGATATCTCAATCCAAATGAATAGAAAAAAATCAATGTCTCAATATGAAACTGCTGATCAAAAACAACTGCAATAGTATAAAAAGTTTGCAGAGTGCGTTAAAGATATGATACTAAAATTATAACCAAAACTATATGAAAGTATTTTTATATTGATAATTACTTTTAGATTAAAATGTGTCGCTGTCTGATGCTTGGAAGTGGTTAAAGATCATAATTAATGACTATGTTCAAATTGCAAATACAATTAAGCAATTGAAATAGATTCTCAATGTAGAGTAGCCATACATTGTTTTAGAAGTTTAATAATTAATTAACATGATTGTTTATAAATAATGATTCATTATAAATAATAATTAGTGTTCTATTTCTATTGAAAATCAAATACATTAATTTAAATAATCAAAATTCAAAATGGATAATAAGAAAAAAAAGAATAAGAATAAGACCAAAAAAGAGCAACAACCATAATAACAATAGCCATAAAATTAATTAGTACCAAAAAATTAATAACATCATCACGATCATGAACATCATGGAAACGATGAACATCATCACGATCATGCTCATTGTAATCATGGATTGCCAAGTGATGCTTCTAATCTAGACCCTACCAGTTTATTAAATGGTTTAAATAAAGGAGAAGGATTGCTTGGTAGCTTAAGCATGATACCCAAATTGACAGAAATGTTAAATCAATTAACCAATTTTGGAGGTTAAGCCTTCAAACCTGATGACCCCCTCCCTGATTTCACTAAATTTGATTAAACTAAGGTAAAATATTAATATAAAATTGTAGTAAACCTTGGAAGTAGCAATCGAAGAGTTTTAATCCACAATTGAAAGCGTCCAAAAGAAAGATTTCACTAATCTAACAAAACCAGTTGTGTAGAAACAGCAATAATAAAAATTATCTAAACAATAGTAGCAATAAAAAGATAAGTATGATAACCATATAATTATAGAAATAATTAAATTATCAAATAAAATATTGATTATCTGAATACATTGCAAAAGGACTTGAAGAAACTCATGCAAGATGTAAATATGTTCATTTATCATAGTAATCCCTGAACGGAATTGCACCTATATTGAATCAAGGAATTGAGAACTTAAATTAAGATATCCAATATTATTAGAAGTAATAAGAAGTATGAGAATTAAATATATAAATTAATTATTCATTTACACCCCATATTTGATCTCTCTTTTTACAGTTCAAAATTCTTTTCCCTTATGATAAACTCAAAATACATTGTAATTTCAGACATGCTTTAATGAATCATAATTCACATACTTTAGTTTTAATGCATTAAATACCGAACTACGCATTATTTTTATTACTGAACCATTATTAAAATAGAAATGCAGCATTCAGAAGAATAAATAAATTATGACTAATTTCATTTAGAATTTTGAACATTCTTCTAAACTTAGATTAACAAAATCCTTTTAAATAATTTATAGCATGAAGGAATTTAAGAGTATTAAATTAAAAAATATAATCAGAAATGAATTAAGAAGAAATTATAAACAGAATCTTTGAAAAATATGTTGCCAAATCATGATTTTAATCTGACTTTAATATTAACCCTAATTATTTTAATACTTTAGAATTTATCATAAACTATTAAGTACTACCTTAATTGTAATGTTAAGAGAATGATTTATTAAAAAAAGCTGAGACTTGTGTTTAGGAAAGTAGCCCTTGCAATTGGAATGAATAAAAGTATCAGGAAAATTAACTATAAGATCAAATTTTCTAAAAGTCTTAATGAACAAAGAATGTAACAGACAAAGATATATGTGAACCAAAATTCAATGGTATTTGCAAGATCTATTATCAAATAAAGGTCATTAGACTAATGAGGAGCATGAGTAATATTTTGAATTTGTCAATACTCACTATAATATTTTGAAGTCAAAATATGATAAGAAATCCAAAAAGATTTAAAAAATGATGAACTAGTTTATACACTCAAGAAGTGCCACTTAATGCAGATCACATCATCAAAAGTTTAATACACTACAATAGATTAAGAGAAAGAAGCAGTATTGAATTATTAAAAAAATTAATTATTGTCATCTAATTCTAATATTATCATCATACTCAAGTGGATTTAATTTTTCTATAAATGAAATATTGATTTATTATTGATATAATTTTATTTTAATGGAAATAAATTGTAAATTACCCCCTAAAATAACTATGAACCCATTATATTATAGCAATGGAGCTAGGCCTGTCATTTAATACAGGGTCAATCCAAATGATTAGAGGAGATACACGGCAGATATTGAGGCTATGAGGAAATATTCAAAAAGTTAGAATTAATACAAGCAAAATGATGTTAGGTATCTGTGTGATCTATTAATTAGCGGAAATCAATAGAATTCTCAATAGAAATCTTAAGGAATAGCAAGAGCTAATACTGCGGATAAATAATAATTGGAAGATTCAAAAAATCAATATAATTCTAGTCGAGACAATAAGAAACCGCAGTAACCATAATTATTCAAAGTGTAGAGCTAAGCTAAGCCCATCTTTGAGAATTTTAGCAAATGTCAAAGTCAAAAACTCAAAAATCACAGTTTTGTTACTTAGCATAAGTAGAATGAGAAACCACACTCTTTTAAATAGATAGCATAGAAAGGTCCATCGTAAATATCGCATTGTAAATAATTACATCATGTTAGTGTATTATGTTGCAGACTTATAAAATGCAATTCTGAATCAGAAATTATAAAGTTCAGCTTTGTTTAGAGAACATATTCAATCATCCTTCACCTACATCCCCGTAATTAAGAATCTATAAATCGATAAAGAATAAATCCAAGAGAAACTCTTAAATATCCCAATAAATTTGAATAAGAAATGTAAAGATTTTTATTTAAGACAAGACAACAAGACAATTATTTTCGATATGGATGAGACCTTAATACATTGTAATGAGGACGAGAACGATAAATGCTAGTTTAAGATAGACATCCAATTTGAGGATGGGGAAATCATAGAGGCTGGTATCAACATTAGGAATTTTGCAAGAGAAATAATCCAGAAACTGAGTGATTTATGCGAGGTTATGATTTTCACTGCTTCTTAGGATGTTTATGCTAATAAAGTATTAGATGAACTTATTAATTAGGTTATCAACATTCTGGATCCAAATAATAAATTAAGTTACAGAATCTTCAGAGAGAGTTGTATTTCAGTGGGGGATAACAATCTAATAAAACATTTGGGAGTGTTGAATAGGGATTTGAAGAATGTTGTTTTGATTGATAATTCCTCTTATAGTTTTGCGTAATTATTGATCTTAACACAAAGTTAGACACCATTTAGAGAATGGGATTCCGATTTTGCCATATTACTATGATGACAAGGATAACCAATTGATCAAGTTGTATAGATATTTGTGCTAGAACATTTTGCCTGCTGATGATGTAAGACCAGTGATTTTGTAGCATTTCAAATTGGATAGATTAAATTAATATGAGAGTGTGGAAGAAGCTGTATAAAATTTGTATTTTTGAAAACATTCTTCTGTATATTTTGTTAACACATTTTTTTAAATGGCATAATGCTTTAATTTAATACATATATCAGATTAATGCAAGCTGAAAATGACCATCAATAAGAGAGTTCAAATAATATTAATCATCTTCGTTAAAAATCATCTTATGTATGAAGTATTCCAAATATCGTTTCAGTTAATCAGGAATAGAAGAAAAATTTATGATGACAATGACTTTAGGGAGGTTGTCAAAAATTTCTACAATTTGGTCTCCGAAATTAATAAAGGTTAATATTCGGTCTAGACATTAATAGTTAAGAAGATATCGAAGGCTCCCTTACGGAAATAGCCTCAATAGTTGAAATAAAAAAATACAAGCAAAAACAAATAACCACCAACTAAGGAACTTTCTTATTCTAAAAGGGATGTCCATTTCAGACCTGATTAACAAGCATAATAATACTTCAATTCTTGTTTCAGTCAATAAATTATGAGTCAATTGATGCCTACCTTCGATCAGCCTAGTAGTAAATAAACTCCATTCTTTTATGATAAACCGAAGCCTCATCTCAATTTCAAACGAAATCAAATGCATATCCAAGCCGCATACTAAATTTATATAAAGGAGTTTGGCTCTGGATTGGTTGACAGCAGGGATCCAACATCATTTGCAAGAAAAGTTATGAATTCCAACTTTAATTCTAAAGTAAAAATTCATTAAGAACCAGACCCAATATTAAGAGGAGGAAAAGGAGAGTGACAGATCAGAAAAATTAAATAAGTCTTATGAAGATGGCAAAAAGAAACCTTTAAAAGAACTAGTTCGAGAATTTTAGAGTGATTAATGATTTTAAAAACAAACGAAGTAATAAAAAGATGGGTATAAAAATAATAGCATAAGTTATTCTTTATAAATGTTCTAATTTTGGTTTTTTACTTTAATACTAATACTAATTGTAGCTTTTCTTAAAATATCGTAACATTAGTATATTGTTCAAAATTAATATAATTCTATAGATTTTATATCCCTAAATTTATTGTAATATCATCTTAATTCATCAATTGAAATGTCATTGATTACTAAATTTATTAAAATATGGAGTATTATTTATATTTTATTCTTTTTTAGACATTGAGTCATTCCTTTTTTGTTAATTAATTGTAAAATATAAAAGGACAAAAAACTAAATGAATTGTAATTGAAATTTTGTATTTTACATTAGAATACAAACTTGTGGGAAAGAAAGGAGAGGGAACATTTTCAGAGGTCATCAAATCACAATCATTCAAAACAGGAAACTATGTGGCTATCAAGTGTATGAAAAATAAATTCACATCTATTGAATAAGTAAACATTTTTAAGAAGATTAAAGGTCAATCACTTAAGAGAGATTCAAGCTCTTAGGAAATTGAGTCCTCATGAACATATCATTAAGCTAATCGAAGTTCTATAGTAACACATTTTATAATTATTATGGTAGTGATGAACCTACAGGAAGATTGGCTTTAGTATTTGAATTAATGGAGCAGAATCTCTATGAACATATCAAGGGTATGAAGATGTTAATCCCAATTAGGCAGAAGACAACCGTTGAATCCTTAGAAAGTTAAATCCTTTATGTACTAACTGCTAAAATCGATTGATCATATGCATAGAAATGGCATCTTCCATAGAGATATCAAGCCGTAAGCATATATCATTTAAATAGTGAAAACATTTTACTGAATTCAGATCATTTGAAACTTGCAGATTTTGGATCGTGCAAAGGCATTTATTCAAAGCATCCTTATACAGAGTAAGAAATACCTTAACCTGATTATAGATATATCTCTACTAGATGGTACAGAGCCCCTGAATGTTTATTGACAGACGGATATTATGACCAAAAGATGGATTTATGGGGCGTGGGATGTGTGATGTTTGAAATCATAGCCCTGTTTCCTCTCTTTCCAGGAACTAATGAATTAGATTAGGTTAACAAGATCCATAATATTTTGGGAACTCCAAATCCCAAGGTTTTTGATAGATTCAGAAAGTAATAGAATCCAATTTTGATAATAGATAAGCCACTCATATGGAGATTAATTTCCCCAATAAACATGGTACTGGTATTGAGAGACTTCTCCAAGGATAAACCAAGGAGTGCATTGATTTAATTAAAATGTTATTGGTGTATGACCCTGAGGAAAGAATTACTGCTCAATCGGCTTTGAGACATGAATACTTTAGAGAACTCTATGAAGCAGATGCGACTCAAAAGAGTTTTCAACATACTCTCTAAAATATCAAAATTTCTTATCATCGAGAATAGTAATGAAATTATCTATAAATAGGAATGACAATTCTTTGGAAAGAAGTCAAAGAATCGATGAGGGTAAACAGATGCACTAGCCCAATTTTAAGAAGACACAGAATTATTATGCAAAATCATAGAAGAAATCTGGAGTAATTGTAATATTTTAGATTATAGTTGCCTTCCTTACAATTTGATTTGAAAGTAGAGAGTATATACAAGAACACGCAACATCATGATAGTGATGATGATTTAGATAAGTAATCTTCAAATAAATAAATGATGCTGCCTGAAATCAAGAAAAAGAAAAAGTATGATCCCAAAATTATTTATGGGAAATAGCAATATCAATCCAGCTAAGCATATTAGTTTAATTCAAAAGGTATAAGTTGCATTTAATATATAAGCTGGCAAAAAAATGGCACATGGATTATAAGCTGATTATATAGTTTACGGAAAGAAAGCAGTGAATTAATAAGTCTTAGGCTGATTAATTTAATTTTTGAATTTATGATTCATCATCTATTTAATATTAATGTGCTATTTGAATCATCATCAAATTCCAATTATAATTAAAAATGAAGATATTAGTGATAACATGTTTAATGGTTTTAACTTTATCCAATCCTTTAGAGAAAATCCAAAAGATAAATGTTCCATGCATTGAAGAAATAGGATACCTTACTAAAGATTTATTTGTCTTTGGTTTGGATATTGCTAGACATAAATTCTGCAATCAAGTTAAAGATGTTATCGGAATCATCGTTGAAATCGTCAAATTGAAAAATGCTTGTTCCTCATCGAGTAGCTAAGACATAATGGAAGAGCACAACAAAACTTTAGCTTGTCTACAAAATTCACTGGATATTGCTGAAGATGCTTATAATGCATATAATGCATTTATTCAAAAAGGATTCTCTGATGAATTATTTGACTAAACAACCAATATCCAATAATAACTAGTCTCCACCTTGAGTAGATGTAGTTCCAAAGCTAAGTTACTAGAAGACATCTTCCCAACTCATTGTATTTCCGTCATGAATAACTTCGCCAGAGATGCTCTATTCATTAAGGAACAAAGACATCAACCTTGGAAAATAATTGATGGATTAGCCTCTATGGGTGAAAATTATCAAGTAGCCAAACAACATTGTCCATTTATGAAATGATTATTACCAATATATTAACATAGAATCCAACATTAAAATATATTAATTACTGTTGGATACCTACTTAATTCTCAGTTTATTTAATTATTCAATTATTTATAGTAAAAACAAACAACAATTTTGTTGGATCCAATCCTTGCTGTTACTAAGAAAATTTAATTTAAAAAATGAAACAACTTAATTATATTATTATTTTAATATTATAAGGACTATGCTCAATCGAACAGATAAGAGTTCTCAATTCAGGAGAACAAATTAAAGCATGGAGGGTGCTTCAAAAAAAGAAATCATTTCAGATCAAAAATCCAGAAAGGAATTAGCAGTTCCTTAAGAGGATGAGAGGAAAATGTTAGGATCTAAGGAAAGTGAAAAGCGATCTCAACTGAAAATTGGGAGTCACCAATAATCAAGAAAGACTCTTAGAGGACAGGATGACGAGGAGAAAGGGACTAAGGTTATAGGAGAAGGGAGATTGGATGAATATGGAGAAGAAGAGGAGGATACTGTTTGTCTAAGGTTTCCTCATCTATCCTTTTGTCCTTACAACTATCAATCCCAATTGAAGGAGACTTTATTCGTTGAAATTTAACCTGGAATTTATCTATGCGGATTTGCCATGGGATTATGGACTAAATACTTGTTATAAAAAGCAGTAACGAATGTATTGAACCTAACCTCCATGGAATACACTAAGAGAACTAAGTATTTTAGATATTTAAATATTGATGTTCACAATACTTCTGATGAGGATATTAAAAAACACTTTAGAATTAGTAATAGATTCATAAGAGAAGTAGAATATATCAATAATTATTATGTAGACTTTACTATAAAAAGGCAAAGTGCTTATTCACTGTAGAGATGGACTTAATATTGGTCCATGCTTTATCTTAGCTTATTTGATAAATGAAATAAAAATGCCCTTGAAATTAGGAATTGAGTTATTACAATCCTTTATTCCACTATTAGATATCGCTGTTCATTTCTATAAGCAGTTAGAGTAATACGATTTAGAGAAATTGGCTCTATTATAAGTAAAAACCAAAGATTCATGATTTTTGAATTGATTCACAATCATAAAATATTATTTTATTGTATTTCACCTACTATTATTTAACATTTCTCAGCATTAAATGATCTGAAACAATTCAAATAGATTATTATCATTTGAAATCCTATTATACTGAAGGATACTTTCTTTTGAATTTATTCTTTAGCTGCATCGTGATTACATATTTGAAAGCATAAGGAATTTAGAATATATTCAATAAATTAAATCAAACAATACCATTATTTTGTATTTCAAATATTTTGTACATGAAACCTTGTCTTATATTTTATTCTTATTATTTATTGGTTTATAAAATGTCTATGCGAATTGTATAATCTACAAAGAAGATTCTGGACATGTCTCATTCTAGTCAAACAGTCCTAAATAGCCAAAGGCCTCAGATGTCTTTGATGCCAAAGGAAAAGCTTGTTATAGGATTAAATTCAAAACAGGAGAAAAAAATAAATAAAATTGTTATCAAATTGGAAGATCAGATAAACAAATCTATTGTTGATTAAGTCCATCTTGAGCAAAGTAAACTGTTACAGGAGGTTTAACATACAAAATAGGATCTATTGGAAACCAAAATTTCAATGGAGATTACTCACACTCATTTTGAACTCAAGGTGCCAAAGGTGATTGTACAACCACAAATACTTGAGATTCCAAAAATCGTTGTACCTTCTAAGATAAAAATTGAGGAAGAGGATAAATTAATGACTTATAATTAAACCAATTTGCTGAAGTAATAATTGATTTAGATTAAAAAATGCAATGAACCTATTCAATTACTGTTGCAAGAGAACAATAAACGAAAAAAATATTACTCAAGAGCTTAAAGAGAGAAGGAAGATGTTGTTCATTGGGGTTAACGGAAATTACTGATAAGTGAGATTTGGTTTTTGACAAAGTATGGTTGTTTATCTAGGAATATTATCTATGCAGGAGCAGCCCCGGGATTTCACATCTAATTTCTATCTGATTTATTTTAAAATCACAAATTTTATTTATTTGATCCAAACGACTTTTAAGTTAAATAGGGACCAAAGATAACTATATACTAACGTTGCTTCACTAACGAAGAAGCCTAAAAATTTAGGGAATTGTTTTAGGTATGAATTAATTAACAAGAATGATTATCTATTCATTTCAGACATTCGAACTGCCAATTTTAAATGCATGACCCCATTGGAAAATGAGTAAGCAGTACTAGGAGACAATCAATTACAAATGGAATGGGTCAAAATCCTCAAACCTTAAAAGGTATTTCAATTCACTCTATATCCATCAAGGCCATGTTGAAATTCCGTTGTGCTTATCCAACTGAAATCAATGATCCAACTGAATTCTTTGAAGGGGAAATCTATATCCAAGCCTGGGCCCCAGCATCATCCACAGAAACCAGATTGGTACCTTACGATTATGTCAATACCATACCCTACGACAATGTCAAATATGAGGAGCAGATGTTCTATCATAATGATGTTGTGAGAAAGAAGTAAAAGGGTTCGTTAAGTTGGGATGACAGAGCAGAAACTGAAGTGTTAATTGAGTATTTACGCAATTCAGGAATCAATGAAAATCAAATAATTAAATAAGTGAATCTAATCAAAGATCTAATAACAAAAAAGTTGAATTATTAATGAAATGTTGCATCTGTATAAATTATTTTATTTTGATTAATCAACAATAATATATAGTATTAAATAATATTATAGACTGTTCTATAATTGAGTTATAGAATATCCCTATTTAAAAATCCCAATCTCCAAGCTCATCCTATATATATTAATGAAACATTTACTCATATCCTTCTTATTAATTACCATTGCCTTTAGCAGTTTGAGAGGCTCAGACAGAATGAACAAACATCAAGAGGAAGATTCAAGTAGTTATTCTGGATCTTCAAGCGAATCATCATCATATGATTATTCTGATGCACCATCATATGATCAAAGCTATTCAGGAGAATCAGATGAAGAGTACTCTTCCTACAGTTCTTCCGAAGATTCGGATTCAGATTCATATTCCGATTTTTCTTATTCTTCATCAAGTTCAGATGATTCAGAAGGTTCAGATGAAGATTAACAGAAATCCCATAGGCCAAGACCTGATGATCATAGACCAAAACCAGATGAATTTACTAGATCAGTGTTTAAGACTCTGAGATAAATTGAAAAAGGAATTCTTGAAGATTGGAGATAAACCGAAGATCCAGTTTTACAAAATGAAATCAGAGCTCTTTTAATATAAAATTTAGAAAATCTCCTCCCAGTTGCTGAAACTCCAGTGGAACCAACTGAGATTTAACCTGTCGCTAGTAGAATAGCTGAAGAAAAGGATGAACATCATCCAAGACCACCACATCCCAGACCTCCTCAACCACCCCAACCAGAGGATGAATTCGTTAACAAAGTAATCGAAACTCTTCACCAAATTGAATAAGTGATTTTGGAATAATGGAATGTTGAACAAGATGTGGAAGCAAAGAACCAATTAAGACAGAACATCCTAGAACAATTAGGAGCCCTTATTCCTTTGAATGAATGATTCTGTAATCACATAATTTATTAAAAATTCTTTCATATTATGAATACAATTAATCAAAAACTGATATCTGACTTATCGTCTTCTTCTCTAAAGTAAAAGTTTTACTCAAAAGAATTAATTTAATTCTTTCTGGGTTTTTATTTGAATTCGAATTTATTTTCTTATATAGACTTAATTGGCAATGGATTGGTTTCTGCAACTGATTGCTAATCTAATGACTTTGTATTGACTGACGTAGTTCTACTAGGTTTGACTACATCTATGTTTATTGATAGATTCTTCTAATTGATTCTTGGATTCTAGCGAGATTGTTCATTTAAGGCAGTTTAATTTTAGACGTTATTTTGAGTATAAAAAGATTTTGTAGTTGAAATATTCTTGATTACTTGTCCGTGTTTATGAGTCACTTTAGATTTGATTAATTATGAAGCTAATTGATATTAATTTAGTTTAGAATTCTTAATCTATTTTTAGGATGCATAAATGAGATTTGATTTCAAGGCCAACTTAACTTTGCTATGATGTCTACTAAAAACAAATTATTATTGTGTCTGCTTGTTTGGGGATTTTGGAATTTAATCGTCATGCTGATTTATTTTCTTGATTACTCTGTGCTTGTCATGATTGGATGAGGGTTGAGAATGCAGTTTAACAAATTGTCTATCTTGTAGTTTTGGCAGGTTAGCCAGTTGATCAAATGCAGGACGAATGTCATGATCTGGTCGAAGTAAGATCTTAATAAAATTAATATTGTCTTCGCTAATATTATTCTATCTACAATTATATTCAATGTGGAAATTGATTTGTTATTGATTGGATTTAATAAGAAAACTTGGGTCCTTTGTTCCAGTTGTCATACAATATAGCAAACTGCCAAACATCCAAGTTTTGATCAACTAATTTTGTTGATAATTGTTGTTATATAATTGTTGGTATTTAATTTAGTGAAGGTAATATTTTAATCCATAATCAGTGATAAAAACTGTGTTTTGATTGATGTAAAGGTAGTCAGGATTGAAATCATAAAATCCTAAAATATCTAACGAATAGAGATCATACAATTGTTTCAGATATGCGTTGAATTGATCATTTGTAATCTTAGAGGGCATTTTAATCCAAGCATTGCTGTTCGAATAAGAAATGATTAGATTGTTGTCATCTTCGAATGCATCCTTTATGTAGGGATAACATTGAATTTTCTTGGATATGCTTTCATACATCTTAGAATCCAATTCAGACTTAGGGAAGATATTGATGTAGTGGGATTGTTTACTTTAATCGAATCCTCGGTATAACTATTAGTAAGAATAATCCAAAGAGATGGGTAGTTCAATTTAATAATTAGCGATTTACATAAATAATTAATTATGATTTTTATTTTACTTGTACAAATTACTTAGTCTTTAAGCATCCATGAATTTTTGGAACTCACTCCTTTTTAAATTCAGAAATTGAAGACAGAAACCCTCCAAGACTACTTTATTTCAGGTTCAATACAAGGATATTTGGGATTGACAGAGTATTCTCAATTAATTGACAAATTGGCCAATTCATTTCCGAATCAAGTGTCATTGCGATCCTTTGGCAATACTTACTAAGGAACCCAAATAAAGACAATCCAAATTTCAACAACTAAATCTCCCAAGTATTCAATAGCAATCATTGGCATGTTGGGGGGCTGTACTGATTTAATCTCAGTAAACTATCTCCTGTATCAATTATATTTCATAACCATCCAATTGTCCAACAAGAATCCCTTTATGATGACTCTACTTTCAGACAAACAATTGTTGATTACTCCATTAATAAATGCAGATGGACTGCAATATATAACAACTTAATATATCCAAACTTAAACTATGCCCCTCATATTTAAAAACAGAAATCCTTCCAATTCCAACAAATGTTCATAGAATGAAATAGGTGTTGATCTTTCAAGGAATTTTCAATACAAATTTGGAATCAATGAGATTGGGTCATCCTCAAACTAATGCAGTCAAATCTATAGAGGTAGAAACGCCTTTTCTGAACCAGAAACGTTGGCTATTGATAAACTAGTTTAATAGATTAGACCAAACATCTTAATTGTGATAGGTGGTGATTTGGATAAGTTAGTCATTCCAGATTCTAATTCATCGACTTATTAATAATTGCTTTATTAAGTTTCAAAAGAATACAATTTGAAAATGGGAGATCATTAAACATTGTATCAAGTGGAAATTAATGGCGATTTGTGTTAAAATTACATTTATCAAATCAACAACATATGCTACACCATTAATATTGGATAATATGCATTAAATTAGACTATCCTTAACTTCTAAAATCTATTATTTGATGTGTTGTCACATTACAGTCCTTCACTACAGTAAACGATATTTATATATATCTAGAATATAATTCTAATAGAAATTTAATTGTTAAAATGGTAAAATGCTGTGTAATCAACTTGAGTCTAATGAAAAGGGCTGTGTGATCATCATATCAGTATAGAATGTAGGTTATAATCAATTTAATGACAACATAGTGATGGACATAACTTTGAATTAAGGTGGTGAAAAACTATATCAGATAGATTCTTATGTAATTGCTCAAAGCATCAAAAATACAAGTGATTCAAGTTTAAAGAATGGAATCTAGATTGATGAGACATCCACAGACAGGGTTTATAGATATCAAATAGTGAATAACAGAAGATTAAATCAAAACCAAACCATTTATTTTGTCTTCTTGCTAACTCAATTTGGATTCTCTTACAATTATATTAACACTGTTGAATCCATCGATTTAACATTCTCACTTGAAAATACTTTACTGAATTCCCTAGTGTATTAAACATTGACACCTTCAGATTTGGCTGCTAAAAACTCAAAAGAGCAACTATAAAGGATATTTCCAAATAGACCTGAATCTTATGTTTTACTCATTTGTTTTGCAGCCATTTCAGTCGTGTTCTTGTTCTCATGGATTATTAGAAAAATGTACATCTGGATTTATGATCCCCATCAGTTTGTTGAAGAAAATAAATCTAAACTTGAAGGATCATCCGATGATAAGAATTTAGAACAATACAAATCACATAATCTAGTAGAGAGCAGACTAACTACTCAAGTTAAACTATAGTAAGTTGCACCAATTAAATCACTGCATTATAATGAATCACTTGATTAAGGGTAACCAGAATATAAAGGAATCAATGGCAGTTAATTATTGCCTCATCTAAACCCCATCGAAATTGAGAACAGAGTACATAAGGCTTTAGAGATAGTTAAATCATAGGATGATTTGGATAAATAAGAATAATACTTAGAAATGGGTTAGAATATGCATTAGAATCAATATTATAATATTTAATAATAGAATCAACATCAAATGGAGGAGGAACTACTAGTAAATACACCAAATATTTAACAATATGGCTAAAATGAAGATCAATTAGTTAAATTTGAGGATTGACATTATATCTATATATTATTAATTAAATTTAATCACTCTTCTGATCAATTTTAATTCTCCTTGATGTTTTTTAAAATGGATGGATACAATTTAACATGAGCATCAACTGCCCACACATAATCTAAATGAGCATAATCATCGATGAACTCTACTTTCATATGAGTTTAATCCAACTTATTTAACATCTTACCCAAATCATCTGTGTCTGTAATTATATCCTTTGTTCCCAAATAAAAGTACTTAGGAATTGTAAAGTTCTTCAAATTGTCCACTGGATATGGAGGAGGATCCCTCTATCCATACAAAGCCAAATTTTAACTAGCCCCATAGTCAAAGTATTACAATTATTTTGATCTAAAGAATTGCATCCTAGAATAATATATTAATAATATCCTTACCATTATACGATATTTTTAGATGCTGAACCTCCTGGCTCATGAGCAACCATATTACCAAAACGATTCAAATCGATTTTATTTTTCTAAGGAAAACCGCACAATTAATTGGTAACCTCAAAGAAGAAGCTTCTGAATATCGAAGGAATCATATAGCAAAGAGCTCCGATTTTAATGTTAAACCCGTCATCAAAAACAAAGAAATAGGGGATTCCCAAATAATAGATCAATTCAAATATGTACAACTTAATAGCCCATTACAAGAAGGCCGATCGCTATAAATAGATAACAAAACAATACTAAATTAGAAATGAACATGGCTGGACCAAGCCCGATAAAGCATTTAAGATGGTTTTGGAATTCAATGTTATTTGAGAGGTAAGCAAATGCTTGGGTAGTTCCTTGGGAGTGGCCTAGATATATGACTTTTGCTCTTTGAGTGACATTCTTCACATACAACACTATGGCCTTGAAGTCGTATTTGGCTAAGTCGTCAAAGGAACAATCCCAATATTGTTGATTGTAGTCTACACTTTAGAATTTTGTATGTCCAATACAATATTTATTACCCCTATTATTTGCAAGCCATACGTCATAGCCTTGTTCGGCCAAGATGTATGGCAAGGTTAACTTTTTATCGTTGTTGATGAGCCAAGACCATGAACTATCCAATAATCCGTGTTGCAAAATGATGGGATGAGGGTGTGGATGAGTTACATCTTTGTAGATTCTCCATATTGTCAGAATATATCCATCTTCCGTAATTATTTTGTGGCTTTCAAAGTTATAACCCTAATCTGATATGATATCAGCTATAAATATTATATTTTCAAATATTTACTTGCTTATGTATAGACTCCTAAATAGGGTTTGTGTTTGTTGAGTATTTTGCGAAGCTTGTGCAAAAATGTTTGATTTCTTGATTCACATTCTTTGACAAATAATGAAAGGACATAATCTGTTAAATGGATTGCTATGTAGGCTGAATAGTAAGTCAATGATAACCCGACATTCGCTATGGGTTTGATGACCCAGATGAAAAAGTAAAATGTGATTGTTTGAATTATTTAAAAATTCATAACAAAGAAGAATTATTATGATAATTGTGTTTGATTTATAATTAATCAAATTTGCCATTCTTCCAATCCTGCAGCTCTCTTTTGACTATCCATGACTCCATTGACTAAGGTGCATGTTAACCAAGCTGTTAAGAACATTTTGCCATAGTAGGGGACAGCACCTGCATAAAATCCATGGATTCTTTCATAGAAGAAGATTTGCTTGAAGACATCCAAATAGTTTTAGTAATTTAATCTACAATTTATTGTAACATTTAGACTTACCTATTTTTAGAGGGATCTGGGAATGCCTTAAGAACTCTGGTTTGGACATTATCTAATGGTAGGGTGAAAAGAGTTGCCCAAAATGAAGCCCAAGTTAATGCAAGGAAGTGGTTGAATCCAAAATCTCCGAAAACCAACCAAATTTTTTCCTTCATGTAATCATATGGTCCAGTTAAGGATACGTTCAAGGCTGCCAATTTGACCACATGAGCAAAGGCTCCTCTGAACAATGCTCTGCTTCCTCCTATTGAATTATTTGAATAATTTTACCTTCTTCAACTTAGATTCTATTAATGGCATCGAATGCGGATTTGTAATTTCTTCTGATTGGTTGGGGGAGACCACCGTCAGCAATCATTCTGACTTGAGCTAATTCGAATGGAGATGTAACAAAAGCAGCAAATGCTCCAACAGATCCAGAAAGAACAGCCTTTTCTCTGAGTGTCAAATCGTTGAATGGTTTGACTGGCTTAACTTAATCGTATATTGCTTTATATCTAAAAGTTAAAATATGTGATACAAAAAGTTTCTGATAAAGAGATAGCCCCAATCTACTGTATATTGCTGCGTCAAATCCATAATAAAAATGAGCCAAACCACCTCCAGTTTCATGAATCTCTCTGAATATTCTCCATGGATTCACTCCCAATTCATTTTTCAATTATCTCAAACCAATTCCTTCGGTTCTAACTTAGATTCTAGTTTTAACAAATTCTGAATGTTAATTATATAGCTGTTACCCAATGGTTAAGTAAGGAATGTGGCAACTGCACCTACTGGCACTGAAAGACCAACTACTTCTGTAAGAGATGGCTCCCAATATCTCTTGTATGATCCAAGCATTTTATTTAATTAATTAAAGATATTTAAATTTGATATAAAACAAAAATTTATCTTCCTCCCTTTTATTATATTACCTTCATACACTCCCCATACTCTCTTCCTCATCCATATTGCCTACTAAAACAATTAAATAAAAATCAATATAAAATTTAATCATTTATCGTTTTTTTAATGAAACAAAGTGTAATTTGGTTGTGTTTTATTGCTCTATACTTCTCAAATGCCGTAAACATGTAAGCTAATATATCAATAGAATAGATTGGAAGAATAAGCACCCTTGTAACCTGAATAATAAAAACACAAGGTTCATCATATCAAACTCAAAGAAAAAGTTGTGAATGTGAAAGACTCCCAAGATTTCTACAAATTTGTGGCTCTGAATCAGAAGAGACTCTTTGAGAATTAATTCATTTAGAAATCCTCTGCCTCTGAAAACTTGAGATTGCACAATTTCAAAAACATCCAATACACAGCAGACTTAGAAATTGGTTAATCTGGCAATGTCTTTAAAGTGGTCTTAGACACAGGCAGTGCCAATCTGTGGATTGATTCAAACAGATGCTCAGAACCAGGTTGTTTGAAACATAAACAATACAAACATGAAGAGAGTCATTCGTTTTTGCCATTGAATTAAGAATTGACAGTAGAATTTGGTAGTGGAGATCTAAAAGGAATAGTTAATTCTGATACCATCTATTTTGGGGACATCACCTTACCCAGACAAAACTTGGCTGAAATCACAAGCGAAAATGGAATCATATTCAAAAGTCTTGATTTTGATGGCATTCTTGGTTTGGCCTATCCACAAATGGCTCCCAACAACTTCAACCCTGTCTTTGACAACATGATGTAACAACGTGCTCTTGAAAAAAATCAATTTGCCTTCTATTTTGCCAAAGACCCAAATGATATAACACACAGTGAATTTACTTTGGGAGGATATAATCAAGCTCACGTTGATGGAGAGATTAATTATCATAATGTTATTGATAAATATTATTGGATGATCAAAGCTGACAGTATTTTAGTAGGAGGTCAAGACATCGGATTATGTGATGATGGGTCTTGCAAATTGATTGTCGACACTGGAACATCCATCATGAGTGGACCCATGGATGATGTAGGCACTTTATTAAGAAATTTGAACGTCAAAGATCATTGTTCAGAAATCAAATCACTTCCAACCATTACTTTCAAGATAGACGGAATTGATTACACCTTAGAACCAGAAGAGTATGTCAAACCCACCACGAAAGATAGTTCTGCATTTGCTGAAATGAATAGTTCAGAAGATTGTAAATGATATAACTCTATGTAGAATCTATGGTTGAAGTCAACAGTTGGGATTGTATTGCTTCCTTCATTCCCTTGGATATCCAAGAGCCTCAAGGACCTGCTTGGATCCTCGGAGATGTCTTCTTGAGAAAATATTATAGCATCTATGATAGAGATAATGATAGAGTAGGCTTTGCCAAATCTAAATAATGATCGATCACCCATTATGTAACTAAAATATTTAATATACTTATATTATATTTTATTTTATTGATAATTTGTTGTCTGTTAATGTCGCAATTAACTCCCTAAACACTTAGCAGGTTGTGTGAATACTTTTTGTATTTAGCCAAGTTAGAGTCAGAAATCGAAATTATTCGAAATGTTCTCTGTGAACATGTTCGTTTCCATCCATTTTTCATTTTTAAATACATCGATGGAATATCCATTAATCCAAAAGGCCAATTGAGTCCTGCCGATCTTCTCTAATTTCTAGATGACAATGGTTTTGTGCACAACTTGGAAGAATGTATATAATTCATAGACTTATACGATGAGGATTCTAAAGGATTTCTCCTCTATTCACAGTAAACTATTTAATATTATCAATCCTAGATTCCTAAGAATTTGCTTACCACAAAACAATGTTGCTTTAAGATAAAAGATAGCTCTTTAAAATGTTGACGTTCCTCATTATGACCAAAAGATTTCATACACCCTATCAAAACTTATAAACTACGAAATAAAATCCATGGAAACTACTTCGACATTCGTTTAACAACTCTAAAACTGTTCAGATTACAGTCCAACAGCATGTTTTGAATTCATGAACCCCTCAAACTCTCAAGGCTTAATTGCCTCTCATTTTAAGGATCTCTTCTAAAAGTCAGCCATCATTATATATCCTCATGAACTTCAATCTTTATTCAAGAGATTCGATCTCCTGAACGATGGAATTATCGATATATCTGAATTTATAAAGCACTTTAAGAGTAGAGTTCTCAATCCAAAAGATTACAAAACTCCTATTAAAGATAAATCATATCTACAACACTTTAAAGACAAAAGCTAATAGAAATAAGCATAATCCCAATAATCAAATAGATCAAAAAAAGCATAAACTACTCCTATCAAAAAATTAAATTCTATTTTGAAATAAACAGGATAATCACCAAAAAAGGAATTTGATAATTAAAGGTCTGTTAGTTTTGTTGAAACTTCCAAGTCATCCAAAACTTAGAATTTAAATTCAAGTTACATATTCAAAACTCCCAATCAATAACATAACCAAAAATATATCAATCAAAAAACAGAACTTAGAGCCTAAATGTAGTTATTCAAAGTCTAGAAACAATAACAAGGATTAAATAATTCCACAATTAAGAAACCTACCTAAAATTCTACCCAAAAAAAAGTAATTAAGAATTCTCCCAAGAAAAATAACTAATTCTTTAATCCTTCCAAATTTCTAAAAGACACTCTAATTTCATTACTGAACTTTGAAAAAGAAATTGAAAGGATTAAACTCAATTTATAAGCACATCCAGATTTCTCTCTCTGCAATACTTTCAGAGCCCTAGACAAAAAGAAAATGGGATTCTTAGTCACTGAAGATCTAGAATAATTCATTAATAAATAAAGCCTTTCGATTATACTAAAGAAAGCATCTCCTGATGGCAGAATTAAATTTAACTAATTCATTTAATTGGTATCTCCATTGTCCATATATCATTAAGAGCAGTAACTTATCAGAGAGCAGAGTCAACATCAAAGTAACATCATTTAAGGAAGAATAAAACAATTGCTCTCTCTCTTATTTGAAAAACTATACCAAAGAGAACTCTTATTCGATTAGGTCAATCAAGAAATAAAGCAAAATTAATAATGTGACATCAAATACTTATTTATGATGATTGATGAAGATTCATGTGATAATGAAATCAGCTTAAAAGATGTATCTATATACATACTACTTTTTTTAGCTTGATTCCTTTTTGTACAAGTAATAAGTGTAACCAGAATTAGAAGACTTGGAATTATTATTCAATAGACTGGATACTGATAGAGATGGAAAGATATCATTTCCAGATTTTATCAACATTTTTTCCTTTTGATTATATATATATTTATTATTTTTATGCTGCTATTTTTTAATATTTTGAGAATTCTAGATTCACAAATTTCCTTTATACTATTTATAATTTAGTATAAAAAGAAAGAGATATTAACGAAGTCTATTTCTATTAGGATTAATTATTTCAACCTTTAAATAACTGATATAAGAAGATAGTTAAATCTAACTACTTAATAATAGCTCTCCAAAAAGTAGGCATACAATTGTTAATAACATTTTTACAAAATTATGTAATAAAAGTATGAATAACAAGCTCAAAAATCATCTAGGGTTAAAATTGGCTTATTCTATACAAAATAATATCCTTTTAGTAATTTTTATGTGCATATTCCATTTGACATCAAATCAAGAGATTTCTTTACCTCTTATAATTGCGATGACAATTTAGTGGGCTTTGTAACCTAATCAGTTGTACTCTCTGATTAGGAATCCTTTTTATCTAATTTCTTTACTAATGATGCATCAGTTGTCTTGATGACCCATGTTGTCTAATCATTAGAGGAGTCTTGCTGTTAAAATATTATGAAATTTATACTCTTCTAAGAGATCTATTATTATTTTATGATTTAGTAATTGAAACTGGAGAATTGTTAGTATTTGGTGAATGGTAAGTGAATTTTTTCCTTGTATCAATAAATTAACTGCTCTATACAATATGCTAACAGGGTTGCTTGGCAATAGAATGTTATTTCTTACATAATTTTATTTAGATCTCATCTATTGTATAGAAGAGTAATATTGTATCTAAACAACTTGCTTTTCTATTTTTGCTTGCAAGTTGGATATTATTCTTTGACAGGTTTCTGCTTATTAATATAAGACAGATGAAAGTTCTTAGTTTTATAATTTCAATTGGTTTTTTTTCTAAAACTATTAATAATTGTACTTTAGATAAACTTGATACTTTGTTTTAAAGATTATCTATCTCTAATTGTTGATTCTATATGATCTTTTCATATTGGATTAGCTTTCTCTCATCAGTTTTAAGTTATTAATTATCGATTTCTATCCATCTTTTATCATTACTCAGGCAATCTTCTATCCTTTGACTATGATTTAGTCTCGAAGTGAAGACCTCAAATTAGTTTGAATTGAAAAAATCATGAACCTAATCTTACTAGCTTGATTTCATTGACTATAATTACTAAAATGATTCAAAACCACCTAAAATTCTATTACAATTTAGTACGTTTAAGATCGCAAAGTTCTTTTTCTGTATTATTTAATTTCGACTCTAGAAGGTCAATCTCTTTCTATTGTGATTCAATACATTTGGTTTTATCTAGATTTGTGAAGCTCGTAATTTTGTGTATTTCCACTATTTAGTATTTAGTTTATAATTTCTCTAATAAATTTTGGAATTCTAAAATCATTTATTCTTAGACTACAGATGATGATTTTTCAAAGTACTCTAGAAATTGTTTTTCTATCTATGATACTGCACAATCTTAGAGAGTCAACTCAAAATTTGACTTATTATTATGATTTCCTTAAATTCATACAATGTGAATTATACCTAATTATTTGAGACATTTTAAGCTTTATTATAGATGGTGATTTTCTGACTATGCTTCTGAAAGTTGCTTTTGAAGTTTAACAATTTAATGTTTATAATCATCTTGTGAGAATGATTATTAAGATGTATTTTATTATTATTCTATTCTATATAGGAGTAAAGCATTTTTCTTTTCCAATTCATCATTGAGCTAGATTTATTAATATGTATTTTTGATATACCTGAATTGAGTTTTTTAAGAGAAATCTGAGTTTTTCAATTGTTCTTTACTCCTCGTTACTTGCGATATTTTTATTTTTTGGTGTATTATTTGTAGACACTAACATTTTATTAACAAAACAATTATAAAATTATAATATATAAATAAAATTAATGAAGTATTTTATAAGATTTGCATTAATTTTACAATTTAGATAAGAAATAATAGATAATACACAACAACATCAACCTTACAGTCTCAACAAACACTCTTGAATGAATGTTTTAGTATCCTTTATAATGTGATAGACTCTTATTAATTCATCGAATTGTCTGTTCCTATACACAGCTTCTGTATCACAAGAATCGCATTTATATTTATAACACTTTTCACAACAGGAATGTCCACATGGAATATAAGTTCTTGGTTTTTCAAATAGATTTTAGCATCTACAACAACGAAGACTTAGTTTGAGTTCTGTTTCTAAGACTTCAATTCTCAATAAATGCTTTTGAATTTGATTTTCCTAAGCAGACTTATCAATCTAATGATTCTATTGTATTAGTTTATCCTTGAGAGACTGATTTTAAAATAGTAATTATTATAAGAGAGACTTATCTTAATGAGGGTCGACAATTTATTTTGGAGAGACCTCATTTGGTAAGGTTTATAAGGTTTTTTTGTTTAGTTCTTAGCGATCTTTCAATTGTTTTTTAATATTTTCTAACTAATTTTGAAGATTTGAAATGACATTGTGTTATTGATCAATTTGTGAATTAGCATTTTTAATTAGATTTGTTTGCTTTTTGATAATTTAATCTTGTTCCTCAAGTTGGGAAAGCAATTATTCGATAGATTATTGATTCTGTTCTTAGGAGTTCCTGTATGAAAATTAAATTTTCTATATGTTATTTACATTGATAGCATTATCCTCAGTTATTAGGAGTTCGTATTAATAAATTTATTTCAATTTAAATAGTAAATCATCATATCTGGTATCTACTTCAAATTATTTGCCCTTAATTTGAATTACCTTTTGAGTTTACTTTTACAATTCATCGATTTTCTGATCATAATTCCTTTTTGTAATTTTTTCATTGAGTTACTATAGATCTAGTTATTGCTGCAAAATAAGAATACATAGTTACTTTAAATTTTGAACACTATGTACATGAAGGTGGAGAAGTTATCTTCATTACAAATGATTTATTTGTTTAAACATATTCTAATTGTTTTTATAAAGATTCAATTTAAGATTTTAAAGAGTAAACATCATGATGCTCACTTTTTTGCAAAAGCATCCTCTTTTATGAGATGTCAGGAGTCGTAGCAGTTGGTCTTGTTTTTTGCAGATTTCGTAAATTGGGAAGCATTTTTAATTATTTATAATTAAAAATTAATGAGATGAAACTTATTGATAAGTGATATAGGAATTAATTCAATTCAAATATAAAATATATATATATAATATGTTTAACAAAAGGCAACTATTAAAAAACATTGTAGATCTCTATTATCAATAAGTAGAATAGATGGAGACTAACTATGATATTGATAATAAATATGCCACCAAAATATAGTCCTATTATCGAATGTATGTGTTGCATAAAGCTTACAAAAAGAATCAAAATGCAACAATCACAATCCAAAAATATTGCAGAGCCTATCTTGCAAGATAACTAGTAAAATAGAAATTGAGTGAATGCAAAAACAGAAGAAATGTATCTACTATTCTCATATTCCATTAGATTATTTATCTCTCTAATTAAGCACAAACAATCCAAAGGTATTTCCGAGGATATATTTATCGTAAATATGTTCATGACTTTTACCTAAGAAAAAAGTAACTGGAGTTAATGAACATCAAAAATCAAAACTTCTTACAAGAATTACGTTCAAAAGCTGAATAAGAAAAGGAGGAAGAGAAAATCAGACATGAATAAGCTGCTAAATAAGAGTTCATGAAACTGGCTACTAATTTACATCATTTAACGTCAACCAAGTCTCAACCTGGAATCTTTAAGCCACCATTTGCAAAGGAAAATCCAAAGGCCTTTGATATTGAAGTTGAAACTTAATTAAAAATTGCATTTCAAACTAATGTTCAATGGAAAACCCAAAAAAGAAGTGGAAGTGCCCAAAGAGCAGTCACCAGTCAAGGATTCAGAATCAGACCTCAATCGTAGAAGCTCAAATGATTTCATATAATTTTATTGTTTTACTGTAATTCAAAACACATATAACACTATTAGATTGATTAGAAACAAAGGCAAGAATAGGATACTGAGGTAGTAATAGAATAAATTGCCTTGTCCAATACATCTTCCTAAAAAGTTGCTATGATGATGGAACTCTCTTATGCATACATTACAAATCTCGCAATGATAAGTGTCTTTTCGATATTGAACTATTTCACAAATCTGGAATAATAGATAACTGAATACCTGACAATTGTTGTGTTTATTGAGAGTCTCTTGAAGGGATGTATTTATTCCAGGATTCATAACAGCTGCAATCACATACCCTAGAAGTTCTAAGACATTGATTATGATCGTAATGCAATATTATATAGTTTTTTGTTTTGGCTTTGTAAATTAGAAATACGTAATCACCAACAATGCAACTATAACAAATAGATTTATTATCCATTATGGACTAATTGCAAATATAGGTTCGTCATTGATGAAAATTAAAGGAGTGTAGTTTCCAAAATGTCTTTTCCACTCTTTTGCTTTGGTCAATTTCTATCTTGTATCATCGTCTGAATCATGATCAAAATACGATTCCTCCTCTTTCATCTTATTGATTTTCATTTCTATTTATGAAATCTCGGAATCATCCAATTCTTTCTCGATTGGTTTCTTTGAATCTTCTATGTTGTATTTGATATCTTCTTCATCAAATTAAACATTCATATCATCATCATCATCATCATCTTACTTTTCAAAATACTCAAAATCCATAAAGTAATTATTTTACTAAATGAGATCGAAAAAATATAATTAAGTTTATTTTTCATTTTATTAATAATCTTAACTACTTAAAGGAAGGCAAGATAACATAACTTATTGGATATGAATAAAAGATAGTCAAATTTCAGGATAGATCAAAATGTTAGAAGTCATCCATTAATATGAATGACCTATAAATGAAATAATCTAAAATAATTAAAATTAATTTAATACTCTCTGAATTAAGAATTTCTTAAATTTGACAATAAGATGCTCTTGAGGAGAATGCTTGGATAACAATTATTGATCAAACTAACCCTATTTAATAGAATTTAATAAAATAATTAAAAATAATAATCAAGTCATAATTATAATTCGAGAAAGAGACAAAAATACTCATTTCTTAGATTTTATATGATCGTGCTAAAAAGTATTAACATGATTGGAATAATATTTATTTGACTATTGAGAAGTTAAATATATTTTTAGAAGCAATAAGCTTTATGATGAAAAATGCTTTAATTTATTACAAAAATTAGCTAATTAATTATGATAATCAAAATAATTCAATAATTAGACAAAAATAAAGATATGAAGAAATAAAATTATAATATTAAAATAAAAAACCAAGTACAACTATATAATTGAGAAAATAAATTATATATAACTATTAATGAATGAATACGGCATTTTGAAATTGATTATTAGACAATTAGAACTTTTATCTACCAGATTCTGGTTCTTCCAAAATCAATATTTATAATGAATGCTTTTAATTCAGGGATTTAAAATTAATTGAAAATATTAATTGGTTAATGATTTACGAAGTATTAGAGAGATAATTAGACTAGATTATGTAATGAAGGATAGAGAATTTAACTTAAATTTAGACTTCATTTAAAGAATATACCAATAAGGAAAGTGATCAGTAATTAATATATTATTTAAAAAATAAAGTACAAAAAGAATCAAGTAAATTGGATAATTTGTATAGTGTTTCAAGTAAGTTGATAATTAAAATTATTTTGGTCAGCAGGAATTGGAATTGGTGAGAAATATCTAAAAATAAGAAAGTGATAGAAGAACAAATGTAAAAAGGGAGAATATAAAAAATAAATCTAATATACCTGCATTATCCCTTGATTGACAATGTATATATTATGTTTAAGTAAATCTATTTATTTGTTGATTAAGTAATACTTCACATAAGTGCGTAATTTTTTTATTATTTTAAGTTCAAATATTAAAATTATTATGCAGATTATAAAATTTTATTGTTTCTTTCAAGTAATTTAATTAAAAGTAGTTCAAATCTTAAATAAGCATTTGATTGTCCAATAATAATAATTAATTAAAAGATGTCTTGGAGGAAACCGAAAGTAATTCATTAAGAAAGTGGATGTGGGTATGAAATAAGAGGATTCACTGAACCAACATTCAAAAGAGTTCCTCATTGTCACAATGATGATGACATTGATGTAGACATTCCAAATGGGGACCTTGAATTTGGTAGGAAAATGTATGGATAAGCATGTGCTGGTTGTCATGATTTAGGTACTCATTCATGTATATTTTTTGAAAAGACAGCGATCTTGATTAAGGACCAGCTTTGAGAAATGCCTTTTTAAGAAGACTAGGATCAAATAAGAAATTTTCTAATTATGGATGGGATTTAAGAGCAAGAAGATTGTATTGGACTAGGAAGCTATTGTGGGATTTCTTGTAAAATCCTGAGAAAATGTTTTTAGATACTAACATGCAATTCGATGGAGTACATCACCAATTATTATATTTTTAGATTCAAGACCCTAGAACTTTAGGTAGCATAATTGACTACATGCAATATTTAACAGTGTATACTCATGATCACCGAGGATCAAAAAGACCCATCTTTTGAACCACAATCAATATATATATATATGCATAACATTAAAATTTTAATATATCTTTTATATATATAAAACAGGCAATATTTTATTCCCAAACAAACAATTAAAATTAATTATTATACAGTGTTATCCAATCAAATTTAAGGTTTCTTTAATCTCATTTTCATAAAAATCATTAATAGAAATTTTGGTATATATTAATATATTTATAAAATGATAATTTTCTATTTAATATGCATCCCAAATCATTAATTACTCATTGTATAAACATTTAATTGAATTTGAATAATGGAATTCTAATTGGAGAAGGTAATTAGTATGTTTATTAACTTGCAATAATTTCTGATTAAGGAGCTTGAGTTGAATTTGAAGAACCTACTACTCCTAATTTTTTAAGTTCTTTAGTATAATCATTTAACTCACTTTATTACTTTATTAAATCTTAAGTAAACTAATATATTTTTAAATTGATTTCTTACACTATCTAAATTATGATAATCTTCTGTAAGGTTTGCTATAAATTGAAGACAAATTACATATTTTATCATTGTATTATATGTATCAATTAAGTAAAGAATGTTCCCCTTTACCTTTTCGATATTAATCGAACGATTATCACGAATTATTTAGTCTGAATCAACTGTTCCATTTTAATTTACTCGAACTTAAATAATTGGAATCTGAATAAATTCTAATTCAACTTACGGGCTTGTTGTAAAAACAATACTAATATTTTCTTTCTTCATAACTTATTAAATCATATTTTAATCAACATTCCTTCTAGATTCCTCCTAATTCTTATTATTGATATGAAACTCTTCTAATATCACAGCTGAAATATAAGAATTTATTTTCATTTTATAAACATTCCTATTCATTCCTATATTTTAATCCATTTTCCCTTTTGAAAATTTATGAAATATTTAAGTTTAAAAAATTATTATAAAATGAATCTGTATAAATCTCTACATTCATTTAAAACATTTGATTGTATACTTTTGATAAAACGATTAAAACTAAATTGGCGGAGCTAGTTCCTTTATTGTCTCTTCTTATTCTTGTAGTTCTAATTATTAATCATCTTTAATTAATTTATCATTGCCAATTTTAACCTAAGATTTTTATATGTCATTAATTATGGTATTTGTAATAGTCTAACTAGAAAGCTTATCTGTAGGCCCAATTATTTGTGAATCTAGAGAAATGGTAGGGAATATGGGTTGGTTGAACTAAGATCCAACTAAAAATGGTGGATTCAAATCAATTGCTTCTGAGTTTTGTGGTTTATCTGTATGGATAATCTCACTTTAAACAAATTAATTATCGAACTTCAACTTTTCAGTATTTAAAAATATGCTCCCTAATGTGTCAGGGCTATTCTTTATCAAGTTTTGTAAGACTTCCTGTTCTGTTTTCTGAAAGGTCTAGTAAAAGGTCTAAAATCGAGAATCATCATACTTATTCGTAAAGCCAAGACTAATTTTTCTTCTCTTACAGAATCATATATGAAGCAAAGAAAAGAAGAGTTTCGTTTTTTCCTTCAGAAATTAGTAATGCGATATTCTTTTTAGCTTCGTAGATTTCTTTCTTAATGATAGTTAAATCAATTATACAAATAAAATTTCGCATTTGTCCTCCAAACTTTTCGAGGCTAAAGATTTAGTGATATTTTCTAAGTTCAGGAGCTATTCTTGGTTTTCTAAGAGAAATATTGTTTAAATTCGTTTTTCCTCTATTAAATTTTAAACTTCAATATTTAAATCCCCTTTAATCGAGATGACATAAAGAATCATTTAGTCAATGCTATGTGAAAATGTTTCTTAATGTACAATAATTTCAATCATTATAATATTTTAATTATGATTATTAAATAGATATGATTAATTATAATTGGGTTTACCTTTGATTAAACCCTGTATATTTGATGATTAAAATTAAGCAGTTTGACTCCTGTATTTCTTTAAATTTTAAAAGTCATTCAATATGTTTCAAATTCAAATGAGCAAGAAGGAATTTATTTCTATTTGCTTTACCCTCACATGTGTGCTAATGTAGATTGTAAGATGGGGACACAATAAGTTCCTTATAAAAAATATTGATGTGCATCAAATAAATAAAACTTCTTTGAACTCTTTTATTCATCATTATTATTAATATTAGAAATAAAATGAAAAACGATGAAAAACTTTATTAGAACATTCAGAAAAGATTGGAAGGCAGGCTAGATTTCACCAACAAAAATGATGATATAAGAAATTTGTTAATTGAATGCAATAAAATTTAGGATGTACTTTTAGTTTAAAATATAAGAATGAATAAGGCTATAAAAGCATAAATCTGATATTTTAAGCAATCCAAAAATCAGGACAGAAAGTTTAGCTTTCTGATTCGGATCAAATTCAAATAGTTAAATCCTGCAAATCCTTAGCAATCCTCGGTTTCCTTTACAATTAGGATTAAATCAAATTATAAAATAAAGAGAAGGAATTCAGAGAAAATATCAGATATCAGATTGATGAACTTCAAATACAAGGCAGTTTAGAAAAAGCCTTCTTATTTGATGTTGCAATCAAGTGCGACAACAAAGAATAGTTTATAGAAATTAGCACAATAATTAAACTAATAGTGAATGTCCTAATATATTTTGGATCTGATTCGTTTCATTTCACTTAAATCTTTGATGTCATCATCAACGCTTTGTTACTTACAGGAAATAACACAACCATCGGAAAAGATCATCAGCTATTATCAATTTTAGACTAATTGCAAAAATTACTTGAAGAGACAACCTCACCTTATTTGTGGACCATAATATTGGAGTCTATATTGAATGCCTCTAGACACACGGATAAACCCACAGATTTTGTGCAACCTAATCTGATAGCAAGAATCATATTGTCCAAAGTATATAAGTTTATAAATTAGATTCCATTTATTAATGATCTCTTTAATTATTTTGGTAAATACTTGGGGAGATGTTATAAATTTGAATATAAGATGTTCCAATCTATGCTATATTTTGGTGTAACAGAATCAACACTTGATATGATATTACGATTCAGCAAATATTTTGTCAAAAATTATCAAACAGAAATATTAATAGAAATGAGAAAGAATCTTATACCAAAACTCATAAAGTATATGAAAGCTACTAATTATTTTGATTAAATCTAGGAGTTGTTTAATTACTTCTTAATTTCATCCTAGTAATAATAGTTAAGTGATCAACAACTAGATCTATAGCATTTCGACGAAATAATAACAAATTATGATGATAATTTTGATTTTTACAGTGAAAAACAACTACACAGAATTGCCAACTTTCTTACATTAATACCTCAAGGTATCAATAAAACAGGGTTAAAAAATTATGGAACTTTAGAAACAAAATTAAGAGCCAAACATATGTTCAATCAGTAAATATCAAGATCTATGATTGAGAAAACAGAGTAAATTTAATATTGGTTTAATGAAGAAATTCAACAAGCTGAAAAAAGTCAGCCAACCTAGAAATTAGTTGGTTTGAGAAATCTATTAAATAGTATGAATTTGCAAATATTCATTTAGCCTGCTATTTGAACAGCTTTATCTAAGCACTCTTTTGGAGTTTGGATTTTAGAGATCTTATAATGAATAAGTTCAAAAGAGAAGAAATTGAATTTTTAAAACCCTTTAGTTTAAAAACCAGTTTCCTAAGAGTAATATTTTCAGAAATATCTTTAAGTGCTTCCTATTCATGGATTCAATGACTGAGGAAATTGATTACACTCCATTATTGTTAAAAAGAGCCTTGAGAGAACCCTACAAAACAGACATCAGATAACAGGATGCTGCTGAATTTGGAGTTCATTTGTTTGAAGATATGGAAAATAATTTTGATCCAACAGAATATGTAAAGATCGATTTAATTAGTTTTTAGTCATAGATAAAGGAGATCTTTTATGGTGTGTCAAAATCTGTATTCCAATGTAAGAATTGTGAGAAGCAAACCAAAGGTCCCAATGAAGAATTTATGTACATCACTTTGAACTTTGAAAACGATAGAAATGTGTAGGAGGATATAGAAAAAATGATCTGGAGGCATTAAGTGAATGAATAGATTACATTTAAATGTGATTAATGCAAAAATACTAGTTAGAGTACAAGGACTCTAGAATTTTCAAAATTGCCTAAGAATTTAATCATTTTAATTAATAGATTTGAATTTGAATAAGGAAATCGATATAAGATAAACGATTCAATCAACATTAAACCTATTATATAGATAAAAGAGAATCAAAAGTCTTTAAATTATGAATTATATTCGATTATTATCCATTTTGGACAAACCCCAGATATGGGACATTATACTGTTTATTGTAAGGTGAAAGAAGATTGGCATAGATTTGATGATAGTATCGTAAGTAAAATTGATAGAGATTTTACTAAAGTTCAAAGGAATTTCAAGTAAAAATATAATTAATATCCATTTAGAAAAGAAGAAACTCCGTATTTGTTATTCTATCGAAGAAAAAACGGATGAAATGATTTATAAACTTTTTATTTTCAAATGAGTTCTACACTTTTTCATCTATTATGTTTTTGTTTATCTTAATGTCATTTTTATATACTTCATTCAATTAAATTTGAGTTTTAGAGGAGTGAAGGAAGAATTGATATTGATTTTAGTAATAAAAAATATTCAAAGCTGGGATTCAAGCTTGAGACCTTTCATTAAAATAGTCATTTGATCTTATTTTAAGGCTGAGTTTTCAAGCTCAGCTTTGGATTATTCAGGATTATATTCAACTATAAAATTGTCCATTAACTATATAAACTCTATATTTTACGTATTTATCATAGAATTCTCCATACCAAATTGTTCTTAGATCACCTTATCTGATTGCCCAAAGACATGTAAACAATATGATCAAGGGGTACACAAATATTGATTGAGGAAGTTAGATTTAACTATTTTAAGTGGTTAATGTTCCTACTAGCCAACACATTATTCCCAAAAAGAGGCCAAGCAATCCAATTATAAAGTATACTCTAGAATTCCTGTTTCTATCAAATCTATACAAATAAGATATGGATATCCCTGGGACCACTAGATCCATCAATGATAGCCAAACACAGACTTTATTTAAATTGTATCTAAATTATGGAATCTGAAAAAGCACTGGATAATTAGAGTACTATGTCAATAATAAACTATTATTACTTGCAAGACTATAATTTCATAATTGACATGGAATAGTTTAGTCAAAAACACGAAATAATAGATGCAATCAAATAATATGATGCCAACATACAAATAAGCGACTCCTCTTAAATTGATGACCTTAAATAATCTAAACAGGGATCCAGATATGCAAAATGTAATTATATTTGATATGTACCAAGCTTGATTCAGTATCAAATAAAGGACTACAAAAAAAAAGGATAAAAACGCCGAGATGCAATCGCATCTCCTTATTGATTTAAACACTTCAGCTTACAATTTTAAATTTACTGATAAAAAGCATTGGAGTTCATTAAATAGAAACCAACAACAAAATAAAGCAAATATTAAACACATTATCAGCACTGTTTCATACCAAGCATTTATATAATGGACAACAACATAAAACATTACGGATGCCACAATATAAAAAAGGTACAATATCAAATTCACTATGAACCCCTAGAAGTAGAGCACTTGGCCTTCCAATTAGAAAGCCTATATTGCAATTAATCTATTTAAAAAAGGATGTTTCTATAGATCCATTTCTATTTTTAACGATCTAATTTTGGCCATCTTTGTTAAGAACCAGACGCAAATACATCCAAAAACAATAATTATTGCCATTGATCCATCAAAATTGATTTTTATTTATGATGGATCATTAAATGTTTAGTACTAACAAATAAACCAATATTAAAACATTAGAGTCTCTTATTAACCAGACTGAGGAAGAATTATTTCTATTTAAAATTGCATCATTCCTGAATTTATTGTATTAGTGCCCTACTTCACATCTGCACATGTATTATTTATAACAATATTTGTCTCATTTATGATTTGGAGATTTGCAGATTACTTGAATCCTAGGGCTGCAACTGAAGACTAATTGTTATAAATATTATAGCCATTCAGGATGATTTCTAAGGAATTTTCATATTTCGAATCTTAGGTGGCATTAATCATTTATAAACGAGGTGGTGTGCAACATGAAGTATGTGACCAATGAAATGAATCATTGTATGACGATTCTGAGCTATATATCACCCAAGAGTTTTAAAAAGAGTCAACAAGAGTAATACTTTATGAAAAGCAGCATTCCACATAAAATAATAAAATACTTATAAACATATTAATAATACAATAATCTCACTACTATTGTGTTTAGTATTCATATATATAAATTAATAGAAAATTGAGGAAAATTAGATGGGATCTTTTAATTTCAAGCATAAATAACTATTTGGTATACCAATTTGATTATTTTATTGAATGAAATAATGTACTTCATAATAAGGATTTAGGAATTTTATTTTGGAAGCATACATGATAATTGAAGTACAAAGTACAGTGAAATAAATTTCTGGTGATCAGATATCTGACTCATCTTAATATATACTAATCAATTTTTATTATTCATTCATTTTTTTTAGTTTTATTAATAAATCATATAATCGTTATACTATTTTGAATGCTTAATACTTCAATTAATTTTTTTGAGGAGAATGACATAATCAAATTAAGGAAATATGTATGGAAATGTCATTTATGAAGCTCATTGCAAAAGAGAATGAATGGAAGAAGGACAAGGCTGTTTTGGAATAAAAAATATAATTACTTGAACTTTAATTAGAAGACTATAAATCAAGAGAGTCTAATTATAAAAAATTGAACGAGACTATATCGCAAGCCATAAACGATACTTCTGCGATGCAAAAAGTATTTATTTCTTCGAAATTGCCATAGAGATCCGTATCGGAATTATAAAAAAATGTCGATATTTAACAGAAAGATCATAATAAGGCAATTTACAAAGAGCAGATTAAGTCTCTTGAACTTTAAGTAATTGATTGATACAAATAGAATAGGTTAGGTCATTAACAGAACAATTGTAGGAAAAAGATTCGTAAGGAAAAGAGATGGAATTATAATTCTAGAAGCAATATTACCAATACGATCATAGAATTGTTTCATTGGAACAAGAAAAGCTCTCAAGTAACCAAGAAAATGCGAAGCTCAAGGAACAAATACTCAAGCTTGAGGAGAGCTTCAAATAAAGAGAGCAGCAATTGAAAAATCAGTTCGAATAAGAATTATAAAGAATCAAGGATCTCAATATGTAGGATAACGATCTAAAACAAACAGACTACGAATCAAAATATTCTTAACTGTCTTTGCTATATGAGAAAGAAAAGGAGCAATTACAACTAAGGATTAGCAAATGTTAGAACACGATCAAAAGATACTAACAACACATAGAATAAAATGTCGATATAGTTAATATCAAATAGCAGTATGAGGATTAAATTCAGTAGCTTAAGGAACAGAACTCCCTATTATAGACTTAATTCCAATATGAAAGATAAATCCTATTGTAATAAATAGATGAACTCAAAAAATAATAAAGAGAACACATTATGAAGGAAAGTATCAATTATCATGAGTCGACTTCTAAAAAGAGGAGTGTGGACGCAGTCAAGATTAAAAGTTCCTTGTAATCTTATGACAGTCCAGTTTAATGTAAGAGTTTTCATATTGCCAGTCAAGATTCAAAAGGAATCAGCTATAATTAATACCTAAAGAACTCATCGAATTAATCACTTAATTTCACTTAGAAATAACTCTAATAGTCTTAATAATAAAATAATTAATCATTTGAAAAATCATGTAAATTTAACGATGGATTACCCATGTCAATCGATTAGTTTAACTTAATGAAGAATAAGAAACAAAAATCATAATCAACTCTATCAATCCCAACTAGTAATAATTATAATTTGAATTCACTCCTATAAGAAGCTAGCTTATTTTAATAAAATCAGGAGTCCTTTCAATTAGATTCCAACAATACTCAAAAAGAGGATCCATCTAAATAAAGAATATTGAAGCAACTGAATCCAAACATTGCAACCAGATAATTAGATTATAATCGATCAGTAAAACATGATTAGTGCAGATAACCAGAGTAACCATACTAAAGATCAGTCTCACAGGAGGGCTTAAAAAGTTCAGTTACAAATCTAAGTAAGATGCTTGGATAAACTGAAATTAGCTCCCAATAGTCCAACTCAACATATTAATAAACAAACAATACTTCGTTAAATTGTTTAAAAGTGCCTGCGTTCACTTAAAATTAATTGAATAGTTTAAAGAATAGTACATTGTATGTGTATCCTTGCGCAACTTTAAGGATGAATGAGAACCATGTTTAAAAGGCGAGATATAACAACAATCATAGTACTCACGAGGAAGTTAAATAAAATAAGGAAAATCAGTTGCCTAGTAAAAAGCAATCCAGAAGCGATATTAAAATGATTATTGGCAAGCTATTATAAACAAAAGGAAAACAAAATGAAGACATGGACAAAACGTCATAATTTTCCAAAGTTAATAGAATTTGAATAATTTTTTTTTTCATTATTAAAACATAAATTCTAAAAATATTTAAAAAGTCGGACTCATAATTTTATTAAAATTACTTTATGTTAAATATCCATCTCTTATCATAAACTCTTATAATTGTAATATAAAGTTTTTAATGTAAAAAAATTGCAAATCTTTAATAAAAACTTAACTAATTCATTTTGATTATAATTTGTAATATATAATAACAGTTCAAGTTCAAATGTTTTTCTCAGTAACTATCCAATCTCTATAGTGGTTTATTCGACTTACTAGATTCTGGCTATAGACTCCCATAATATCTTGGATGTTCTTAAAAATTTAGAGCAAAATGATACTTAAATGTAGGAATCAAAAATTTCGTTAGTAATTTTAAATCTCTTGTGGATTAATTGAATTTCTTTTTTTCTAAAGTGAGTTCTGTTTTATGATATGAAGTCGATCTCAATTTTGGTGAGTTTTTTCCAATCTATGGAGTGTTCCTTGATTTAAATTAGATAGGGATACTTTGTAAATGGTAGCATAAAAAGGCACTTAGTTCAATTTCTTGGCTAATTTGTCGAGTAAGCGAGATGGGATAGTGTAATTCTAACTAAGACAAGATCTCAGATCTTAAGTAAAATCTTGCATTATTAGATGGTTGGGTTTGAGGGATTGAAGAGTTGAGATGATTGCTTGGCAAACGTTTTGATTAATGTTGAGCATAAGCAAATCATCCTTTTTAATAGCTCTTGAATGATTGTTTGTGATATATTCTAGAAGCAACATGATTTATTTTTTTTGTTGTTCTTAATTTTTGGCATCTACTACCATGAGTGGCAATATCTCAGCTAGAATATGAATGAATTAGTATACAATTTTCGATTAAGTAATTTTTGATTGGTTTTGCTCTCAGAATTGATGATTTATAAGAGTCGATGATTTTTAATATTTTACGAATGGCTCTTTCATTGATTGAGAATTGTATGAGAATTCTGTAGAAAAGGATTTTAAATTGAGTGAAATGCACATGATTTAGTTTATGGAGTTCAGAAAATTGGTGGAGTTGGATCTTTAGCTCAGTGCTATTCCCTTGTGATTGTATGAGATTGGTGATTAACTGAATTGCGAATTGTTTGAAATCCCTTTCTGGATAAGGAACCAGGAAGGGTTATAGAGTAATGTCTTTGAGGAGTTGTTGGTACAATAGGTCGACAATTTGACTGATAGTTGAGTAGCCTCTCAATTCTTGATAGAGAGAGGGGGGATTCAAGAGTGGTTGTCTAAATTGCTCTAGTTTGTGAATGATTTTGAGTAGGTTGGGTTCCATGAGGAAGGTGAGTATGAAGTTGTGTTTAAATCTAGTGAATTCTTATTTGGTGTGTATTGGAAGTGTGTATTTTTCTACTTGCAGATGGTTAGATTGTTTGAGTAATTCAAGTAGCAATTCATAGAGTTGGTCTGAGGCCTCGTGTTCAAATTTGACTTTGAGAGAATCCCACAAAATCTGAGTCTTATCAGTGATGCAATATGCAGAAGTGCGACGATTGACAGATTGCAAACTTTAGCGAGGGATCTTTTTGGGATGTTGGTTGTTGATGATGTCTGTTAGTTTGGCAACAACTGAGTGATGCTGAAGTTTGCGTTACTTGATCTCGTTGGTTTTGAGATAGGATCTGGCTGGAGAGTTGAATTGAAAGTTGGGAGTAAAGGAGGATTAGTTTATGAGTTGGGACATGTTTGGGAGTCTGACGGAATAGGCACTTGAACTACGGGCTTGGCTGGGGGAAGTGTATAGCATATTAATAATATTGACATAATCACACAGAAGATTTTATAATAGTTACTTAATTTGTAATTCATCAGTATTATAAGTGAGTGAATGCCGAATTAATATATTTATTTATAATTAGAATGAGTGGAACAGATGAAGGGTATGTATGATATTGATTTTTGAGTAGAAGCCAAGATGATTCGGATGATCAATAATGTGTCAATTCCTCTGTGAATATGAGTTTGTCAGACAGACTCAAATAATAGGCTCTGGATGTTCACAGGATGTTAAAACAACTGGAAAGGGAGTTCGAAGAGGAGGAATGCCAAACTTATTATATTTTGAGCAAGAAGTATTTAAATACATTCGATAACTTAGTTGGCTCGACAAATGGAAGCAGTATGTTTCTTATGAGAATGTGGTGAGTAATTAAAGTGTTCCCAACACTTCTGGAAAGATGATGCCTCAAAATTTCAATCATGATCTAATTGAGCCATATGTCAATGAATGCTTCAAGTTTTACCCTCTCAGCACTAATCCCTGGAATTTGTGGCTGAAATCCAATCTCGACGAAGGCACACACTATATAGTCATTTCGCAACAACTTTCGTCCTATTTCAATCAATATTATCGAGGCACGAACATCGTCAGAAATGCCACAGGTAAGGGCAAAGACAAGAAGGTCATCGCTAATTTGTTGAAGGTATGAAGCATCCTCTTACTAGAATAGTTTAATGCAATCCTCATGATTCCCAACACCGTCAATCAAATTGCACAAGACAACCTCACTCAATTAGAAAAAGAGTATTTGTAAGTCGATGAGAATGCCAATCTCCAAGACTTTTACACCACCATTCTCAAAACAGTACCCACTTTCAGAGGAAACTATAACAGACAAAATGGAGTTCGCATTTGGAGATACACCAATGATACCGATCCTCACAAGGCACTCTTTGCTGAAATCAAAAAACAAGTTGAAGACCTAGACTTCAATGATGACTAGATCTTCAACTTTTCAGGGTCTCCAGTTTCAATTTCATCAGAACTCACTTTTAAATCATTGAATTTGACTGATAAAGATATTATCATTATTGAAGTATCCAAATATTCTTATGTAGTTCCAACAAATAAACAGACCCTGGTGCATCAGACACCCTTTCTGTTCCAGTCGAAGGAAAGTGCGAGGGGTGTTCCAACATAACCGTACTAACCGTTCTCTGTGTCTGCAAAAAGGTGTCCTATTGCACAGAACAATGCAGAATCAACGATGAGCGATTCCATCTACCCAAATGTGATCGTCTTGGCTCAGATGATGAATAAGTCAAATCCATACACTAGACTGCAACTTCGATCAATGGAGTAGCTGGGTTGTCCAATTTAGGTAACACTTGTTTCATGAACAGTGGAACTCAATGTCTATCAAATACTTATCAACTAACATAATACTTTTTATCGAACAAGTACTTCGAAGAAATTAATGAAGATAATCCATTGGGAACTAAAGGCTAATTAGTTAGAAAATTCGGATCACTACTCAAAAAGTTGTGGTGTGGTGATAAAAACATTGTAATTCCAACCAGTTTTAAGAAAGCAGTTGGCTAATTCCAACCCATGTTTAAGGGATATTAATAACATGATTCTTCAGAATTGATAACATTTTTATTAGATGGATTACATGAGGATTTAAATAGAGTAAAGAAGAAACCATATGTGGAATCTAAGGATCACTAAGGTAGACCTGATGTTGAAGTTGCTAAGGAAGGTTGGGAAAACCATTTGGCCAGAAATCAATCAATTATAGTAGATTTAATGCATGGGCAATACAAATCAACTTTGAAGTGTCCAAATTGCTAGTAGATTTCAATTACTTTTGATCCTTTCTTAACTGTTGGATTAGGCATACCAAATAGGAAATAAAAATCCATATAGATTAAAGTTATTAAATCTGTAGTCTCTATTGAGAGTAAATATATCAATTTTGACGGCTCTAAGAAGAATCAATCTCTTAAGGACTTTATAAATGAATATGTAATAAACGAATTTAAAATTGATCCCGATAGTGAACTAATATGCTATTCATCTGTTATGAATGATTTATCAGATCCGATAAATCTTGGGTCAGATATTAATACGGCAAGGAAGAATTCCAAGAGAGGATACTTGGTGGTGAAGGTATTGAGTCAGGATGAAAGGAAGATAGAAAATAATGAGCGAATCTATTTGAATTTTGTTCAAAAAGCCTATGATTCATATGGACACAATTTTAAGAAAATTATACAGCCTTCAACTTATTTGATAATAAAGAGAGAGTACAGTCTAGCTTAGATCCATCTGAAGATATTCCAGTTTCTGTTACCTATATTCTGCGATATTGTATAGGAAGCTGAATTGGATACAGAAGAGAAGTTTGAGGGAATATTATGAATAGCATATTCATGGAAAAGTAAATGACATGTTTATATATTCTTAGTATTATACAGTTAACAATTAAGCAGAGCATAATGTTAATGTAGAAGAAGTGCATCTTCTTGCAATGCTAAGAATTGCTAGGAATGTGAAGTGAGTTATTATACTGAGGACACCTTTGAGAAGGTCTAGCAGAAACAAATGGTAAATCCGAATGATTAGATGCAAAAGATAGAATTGGTAGTGTTTTGGAATAAGAGTCCATTCCAAAACATCAATGCTGGAGACATCTATCAATATTACTCAAGTCAACAGTACAGGAAATAGATTGAAGGTATTTAATAATATCTAATATAGAGGAGAATAACAATGCAGATCAGGAGAACAATGGAAAAGGAAGAATGATGGGAAAGAACAACCAAACTTCATACATTATGAATCCACCACCCAAAGTCACACTTCAGGAATGCTTGAGATTTTCTGAGCAGCCAGAGTAATTGGCTGAGGATAATGCTTGGTATTGTAAGGTGTGCAAGGATCATGTACAAGCTTATAAAAGTATGCAAATTTATAAGGTATCCAATTTGCATTATAGGGTAGGCTTCGGACATTTTGATTTTTACTTTAAAGAGATTCAAGGCATCACACGGGTTCTTCAAGTAGAAATTGGAGACATTTGTTGAATTCCCAGTAAGAGGTTTGGATCTGACAGAATTCATAATAAATTAAAATAAACCTCATGAGAATTTTCAGATTGAGGAGGAGTAGAAGAAGTTGATTTATGATTTGTATGCTGTGTCCAATCATTTTGGTGGTATGGGTGGTGGACATTATACTGCTTATGCAAAGAATCATGTAAGAAATTGGGTCATTATTAATATAGTTCAATGGGCAATGGTATAATTTCGATGATTCCCAAGTGAGTGAATTGGAGGAGGATCAGGTTGTTTCAAAGAGTGCTTATGTTTTGTTTTATAAGCGTAGAAGTGAATAAGAGTAGACTTAAACATTGAATACGTAGGAGTTAAATTGAAATATAATATATATATAAATTAATGTAAAACAAGAAATTAAAATGGAAATCAGATTTTGAAAAGTCTGTTATAATTGAAAACTTTGTGAATAGAGGATGGATCAAATCCCAAGAGAAGGAAGAGGAGTCTACTGATTGGAATGTCTACTGGGCAACTGTGTGGAATGTTCGTAACATCTTTAATCCTAAGAATGGATTCAGACTCAATGATCAAGTATTCTCAATTAAATATGACAGCAAATCATCAATCACTTTCCAAATCATTACGAATTGACACGCAAAGATTTTATGGTCAAGAACCTCAAAAGATTCAAAAGAGAGTAAGACAAGGAAGTATTGGAAACATTCAATTTTGACTTTTTGCCAACCACTTATATTTTCCCTGGAGAATATTCCCTATTTGTAGAAGAATTCCATCGAAATCCAAATCAAACTTGGATTGTTAAACCAGCAGCTCGAAGTCAAGGGAAAGGAATATTTTTGTTAAGGAAAATATAACAATTGAAAAAAATATCAGGAACAACAGTAACGAGCAACATGACTCAATTAAATCTGGCATCAAAAGAGAATTATGTAGTTTCTAGATACATAGATAACCCATTGTTGATTGGAGGAAAGAAATTTGATTTGAGAATGTATGTGCTAGTTACAAATTACAAACCATTAAAAGTTTGGATCTATAATAAAGGATTTGGTAGATTCTGCAATGAACAATACACTACGGATGTTGCTGAAATTGAAAATATGTTTGTGCATCTTACCAATGTAGCCATTCAACAATATAGTGATAAATACTCCTAGAAACATGGAGGGAAATACTCCATAGATGCACTCAAACTATATGTAGAATCTGCCTATGGGACTGATGCATTATAGAGAATGATGGATGATATTCATAACATCATGTTAACCTCATTGAAAGTAATATTAATAATATTATTATAGTCTGTTTAAGCTGTGATATAGAATGACAAACATTGCTTTGAAATGTATGGTTATGATATTCTACTTGATTCAAATCTTAAGCCATGGCTCATTGAAATCAATGCCAGTCCATCCTTGACTACTACGACTCCTGTTGACAAAAATCTAAAAATGAATCTGATCAACGATGTCTACAATATAGTACTACCAAATGACGATTTCCCTGACAATGAATAGAAATGTAATTATCTTTTTATATAATGCATAGAACAACAACCTACCAAGGTGGGAGGATTCACTCTTTTGTATGATGAGAGTCTTGATCCCAATAACAGGAAGACCTAAAAGAGGTAGAGTGTTAAAATATGGAAATGAATTATTAATTAATATTTAAATACTTTTTTCCTGTTAAAATTTGTATATTTGTATTATAAATTTAAAAATGCCAAGTAGGAGGCGAACCAAAAAGAAGAACAAAAGAACCAACAAATGTACTGATTATTATTGCGATTCAAGAATAAAAGTCAATATAAGTCGAAAAACAAAAACCTGCCAAAATTGATTATTAGCCTAAACCGGCGACAAGAGCCCAGAGCAAGACCAAAGAACAAAAGGAAAATCAAAATGTATAGGAATCCGTCAAACAAACTAAGGGCCACATTGATAAACCTCATAACAAAGAATAACATCCTAATTCGTAAAATGAAAAAGGGATTCCCGCTTCTTCAACATTGACTCATTAACAAGGTATATTAACACATTGTGATTGATGAAGAGTGTTCCGATCAAATTTCTTAGATTTCACAGTTATTTACTCTCTAAAAAAGTGAAGCTCCAAATAAAAATTCCCGATAATTAAGTAAACCCAAGATATTGAGTATTCGGGCTGCTAAATTAACCATTCCCGCAGAAACTAAGGAAATTCAAATGGATGTCGAACAAGAGGAATGCGAGTTCATTAATCAGGCCATGATACAAACCAGATGTAACCTCTTGGGAATGCCCAAACAGAGTAAATCTAAGAAAGACCATTCTCTGACAACAGAAAATAACTTCGCATTTGACCCATCTGAACAATCAGCCAACATCCAAGCCCCTCGTCCTCACAAAACTAAAGAACAATTAGCTCTCATGGAGGAATGCTTTACATCCTTACTTGAAAGCACAATTCCAGATGAAATTCTTTGTAGGGATCAAGAAAAGATACTAATCACAAGATTCATTGAGGATGGCATCAAAAATAATGGATAAAAATAAGCATTATGTAAATTTAAACCATTGATTTAATAGATATATCGGGAGTTCCTGGAATAGGCAAAACAGCCACAGTCTTGGAGGTCAAAAATAAATTGCTCTCCAAAAAACTCAACTTTGAGTTCATCTATTTCAACGCCATGAATGTAGGAGCTCCCGAAGACATTTATCCCTTTCTCTATGAAAAATTCACCAACAAAAGAGAAACCTCCAGAATCAAATCTTGCATCCTTCTAAGTTCTTGATTTTCTTTATTTTAAGCCGAACTCTTCAATGGTGAATCAGAAACCATCAAACAAAACAAAGTAGTATTACTAGATGAATGCGACCATCTCTACACAACAGACCAACAAGTTCTATACAATTTGGTTGATTGGCCTCAACAACCTTCAGCCCATCTGATCATAATCATGATTGCTAACACTATGGATTTTCCTGAAAGGCTCAAGCCTAAATTATAATCCAGATTAGGAAATCATCGCATAGTCTTTAAACCCTACAACAGCACCCAGATAGAGAGTATATTATAACAGAGGATGAAAACCAAGAAAATTAAATAATTATTTGCCTCCAACACCTTAAACTATTTGGGCAAAAAGATTGCTACCATTTCGACTGATATTCGAAAGACTTTAAGTGTCTGTAGAACTGCTATCGTTTTGGCTAAGGAATAGCTCTTAAAGAAAGGCGTGTTTTCTCAAATCGAAGTCGATCACATAAAACTAGCCTATGATATTATCTACAATAAACCCTAACATAATTCTTTGTAACACTTTAATGACGAGTTGAAATTGCTTTTGATCATGATCGCCCTTGAAACTCACATTAAAGGTTACAATTACGCCTATTTTCATCAAGTCATCCAAAGAGTGAACCAATAAAAACAATTGCAGAAAAAAGATACTCTTAGTAACTTTTAAATGAAATAAGTCTTAATAAAGTTATCTCAGTTGAACTTAGTTGAAATTAAAGACGAATAAGTATTATTGACAAAAAGTAGCTGGCAACAAAAATTGCAAGTAAATATTCACTGCTATTTTATTTAGAATAGTTTGGATAAGGATCGATTATTTAATTTGGAGGATGTTTTGATTCAACTTAAAATAAACATCGATGACATTAAGAATGGACTTTCAAATGATGATCTTTTTAAAGAATTTTCAAATTTATTTTGATTTTAAAACTCAAAACTTAAAATAATTTATAAAACATCCTCATTTCTTTTTTTAACCTATAGAAATAATCCTTCTTGTAAACTGCTTAAGGGTTCTAACATTCAAGCCACCAAGATATACTCAATAAGATTACCAGTTTAAAAATGGATTCTCCTTCATTGTGGTTAATGTCGAAATCACAGATAGAATTGGGTTATAAATTTATTAATGAAATTTCTATAATTAAGTATGTTTCCTTTGATGTTTCAATTAGATTTATTACATAATCGTCACTAGAGTTTAATTTAATAAAGTATTTTTTGATATTTTATAATGGGGTGTCATGTAACTAAAAATCCCAACTCTGACTAAAAATTCAGGGAATAAGTAATTACCGATGAAATGTTACAAGGTATTATACTTCCTATTCTGAGTTTAGAGTGCAAAGTGGATGAAGATGTGAAATCCAGAATAAGCGTTTACAATCAAGCTCTTGAGAAAATGCAGAAGATTCCAAAACTAAGGAATGCAAGTATTTTAAGATTTATTGTAGTATTCAATCCAATAGTTTAGAGAAGAAAAATGCAGAAATTCGATGAAGATTGATTTACTATATCTATAAAAATATATAATTAAATATATAAATATGCAAGAATTAAAGTTGATAGGAAAGGAATGTCCAATTGCCAGAGGAGGATGCAACTTTTTACAATACGATAAAGGCAAGTACTTGGTGATAGGAGGAGTCAATCGATCAGAAAATGGATTGCAAGAGTTTAATGATTTTTGGACATTGCATTTGCCTCTCAAGGACGGCAATTTGGCAGGAATTTGGAAAGAATTGACTCTAGAAAATCAATAGCTCTACACATCACGTTCAAGTTAAGCAGCATGTATAAGCGATGACAAGATGATTTACATTTTCGGGGGTTAGAAATTCTTGGAATCTCAATCAACTGACGAATTCTACAGGATCGATACAGCGTAGAAGGTGTTAACCATAGTAAAATCTAAGAATAAGCCAAAAGCTAGAAATTCTCACACATTAACCTACTTTAATGAAAGATTGTTTTTATTTGGCGGTGCTAATGAAAATGGCCCATTGAATGACTTACACATCTATGATATCAGTATAAAATGAACCCCTATTTATAGAAAGTGAAGTATGGTAGCAGATCAAGGATGTTTCAGAATTGATAATGGCTAGGGAGATGCATACTGCTCACATTTTATAGATGAACTTAAAGCCATTGAAAAAGAGTGAAGATAATAAGGCTTAAAAGTTGATTGGAATATTTAATGAATTATAAGGAGAATAAAAGGAGTAAATTTAACAAATAGCAGTTAAAGAGTAAATAATTGAGTAAGCTAATAATGAAATTTAATAATAATAATAAAAAGAATAAGAATAATAGTAATAGTAAGATCAATAATAATAATAGTAATAATAATAAATAAAAGATAATTAATAAGATTATCTAATTATCTTGGGTGGTAGAAATAAAAATGATCTTTTACAGGATATTCAAGTCATTAATTTATCCACCTTCGAAGTAGATTAGATTGAAAACCTTCCAACTCCATTATGTGCTCATACTTCTGTGAAAGTCAAATAGGATATCTGGATTTTTGGAGGTTGTGATGGTGCTTCTTTAAATTCAAATATCTATTAGTTACAGGATTAAACAATCAAGAAGGTTGGTACTATATAGACAGCCATAATGGCTAGTAGTGCATTGTATTCAGAAGAGTTAAATAAGATTATTATATTTGGAGGGTGCACTTTAGATAGAGATTTAAATTAGACATTTGTTGTACAAATTTGAGTTTAATATAATATTTATATATAATTAAATGTAAAAGAATTCGAAGCCTGAATTTCTTCAGATCCCCTCTTAAACTAAGAGTGTGAATAAGATAAACATGATTGAAGTGAAAAACGAAGGAATGATAGTATCAAGATTAATATCCTAAGCATGATGTCTGCTATGATTTTTTTGGAACAAAGATTGCGTTAGGATCATCAGATGGACATATAGAGATTTAAGAAATTAATGTCAATTCGTTTAAATCAGAGTAACAGAAAGACATATTGTCATATAAAATTCCTGACTTGTAATCAATGCAATATTGAGATAGCTAACATAAGGGACCAGTTTGGTAATTGAGTTGGTCTAATCCAAAATATGGGAATATTTTAGCCTCCTGCTCTTTCGATAAAACTATTTGTCTCTTCAAGGAATAAAAATTTGGCAAATATTCTTTGTTGCTTTAATTGTCAGAACACAAGGAATCAGTTCAATCCATCTAATGGTCTTATCGAAAATTGATATTGGCAGCTGGAGTAGCAGATGGGAGTGTACATATCTATTACAGAAAGAAGAATGGATAAATAAAAAATTAATAGGATTGGGAACATAAATCTGTAAGCATCAATTTAACATTAAGGAAAGTTAGCATATGTCTTGCGTAAATCAAGTGAGTTGGGTTAGAGATAAAGAATTGGATTTTGCAACTTGCAGTACTGACAAGTCAATAAGGATATGGAAGGTAACAACTCCAATAGATGGAGAATATAAATTGTCTTAGATCTAGCATATCCCATGTGACAGTTGGGTTAGATCTATTGATTGGGCAGCTGAGTAATTTAATTAAAATTAAATATTGGCTGCGGGATTGGAAGTATAAATGAAATTTATAAGTCATCTTAAGTTGAGATCTACTATTTGAAATGGGATTAAAACAATGACAAAAAAGTAAGCATAAGCAAAGAAATTTCATTGCAAACTAAGGGACCTTGTTGGAAAGTGTAATGGTCTCCATTGGGAAATCAATTGGCGATTTCAACGTTGGATGATAAGAATGATCCTTTTGTTTAAGTGTATAGATAATTGCAAAATGGTGAGTTTGCAGAAATCTGAAAAATATATATAAATCATAAATTTTCTTCTTCTTATTTTAGACTTTACTAAGCAATGGTCTCGTTACTGTTTTGCTGTTAAACTTCTGATGGTGGTGCTGGTTGTTTTTGAGATCCTGTGATGTTATCCTTGATCTTAGAGAGAGTTTTGCCGACGAACTTCGCTCCTTTTGCAGTGAGGGACTAATCTTTATTTAATTCTGAATTGTCGTAACTCAACCCATCGAATTCTTCTAGGGATGTTGTTATATTCTTAGCAAGTGAGATGCTCTCATTGTTTCTATATTATGCTAATGATCTAACAAGTGGTTATATTAAACAATACTTTTTAAGAGAGTTTGAAAAAACGTATATTTGCTTGCTTATCATTTTGGCAGGATTCAAAGCTTAGGTGGTGTTTTAAAACAGGAGTTAATTTATTGAAACTACTTTTGGTTGCTATTTTAAGTCAACATTGGATTATTGGGGAGGGAACTCTTATTAAATCAAAGGAGTATTTTCTGATTCGTGATTCATTTTAGTTTAATTATATTATTAATATTACTTTATAGAATTAATTTAAACTTAAGAATATAAGGTTTATAGTTTAAATATGATAGATTACAAATATCTTACTATTATGAGTAGAATAATATAAAAGCACACACACATGAAATCGATGTACAAATAATTCATTAAATAAGATATTTTTTATTGAAATTAAAATATTTAAATGAGTTCAAATGATAAATATGATAGATAGGTCAGGATTTGGGGACCACATGGGCAGACCAAACTCTAAAATGCAAGAGTGTTGTTGTTGGGGTAATTTTTGGAATAATCAAATATAGATGTGATCCTGTGGGAGTTGAAACTCTAAAAAATCTAGTGTTGCCTGGTATTGGTTATGTTGTGATTGTTGATAGTAAGGTGGTCACAGAGAGTGATATTGAGAACAATTTTTTCATTCCTCATGATACAATAGGGTAGAGCAGAGCAAAAGTTGTGCTTGAATATTTATTGGAAATGAACCAAGACGTGAAAGGAGAGTGGCATCAAGTGGAGAATTTTGATGTGAAAGAGCAACACTATGATTTAATAATTGCAAATGAATAACGATTCTCAGAGACCAAATTCAACTTGATTGAACTCCAAACTTATGGATTAGTTGGTAGGATGAGATTGTACTCTCCAAAATGCCACATTATTGAAACCAAACCTATGAATCAAAAATACGATTTGCGCATTTTCAATCCATTTTAAGAATTAAAAGAATACTTTGATTCAATAGAATTTGAAGGGGATGTAGACTATCTTTCACACATCCCTTACATTGTCATTTTGTATAAGGCTCTATAAAAATATCATAAAGAAAAGGGAAAGTATCCATCTACCTTTTCAGAAAAACACAAAGATTTTAAATAAGTTATTTTAAGTCTTTGTGAAGGTCTAGAGTACTAATACACAGGGAATTTCTATGAGGCAATCGATAACATCGATTAAGCATTTAACAGTGAAAATTGGAAAAATTCTCTTGAATCAATAGAGATAGAACAGGATGTTAACGAAGATCAGTATTTCGTATTGATCTCGGCACTTAGATAATTTGTGCAAATACATGGAGCCCCTCCTTTGGGTAAAGCTTTCCCTGATATGAAATGCTTTACATAGACATATGTGCATTTAAAAAATACTCTTTATGGTACAAAAGTCGAGAAAGACTTTTAAGCTTTCTAAGCTCTATGCTAGAATAAAGTAGATGATGAAACCATAAGACTATTTATAGAGAATATATAGGACTTAAAATCTATCACTTACCGCACAATCTAACAAGAATTGCAATAGCCAAACGAAGTTGAAGACTATGACAATGATTGCTATATCTGGTACATCTTACTGAGATCAGTTAATGAATTCTACAATACTAACAATAGATGGCCCACTTAAGAGAAGGGGGATACCTAGTAATTATAGGAGATAGTTGATAAACAATGTAGACTAGTCAATGTGGATAGTATACCTGAAACTCATGTTATTGAAATATGTAGGTATGAGGGAGCAAAGTTGCACATGATCGCCTCAGTTTTGGGTGGAATGGCATCTCAAGAAGCAGTCAAATTAATTACCAATCAGTTTGTTCCCATCAATAACACATTAATTTATAATGGGCTTAAAAGTGAGGCATCCATATTTGAGTTCTGATTCTGCATAACACATTATATGTGATCATTAATAATAACAATATGCATTAAAGAGATCTTTAATTTCTAAATTCTTACTTTATTATTTTAAATATAATTTTATATATATCAACATGCAATTATTAATCCTAAATAATAAAAAGGTCAACAAAGAAAAGAGTGAGAATAAATAATTAAACATTTTATAATCATGTATTATTATATTATATATTTGATTATATAATATTAGAAATTTGACTATCAAATAATTAATGTTGAGATATAACAAATAAACAGAAATATAGTTTGTTAACAAATCAATTTTATTCTATTTTTTTTGATTTATTTCTTTGTCTTTCAGTTTAGGGTTCATGTTATTTTAAACTAGTCAAACTACATTGTCTTGATAATTTAGTTTGTGGTTCCTAATTGAACTCACACTGGGATCTCCCATATTGTTTTTATTTGTTAGCATACCATGTGTTCACATCAAAATATTTATAATCAAGCAATGCTTAAATTGCTTCCATAGTTTGACAACAATCCAGTCTCTACTGAGGTTCAGCCTTCACAAGGAGTTACACTAAATCGAAAACTGATCCTTTCTCCTTAATTGTGAATTAACATGTTTTATTATTTCTGAATGTCTCCTTTTCATTATTGCTTCTAAACAGTCCATCCAATGTCAATAGTTTGTAGAATATGCATCCTACACTGAACAAATCTACTTTATAATCATAAGCTTGTTTTTTGTTCCAAACATTGAGTACTTCAGGGGCAGAATAGCCAGTAGTGCCACAAGATGGATGTTATTCAAGCTGCTTTCCATTGAAACAGGCTAAGCCGAAGTCGATTATTTTGATTTGATTGTTGTGATACATCAGGTTTGCTGGTTTAAGGTCTCGATGAATGATCCCATTCTGATGAATACATTGCACTCCCTTTAAAAGCGACTAAATTAAATTAAAAAATATTACCTCCATTATTTGTAAAGCCTCTTGGATCGAGTAGGGTTTTGTTCTGCGTTCTAGATGCTACTTTAGATTGGACCCAGGGAGGTACTCTGTCACTATATAGTAGTTGAGTTCATCCATGTAAACCTCTTTGATTTCGAGGATGTTTAAAGCATTTCCTTGCTTCAACCTTTTGAGTATCTCGATTTCGTTTCTGATAGTTGGGCTGTGGTTGTTCTCGCACTTGATGCTCTTTATTGCCACGAGATTGGAGGTGAACCTGCAGGTTTCTTTAGTGACCTAACAATATTAATTAGTTTAAATTACTTTTCCAAAAGAACCAGCTTAAAGGATTTCCTCCTTCTTATAAAACATATCTATCTTTTAGTAACACACCAAAGCACCCATCTTTGCCTTGAGGTTCACCATGTCATTAGGATTACCAAAGAAGTCCTTGATTTTATCTTAATAGGGAAGCTAAAACCCAACAATCTTATTATTAAGAACAGACCAAGAGAATACTTTCTCGATTTTTAATTAATAGATATATTTTGGATTCTACTGGTTCGGTTTCTATTCAAATTTATCAAAAACTACTATTTACTTCGCACAGTGTTAGGCATTGGGTTGTTAATTGAAGATAATATTTTCGATTCAAGAATAAGTGTCTTCTTTCGACCATGCATTCATAAAGAACGCCTGCATTGCTTTCCTGAGAAGTCTATCCTGAGCTCGTGGGCATTATCATTTATTACATTGTAAATAATAATATTCACTTGATATTTAATCTTACTATATTCGTAATATATCATATATTTTATCGTTTTATTCAAATACAAAATGAATTATAGTTTAGCCGTTATATATTGATCCTCCATCTCTCAGATCAAATTTATATGTCTACGACTTCTTGGTCTCACCAATTGAGTTGCAATCATCAGATTATTAGTCATGAACATGGATGCCTTTTCGAAATTCCGAGACCAAGTTTTTGTTATGTTTTAAATTATATTTTTTATAAAATAATTGTACAAATAAAATATATTAAATGTTAATATCGATTATGATCCTCATGCGTATTGCAATTAGTTTGTTCGTCTTATGATATTGATAATGGGGACTACTTCTAATTTTTTAGTCTAATTTCTAAATTAGCAATGCTCTTAAATACTCGCAACTGATATGACTATCTCTTCTCACGAAAAATCAAAAATAAAGCGGGGATGACGATGAAATTTATAATTGCTCAAATTTTCATTTATTTTTTATCTAATTTTTTGTAATTAATTTTATTATTAGACTGTGTTATACAAATTAAAGAACTGCACAAATGTAATATTCTTTGAACATCAATCAATTAAATAAATACAATAAATTTCAAATTAATTTGTCATTATTTAGCAGCGTTTGATAAGATGCCTCTAAAGATTTTTGATCCTCCGAAATTAAGAATCTATTGATAATTGAGAATAATTAGTTACAGGGGATTAAAGTTTGCTACTTTTGGTGTTATCTTTCTCAATTTTACAACTCTAAGGTTTGTGCTCCAGGGATTATGATCTTTCTTTCAGGTCTCCAGGAGTGGGTGGAAGATTGACTGGAATCGGAGCTGGGGTTTGATATTTGGTGGATTTAAGTTTCTTTTGGTTTTAATTAGGCAAACCCTCAGTTTTCTTAGTCTTTTCTTTCTACTCCTTTTTTATAATCAATATGAGAAGATTACTTTGAGGATTCGCTTTTCAGATTCTTTTTGGGCTGAGAGGATGAAGTTCTTGAAAATCAGGGAATCTCTGACAATTCTAGAGCAAGTGAGACTTTTGAAATATTGATCCAGCAATTGTTTCCGTTCTTCTATTAAATCAGGGTCTGAATTGACTGATTTCCACCAATAAGTACTTGGGAATGATGGTAATGTGATTTTGAGAGTCTCAAGTGCTTGATGAAACTTTTTAAGTTCTGAAAATCTATGTTGATTATGAAAGACTAGTTGATTCTTTTGATTGAAGAAGCTTTTAAATAAGTAATCAGAGTTACTTAAGTTGATAATAGACTGTTTATTCATTCTTTTATGATTGAGATACTGTAATTACAAAGTCGAAAACATTGTCTTGCATGAAAATATTGTAAATTAATCCTCTAAATAATAATTAATAATGGCGGAGATTTCCATTTTTCGTATATGTTATACTGTTATACGATTAGAATTATAGTGAATGGACTTGGATTGGTTTTCAAAGTAGATGGAGAGCACAGGGAGGAAATAAAAAGAAAAAAAGTTTAATTTGCGAAAGAGGGAGAGAAATGAGGGTCAATAAGAGAAGGGGAGGATACGCAAGAACTGTTTAATAAGGTGAATAAGAATTTTGTGTATTATTAACGATATTATTAATATAAATAATTTTATAGTTAGCTGGAATGAATGAGTCCGACAAAGAGAATAAGAACGGCATCAGGCTCAACAACAAAAGGATAATCGGGAATTATTAGCTTAGTATTGAAATTGTATTAATAACCAGTTAAAACATTGGGAGAAGGTACTTTTGGAAAGGTGAAGCTGGCCGTTCATCTGAAATCGCAGGAGAAAGTGGCAATTAAAATATTGGAGAAGGAGAGAATAGTAGAAGTGGCAGATGTGGAACGAGTGTCCAGAGAAATACACATCTTGAAATTGATTAGACACAAACATGTAATTCAATTGTACGAAGTATGCAATTCCATGGAATATGTAGATAATTGAAACTCCCAAGCATATCTTCATAGTGATGGAATTCGCAAATGGAGGAGAGCTCTTTGAATACATAGTCAAACATTAACGACTTTAAGAAATCGAGGCTTGCAAATTTTATCAATAACTGATATCAGGTATCGAGTATTTGCACAAACTCTGTATCGTACATCGAGACCTCAAGCCAGAAAATCTACTCTTAGACTTCAACAATTCCATAAAGATTGTAGATTTTGGATTGGGAAACACATACAAAAAAGGTGAGTTGCTTAAAACAGCATGTGGCAGTCCCTGTTACGCAGCCCCAGAAATGATAGCTGGTTAGAAATATGATTGTCTGATGGTCGACATTTGGAGCAGTGGAGTTATACTGTTTGCAAGCATCTGTGGTTATTTGCCCTTTGAAGTATGTTTAAATGTGATTACCCTAGGATTAAAACACATCTGCTCTCTATAAGAAAATACTCAATGGTGAATATTCCATCCCTAAATTTGTATCCACTGAAGGAGCCAATTTCATGAAGGCAGTTCTCACAACAGACCCAAAAAAGAGAATAACTGTTGAACAAATGAAATCCCATCCCTGGTTCAATCTCTATTAAAGTTAGTCCAAGATCTCTCCAGGAATCATTGTTGGGTATAACAGAATGCCTATCGATGATTCTGTTGTAGATTCCTTATCTCAACAAGGTTATGACAAAGAATACATCATTAAGTGTTTGGATGCCAACAAACACAACGATGTGACAACTGCTTACTATTTGGCATTGAAACGGAACTTAATCAGTGGAATTCAATCCAAAGCTGACATCAACAGCAGTGTTTTCGAAGAATCCTTATTAGAACCTAAACAAAGACCTAAAAAACGTAATCATCCATCACAATATCTCCTTTAGCTCCTATTTCCAATATCGTTGCCACTTCCATCTTCAAATAAAACAGATCTGGCTCAGTACAATAGAATGGACAAACCAATAACAATTCTTAAAATAGAGGCAAGAGTGTTCCCTAAGCCATTAGTGATGATCAAACCTAAATGCTTGTTAACTATGCTCATAAGATGAAATACCAACCCATCAATCCACAATAGAAATTTGCCATACCCACTGATGTCACTTAAATAATCTCACTCTAATCCGTTGATGACACTTTAGAGAGACCTAAATCCATTTCTTATCACATTCCTAAAAAGACTCCCACTAATCATTAATCTTCTGAACACAATAAAAGCAAAACTGGTGTCTAAAGAGATTCTGTCTCACCTCAATCCAAATCAAAATAAAAGAAGAGTTTACAATCCAAATAGGTTAACTCTTCCTTTGAATATGTCAGTGTCAATAACTACAGCACTAAACAAACTGAAGAACGTAAGAAAAGCAATAGCAAACACACAACCAAAGATCTATTTGATTTAACCAACTATCAGAAAAAGTTAATGATCGATTGCAATCAAAAACCCACGAGTCAACTTTGGCAATTGCAAAACAACTTTAGATAGAACTCTAGATTGTACGAGATACCAACTTCGACCAAAACTAGTAACTCTGTAAATAAAAGATCAAAAGTAACTAAACAAGAAAATAATAATAAGAGTACAAATCAAAAAAGTACTTTAAATAATAGTTTTAATTTTGATAAAAAATCTTATTATAATTGAAAATACTAAAACTTTTAAATAGTTTGAGTATGATAATTATACACATTCATATATATTATTATTTTTTTACTTACTCATCCTTGTTATCAAATATATATATATAATAAAAGTCATTTGACATTTATTTTGAAAAATTGAAAATTACATATATTCACTACTTAAAAGATACTAAAATATAATATTCATTTAGGCATTAATTTAAAATCTTAAAAATGCAAATCGACCTCTCTGTTTATTAAAAACAAGGAATTAAGTACAACATTTTGATATGTTTTGTTGTTTATCATTCTTTAAAATGTCTCTTTCATATTTCTATTGTGGATATAATGCATATATACTTATATTCATTTATTTTTTTATCATGAATTTCAAGAGTAATCTCTATCATCCAAAAGAATAGTTTCAACAGATACAACTATTTATTAGCTATTAAAATCTAGGTTAATTTTGATATGTCGATTTAAACCAAATACTATTTGAATTTGTTTTCATTGAACTACTCTATTTTGCTTGATTGAATCAAAAAGTTAAAAGCCTATAACAAATCAAAAATGTGCTTTTATCTGGGGTTGGATAGAGCTATTTAGTATAAAGTTGAGAATAGATTATAGTATTATTTAGGGTTGTTGTTATTCTTCACAAGAAATTTAGAAGTAGCGCTAGAAATTATTTTTAATTCTTGAGCCTTCAAATTGAACTAGCACTCAATTGTCAATAATAGTATTCCAGAGATTTAGTATAAATTCATTGCAAGATGTGTAAAACTTGTTTTTCTGAATTCCAAATAACTTTTGAGTTCTTCCATCCTCATATCAATGTTGCCAATAAAAGCCTTGTGAGTTGCCAGCAATTCGTTCTAGTTAAATGTATAAATTTACAATATTATTGCCTTTTATTATATTCTCTGTAAAATCCTTATAATATTCAAGGAGATTTTGTTAAAATTGTTCTTACACTATTGATTCGATGAAATCTTATGTCTTTTGATTTTCTCCAAACATATTTTCAAAATTTTCAAAGAATTTCTTGTCCTAAAATAATTCAACTCCATATTTATATTTCATCATCTCTGTCTGAATTTTGTTGATAGCTTACTAAAGGTCAGGTTCAGTAAGTATTATTAATAATCCTCCAATATCTGGGTATTTTTCAAATACTTGTCCAAGGATTCCATTCAAAATCAAGTTCATTTCTGTTATTGTACTTTCATTTTGTATTTCTAGAAGGGATTGCATTATAAAGAATAGTGTAAAATATTCTAATTTAGAAACCAAGGAAGCAGATGTTTTATAAATGTTCTTTAAGATTTCCTCATACCTTTACAAATGTATATCCATTTTGAAACCAATTTCTCTTGGTATTGCTTCTTGCAAATCTGATAATGTCCAGTTATCACTTCCGATCTAATTTGTAATATGAGTAGTTTTTAGAGTCATCCAAAAGAATAGGTCTTAATCTTAGGGGAAATGTTGATTTTCAAAGACTTAGGACACTGATCCTGAATCGAAGGCAATCAAATAGCACTATTCAAATAGGTCGTCATCACAAAATTAATCAAGCTTTTATATTTTTTATTGATTTGTTTCACTACATAGGTTAAAACACTTACATCCTATCTTCAAGGAGTTCAAAAAATAATTAATATTTTTGATGTTTAGCAAATTAAAATATGATTGACTTTGCTTATTTTAGTTATCCACATCTCATAAGTAAGAATAAGATTCCACTTGGATAATATTGGTTTACGCTTTGAATGTTTAGACGTTTTGATAAGATCTCATAGTAGATATCCTTAAATTTCTCTAATAATAAGATATTTAATTTGGATTACAATTAATATTAGCTATATCAAGGACTCCAATTCTTCTGCACATTTCTGCTTCTAAAATTTTGATTGAGTTCTTGAGAAGATCTTTTTGGATATTCTTAGATTGAAATTAGATGCCTTGAAATTACTGAGATAACAATTTCATTATGTCTTTATGATCACTCTAGATGTTCACAAAACAAGAAAACAGAGATTCATAATAGTCTGTTTTATCGATATTCTTTTTATCTTTGATCTATTTTGAGAATTCTAAGAATTGCTCCAATTTTTCATAAAATTCTTATTCCTTAAATAACTTTTCAATGATTAGTTGATTATGTGTGTTAAACGAAATAGATTTAATGGAAACAGATTTGGGTTATACTTACTCCGCCCTATTCTCGTGTAATAGGTTAATTAATTCCTTAGTTTATCTACTCTGAGTAAGCACTTCTTTTTTCTGCATTGTATTTATTATCTATAAATAGTGGGTTATGATGTTTACATTTTTGTTCATTTGAAATTTGCTATTGAGTTCCAAATAGTTCGAAATTGGTTGTGAATACAATTCCTTGACTTTGATTTAAGATTAGAACAACAAGTTTTGTTTCTCTTAATCAGCTTTGATTCTTTAACTCAATCTCTGCAATTCATCCTTCTTTGTGTATTCTAGGTTACGCTCATTTAAGTTAAATTTTTAAAATAATTAACACACCTTCTAACTGAGAGTGTCGACCAATAAATCTAAGTTAAGTTTTTAAAACATTACATTGAGTTTGTTTGACATTTATTTGCTTTTGAAATTTTTTCTAAATTCTATTTTTCAAATACTTGGTCTGTAATACGAACAATTGCAATTCCTATTGTTTTGTCTATGAATATTGGGCGAGCATAAATACCAATTCCGGCTTTTCTTTGTAAAACTTAACAAGGTTCTCGAATTCGCCTTTCTTCTGCGCTTGATTTGGAGGTTACACAATGGCAGTGGTAGTCAATTATGGCTACAACGGTTGCGTTGCTAAAGGTTATAAGGGTTGGGGTTAAGGCTGTAATCCCTATTGTGTTTGCATAGTTGGTAATGTTTGAGCTATATTAGAATGATGGCATTACGCTAACCAAAGATTGATGATGCTTATTGTGTGTTAGGTTAGGGAGTGAGAAACATTGATGGTTGCGATCCAAGATTCATTATTACTTAATTTTAGAGTACTTTTTATTTAAAATATTAAAAATAATTAACCACACTTCATTGTTACATTATAAGTGTAATCATTAATTTTATAATAAATAGATTAAATAATTTGCAATTGGAGTAAGTAGTATAGTTAATCATATATATACAAATCAGTAATTCATCTGAGTTTGCCAATAGTTGGTTTGTGTATTTTGCCAATTCTGAAGGTACCAATAGACTTTTTTTATGGTAAGTCCATTTCACCAAAATCTAGCTTTCTTTACACGCATTGTATTTCAACATCACTGAAGGTTTTTTAGAATTTATCCACAAATGGCAGGCTTATCATCTGTTGGAACTTGTTCGATGATTTTGGAGGTGTGAAAGACATTTTGTAAACAATAATTTTTATTATTAAAAATATTATTATAATTATATTTACGCGTTTGTATATGCAACAATTTATGCTACATTTTGTGTAATTATACTTTTTTCATTTATAACATTAATTTTGAATAAGTTCATTAAATTATACGTTGTATGTTTAAATTCAAATTAAATTAATTATGAACAATAAAGGGACATTCAAGAACCGAGACATCAACACTTTTTTGACTAACTACCAATCATTGGATAAATAAACTAAAAAACCCTTTGAATATTTGAATCTGGCCTACTCAAAGCAATTTGATTTTTCCCCTATTAAGAAACAATCATACTCATCCAAAGCCAATGATACCCAAACTCAATACAAGAGTCTCTAAGAAGCTTCATTTCTAAGACAAAGCACTTTGCCCAATTACGAACCGACCAGATGCTCGAGCTTGAAAAATGGGATCATAAAAGCATATGCTGCAAATACAAATCAGGGATTGGTGAGAGATTACAACGAAGACAGAGTCTCTATCATATTAAACATCATTAAACCTTAAAGTAGAGAAAATGAACAATGGCCTAAATGCTCGTATTTTGGAGTTTACGATGGACATGGTGGTTCAGCATGTGCAGATTTTTTGAGAGACAACCTACATCAATTTGTTGTAAAGGAACCAGAATTCCCATGGAATCCTATAAATGCTATTAAAAAAGGATTCGAAACGGCTGAAAAATGCTTTTTACAAATGGCCTAAGATTCATTCAATAAAGGGATCCCTGAAAGAAGTGGATCTTGTGCAGTTGTAGTATTGATTGTAGGTGATTCATGTTATGTAGCAAATGTCGGAGATAGTAGAGCAATATTGAGTACAGAAAATGGAAGAAAAGTAATTGATCTATCAAAAGATCACAAACCAGAATTAGAGAAAGAGAGAATTATTAAGGGAGGAGGATAGGTGTATTAAACTCATGGAGTAAATGAAGATGGATAACCGGTTTTAGGACCTGTTAGAGTGAATCCTGGAAGATTATCTGTTTCAAGAACTTTTGGAGATATAGAAGCTAAATTTGAGAAATTTGGTGGAAATCCAAAGATAGTTATAGCTGAACCAGAAATCAAACATTTCAAGATTGTGAATTAACATGATTTTATCGTTTTAGGAAGTAAGAGAATATCTAGTATCTAAGGTGATGGTATATTTGACACAATGAGTTCAAAAGACGTGATAAATGGGGTTTGGAAGGATATTTAAGTGAATTAAAATACTAAGGATTTACCTTAGATGATGTCAAATGCAGTGGAGTCAGTGATAAAGGAAAGTTTAATTCGTAAGTCTACTGACAATGTGACATTATTGATTATAGCTTTTTCAGTCACTCCATTGAGAGAGGAGGAGATCAGAGTTAAGACGATATCATATATCGACAAATTAGTTAAAATTCCTTAGAGCAGCAATCCATCTAACTTAAGATTGAGGTATGTGTTGATTTAAGTATTTTTAGTAAGTTCAATGATGAGAATAACCCATTTTTCATGAATGCTCAGAAATTAAAATAAAATCCAAAGTTAACTAAATTCAATTTTGAAGATAATCTTCGTTATCGTTTGATTGGTTGAATATGTTAATGAAAAAGTGATTTAAATTTGAGATTTTTCAAAATTAAATTATTGCTTATGCGAGCCAAATATATAGTTAATATTCTAATTGGATGTTGTTTCTCTGCAATGAAATTAAGAAGTGTATCTAACAATTAATGCGATTTTAGAATACAATAATATATTGTATTATTAATTTATCTTAAATGTCAAATTTTGCACCTTCTCAAAAATTATCAGACTTATTCAAGCATGAAGGGAGATCTAATTCAATGCACTCCTTCTATAATAATAGATCATCGTGTTATTCGACATTAAATTTGAATAGTTCGTTGCTGAATGGATGGGATTCTCAAAATCACCAACCTGTATCGATATTAACATCGAATCGAAGCGACATCAAATAGATCAATATGCCTTCATCTCAACAAGTATGAGAAAATTATAACTAAGGATATTACCAATGAAATAGTATCATCTCAACATGACAGGAGATCGTCAACGCATGTGTTTGTCCATTCTGGATTGGATGCCTATGAAAAGTACCAGAGTCAGCCAAGGAGAGATATGAAGATATAGCCGAATTTCAGATAGGAATTGTTGCATGAAGTAGTGAAGATCGAAAAACCATTTTACATCACCAGAGTGGAGGAGATCGAAAGATATTGGAAAGCCAAGGAGATAATGCTCCTTAGACAAAAAGGTCAATTGGAATTCGAAGTTAAGTTTCAAGCCCAATAAGCCAATAAAAAACCAGTGATTCTAAAGGTAGAACCATTGCAAAAAATAGCAGAGATGGAGGTTGAAATATAGTAATTAGAAATATTATTAAAGTATGTGTCCCTATTAAGAATAGGAACAAGAATAAGACGCTTAATGAATTGAAATGGGATAGCGAGGAATTAGATGTTAAGTATGACAAATTAATGGATTAAGACAATGATACACAGTTTCTCAAATATGAAAAATAGCTAAAGAACATTCAACAATCCTTTAAGGATTTAAATAGGAGGTTTCATGAAACTGAGGAATAAATTACAATGAAAGAAAATGAGATCGAATCTCGAAAGAAATAAATATAACGAAAATCATCAATAATTATGCCATCAAATCTCAGGAACTCTATGACCGACTCTAAATTTAAATAGAGAACCTCTTTTAAGAGATAAAGTATAAACTCTGGAACCATGAGTCCTACTCGAGTTACCTTCTCATAAAAAAGTTAGCCCTCTGAAGAGTGCATTAAATTCAAACATTGATATTGATATTATTTCTATTTTATTTAAATATTGTAGACACAAAGTATCTTAAACTCTTAAATAATTTTAATATGATAATAAAACTATGGTAATCATCCCTTCACTTTCCAAATAATGCACTCCTAATTATTGGTAATGAGTCTTAAAATGTTTAATCTGTTCTGACATCCAATGTGTTTTTGCAAACGATCAGACCGTCCTTATTAGTCATTAATATTCCCCCAAAACATTTCTTATCATTCTCTGTTTTAGAAATAACCTTTATGCAATAAGTATTTCAAGTACCTCAGAGGCAGATTCTTGTAAGGAATAGTCTTGAACTCCCTTTAAGGAATTATCTAAGAGAATTCTCTCATCCAAACATTTATCCTCATCCACATCTATTTTGACTTCGAACTCAAGTCCATTTAATTCTTTTCTCAAGATATCCTGAAATTCAGCGATGGCATCTTCCGTCACATTCTTAACGTGTCTGATATCTCGATGTAAACATCTTCCATTTAATAGTAAGAATACCTAATTACAACCTCATGTTCAAATAATTTAATTAACCCTTGCACAATCAAATTCTTGAGCAATTCTTCATAAAATCGCTCGTCCTATCTAATCATCTTATAGATTTAGTATTATGACTATGACTATCATTATTAGTGAGTACATCAGAATAGATCTTCATTAATGCTTAATTCCTCGCATTCATCAGTCTCATCCTTGCCCCATTCACAAGAGCACTATGTTTAATTCTTTCTTATTATGCCTTCTTCTTAAACTTTGTATTGATTTCTTCCTGAATGTTTGCCTTCTCCCTCTCCACTATTAGCTTTTTCTCATTCTCAAATTGTTTAAATGCCTTAACTTCAATCTCAAAGCATTTTTCTCTTGCTTCCTATAATACAAAGTCAGCCAAGGATATCTAGTCTTAATACATAATATTAATTAATCAGAAATAATATTTTTATATTATTTTCTTATAAATTGTCTCCACTTCCTCCCAGTCTCATAGCAATCTTCTTAAATTTGCTATTTCAATTATAAACATGCATATCGATGATCACCCAACATTAAGCTTAAAAAGAGTTAATACACACTCTAATTATTTTTAAAACTACTCATTACGGGGATATCAAAACTACTCTAAAATATATAAAAAATTAAATCAATTTAACAAATTTAAAAGATAATCATAACAATAATAGAATTTATAATATATAGGAAATAAATCAGCATTTCCAAAAGATCTATTGGCTTTAATTAAATTGATATTTTAATTCCTTTATCATTTTATAATTTTACCTACCCTCACTTATCTTTCTTATTGAATATATGACCCTTATATATTAATAAATTTATAAACAATTTCTATTAAAATTCACATAGATGGTTATTTGAATCATAATTATATCGTAATTAATAAACTTTTATAATTTGAAGAATATATTTATTTTCTATAATTAAAATTATGGATAATACCAGACTAAAGAGAGATCAGTTCCGATTAACTCTGCACTCACAATAGCGTTTGAACTAGTTTCAGGAGAATAGAAAAAGATTTTTGCAGATTTATATGGAAGAATAATAAATTAATGAATTAAAATTGAAAGTCAAGGTAGCAATCCAATAGCTGAATGATAATTTAAATGATTTTGATTTCGATTGCCCTAGATGTGAATTAAAACATTATACGAGTTAAATAATGTAAATATTGCCAGAAATGAAAAAATGTATTGAAAATTTAGCCAAACCTGACTTTGAGGGATTGAGCAATAAGTTTTGGAACATCTATTGTTTTATGTTATTTAACAAAGATAATCCATGTTTTGTAGAAATGCTAGAATTGCTTACTTTGTGTTGTTAAAAAAGCATGGTATTTTGCGACACTTATTGTAAATCTACTTTATACAGTAATCTTTAAGCCAACGCAATTTAATTTCCTATTGAATATCAATTGGAATTTCTAAAATAAACAGTCTTAATTTAATCTCATTAAGAACATCAATTATAATATGATAAATTATGTGAGATGATTAAATAAATGAATGGGCAACTCCAATAGCAAAAGGCTTTGGAACATCAACACAAACAAATTATTTAGATCATCATAGAGATATTTTTAAATTTAAAAATGGAACAAGTTCATAAGGTCTCACTGCAATACCAGATAAATAGATATTTTTTAACTTTATTTACTTCTCTCTCAACTTTGGAGGAGATCCTTATCGGAAATGAATTGCTAAATTACATTGAATACTTAAACAGAAATCAATCCTTATTCAACGTGTCCACCATCGAATTAATCAATTAATTATCGTTTAATTCTCAACTGAGTTCTTATCCTGATGAAAAATCTATGGCCATCGCTATCATTGGAGTGTTAATGTCTGGCAATTTAACATAATCGAAATACTATTTCAATAAGTTTAGCACTGAAAATTTGTCTCTAGATTAAAAATTACTCTAAAACCTAAAACTATAGTAACCCCAAGTCAGAAAAATGACAGTATTTGCTTTTTCAAATATCTTTGGAGAAACCTCTTATGATAGAGTAGATTATTTTTCAAATGGAACTGTCATTTAATTCTTATAATTTGCAAGACAAGAAACTGAAATCGAAGTTATTTTAGAAATTTTACAAGCCTTGAGAAATTTAGTCTATCATGCTGAAGACAATTACCTCCCTATTTTACTAGAGTAAGATATTGTTTCCATTATTGTCGACAATGATAACTACATATTGAATGTATAATAAGTTGAATGTATGACTATAAAATATTCTAGGTTTATTGATGCTAATCAATAGATTTGAAGATTATGATTAATAGGCGTTGTAGAAGTTGGTATAATTCCCTAATTTTATACAATACTTGTGTTACAAAGGGGTGGGAAATTTCGTAAGAAGAGTCTTTGATAATTCTAAATTTGGGAACACGATGGATATATAACAAGGAAAGAAAAATAATGATGGGTAGAAAGACGAATACTAAATCAACCTTCTAAAATTGTGTGAAATTTTTTATTGAAGGCAACTAATGATATTCACAAGATTTTAAATTAATATTTGATTTTTTTCACAAAATTTCATTTTTACTTTTTCACCATTTCTGAGTTAAATAGTTATTCTTGTCTATATAATTAACATATATATTATTATCCTAAAATATAAATAAGTTATGATAAAAAAATTCATAAATTGTAAAGATTTTGTTAATTCTTATTCAAAAGAATAAGTAGGATCTTCCTTTATTAGAAAATGAATACCTTTCCTTTAGTTTATCTATTATAATGATTATCTTAAAAATGATGTATTATGAATGAAATTTTAGTTTTTAGATTGAGTATATATTATATAAATTTAATACTTTTTATTCTAATATTTATTAAAAATTAAGCAAGATTTTAATTGGACTTTTAATATTTAAATATGTTGTGTAGGTTATTCTTAATTTTTACTTTGAAGAAGAATGAATGCCGATCGGGTAACGGAATAATTTGGGATTAGATCTTTTTTCAGTAATATGTTTTATAATTTAAAAGTATTGTTGAAATAAATGTGGATGTTAATAATTACCAAATATTTGAGAACCATATTAATTGATTAATCTCAACAGTTGATTTCATGACCATGCGGCTTCAAGAGTTATCTTATGGACATGATAAGAGAATAGCGTAATAAGAGATTCTCGTATAATTTTTGGACATTTATATTTAAATGGTTATCATAATATATGAGATTGATTTTCAATATTAAGTCTTTAAAGTTGAGCCCCTTGTGCTTTTTCTAAGAAGATTGATAGCTTAAATGGATGGTTTGGGCTGTTTTTGCTCAACTTTTAGTTTCAGAGTTTTAATAAACCTTTTGGCCATCATGAAGGTGCAAATTCCATTTTCTTCTGATTTGGTATTTGTTTTGCTTTCTGTTTTTTTGGGGAGATTTTTAGTTACTTCGTAATGTCTTTCTTTTTGAGAATTGAATTCAGTTTGCTTTCTTCTCATTTCATCAACTTCGTGTTGAAGTCTCATGAATGTGACGATATCTTGACAATCCATGTCGACACAAATTTCCTTGTCTAATTTATACTCGTCCAGAATGGCTTTTTCGTTATTAACAAAGTTCTAATTTTGACATAAGCTTCTTAAAAAGTCAATGTCCTTTCTGACTACTGGGTGTCTGGTGTTCTTCATCGCCTTGACTTTTTGCAGGGCAACTTGCGCTCTTGACTAAATGTGATTCAAATAAGTAATTTACTTAAGAAATTTGAGGGGATTTAAGAATAGTAGGAGTGTTTAAGGCTTTAAGATTTTAACTTGCCAATTTGTTCTCCTCCTTTTGGCCTTGAGACTTCTTGAGGTCCTCTTATAAGGAGTCATCTTGACTAACATCAGAGTCGATTCCGCTGAAACTGCTGGATTCCGAAATATAGAGTTCAAATTCTTTTTCTTTCTTTTTTTTTTATTCGAGTAATTAGTCCATTTGGTTATCGGGATCACCAGATAGACTATCATCAGAACCTTTGTCTACTTGAATGAGTGTGTTAAAGCGTTCCCTTTCATTGGGGTCTTGGAGCTTTTGAATAATTTTTTTCTTCGCATTTTGGAATTAGTATTTACACTTGTCTTATATCGATTTTCTTGATTCTGTTTGTATTCGAGTGCGATGAACGGAGTCTTTGGTCACTCTCATTTCATTGCTTATGATGGTTTGGAATTTGTAGGCTCCAAAACCCACTCCTAATTGATTACTCATGTGAAAATTAAATATGAATGTTGTACGGATAAAAGAATTTTATTATTTGGTCAATGATACATTAGTATAAAATTAAAGACAGTTTCATTGCGAAGAGGCAAGCTTCTTCTTCTTCGGTTCGTACATCTCCAGCTGTTCCTTTTGCCAAATGAATTGCCGTTGCTCAACCGGAGTCATCCGAAGTAAAATGTGAGTCTAAATGGGGGGGGGGATATAATAAGCAAATAAAATACCCTTCTAGTTTGATGCAACATGGTTTTGCCTTCTGGATTCTCAGCAACAGATTCCTCGTAATTGAGATTCATTTTGTTCCAAGGGTCAGCCTTGTTAAGGATCAAGAAATAGGCAATGTTATTCTATTTATGGATCAAGGCTTGATACAAGGGAGTCCTTCCTACAATGTCTTGAGAATCTGGATCTGCTCCATATTTTAATAAGATCTTGGCAGTAGATTCCAAACCTCTCATTGCACACCAATGTAGAGTAGTCATAAGCAAATGATCATATTCGTAAACCAAGTATTTGTTATCATCAAGTAATTTAATGATCTCTTGATTTTGACCCTATTTGCACAATTAAAAGAAGTGTTTGGATGCTGAATGTTCAAAGGGTTTAGAAGGGAAGACTTAGTGAGATAAAAACTCCTTGGTTGTTAATTTGAGTTTCTCCAAATGTCTCAAATATTATATCAAAGAGGCCCTTATGGCTTTGTATTTGTGTTTTAAGGGGATGTTCTCAGATGGGAATTTTTGAAAATTGAGGAGTCCTCTTATTTACTTACTTCCATAGAGTTTGTTCTTGTATAGAAATGGTATTTACATTGAAATCATCAATTTCAGAGCAATCTCTATATTTGGAGAGTTGCTTTTAACTAGTAAATTGACGAGCGGAGGGTTGCTAGGATTGTGGCTATTTGGAGAGATTTTCAGATTTGAGATCGGTGATGTCACTTATGAGTTGAAATTTGGGATCTATAGTTAATGAATGGAACTTTGTAGTGGTTTGATTTGGACGATAGGTTTACGACGCGATGATTTAGGACTTTTTGGAGAGAATTATTGGGATTTTTTTATTCAATTTGACTAAAAATCTTTATGGTTTATGATTTAATTGTAATTTTTTGGTTTAGGTATTCTGAGAGACAGAAGGGGTATTGGTTTTGGTGGTGCTTTTGCAATAATAATTATTGGAAGTGGAAAGAGTGGGGATTTGTATTACTTGGGTGTGAGTGAAGGGGATATCGCATAATAATTGACTCAGCAAGATGGGATAATTCTAAACATCTTGGTGTTTGGGCTGGAGTGACTTAAATTTGATTTTCCTTGGAGTCGTTGGTGCTGATGCGTGGATCTTGTCAAGGTTCAAGAGTCGTATGTAATTTGTTTTGGTGAATCTACTTAAGTGGATATGAATACTAGTTTTCAGTCTTGTTTCTTTTCATAAAATATTAATATATAATAATAATGATGGATAAGGACATTGATGTGGACAAGGTTTATTTATATTTGCATCATAGATCCTAGAGAAATTGTTGGAAACCAAAGGAGCTCGTAGTGGAAAACCAGTAAATCTAACTGAGAGTGAAATCAGATCATTATGTGTTAGAAGTAGAGAGATTTTCTTAACACAACCGATGTTACTAGAATTGGAAGCACCAATTAAAATATGCGGTAAAACACTCTCCTTATATCAAGGTGATATTCATGGACAATACACAGATTTGTTGAGATTATTTGAATATGGGGGATACCCACCTGAAGCGAATTATTTATTTTTAGGAGATTATGTTGATAGGGGCAGACAATCTTTAGAAACTATCTGTTTACTACTTGCTTATAAGATTAAATTTCCTGAGAATTTCTTCCTGCTTAGAGGAAATCATGAATGCTCTTAAATAAATCGTATATACGGATTCTACGACGAATGCAAAAGAAGATACAACATCAAATTTGTGAAAACCTTCACGGATTGTTTCAACTGTTTACCTGTGTGTGCAGTCATCGATGAAAAGATAATTTGCATGCATGGAGGGTTGTCTCCCGAATTGTCTAAATTTAGAATAAATCCATAGGATAATGAGACCCATTGAAGTTCCAGACACAGGGTTGTTATGTGATTTGTTGTGGTCAGATCCTGAGAAAGATTCATAGGGATGGCAAGGTTACTTAAATAATCTCCTATTTTAGACAATGAGAGGGGTGTTTCATACATCTTTGGACAAGATGTCATATCTAATTTCTTGAAGAAAAATGACTTGGATCTAATTTGTAGAGCTCATCAAGTGGTTGAAGAAGGATACGAATTCTTCGCTAAAAGACAATTAGTAACACTCTTCTCAGCCCCCAATTACTGTGGAGAGTTTGACAACTCAGGTTTAACATAGTTCAATCATTTTAGGTGCACTCATGAGTGTCGATGAAACTTTGATGTGCTCCTTTTAAATACTAAAATCGCAAGATAAAAAAAATGTTCCATAAGCCAGACCCAGAACACCGAAATACGTTAATTGATATATATATATATCTGAAAATTATTTAATGCAATTCATTCTCCTTGTTGAGTTTTTAATAGAGTTTAATATGGTTGATAAGAGAATGTAATCAGAATGCAATTTGAAATGTTTATTCAACAGTTAGAAACATGGTCTCATTTGCTATTTAATTCACTAGTATGGTTTAATTCATTTTTGAATAAGAACTTCGATTAGAATGGTAAGGTGGTTTCTTAAATATAACGATTATGATAAATAATATTAATAATAATTTAGATGGACACACCGCCATAAAACAATTCAAAATATAATGTGGATGATGATTTCAGACATGATGTTTGCCAAAGAATCTATACTAAGGCAGGAAGTATAATCCCAAACAATAAATAGAAATGACTCATGGTCAAAACTAATAGGCCAAATCGTTTTCAGAAAAGGATCAACTCTAAAAGATGCAAAAAGATTTAAGGGATAAATTGAAATACATCGAAGAAACCAATTGGATGTTTGAAGGGTTAAATAATAATGTCAATGATAATTTTTGAATTATTAATCATTGTTAATCCTACTCTATACATATAGAATGTTATTTATCAATATTATTTAGTATATATACTCTAAAATTAAACACTCTTTGCAAACCAAATAGAAATGAAATTCTGTCGCAATGAATGTCTTTTTGGGCAATTGTAGATTTCTAGAAAAATCGATTATATTTTAAGAGAAATTAATCGAAAAAAATCCGTTAATTGATTAGCGATCATTTCTAAGGATGCTTATAAAGTTGGAATTAAAATCTAAGAATTTCATTTAATTTTGATAAATTAAATATTGGTATTATATTGCTATGAGAGTGTAAGGAATAATATGAAATAGATTATAAGTTATATATTATAGTAATTAAAAGAAGTTACATTGAATAATTTATATTTTTAATGGACTCATTATAAATACAGAAGTAGCTTATGGTTGATTAATTGAATAAGTTGGAATACATGGATAAAATCCTTCCTTTGCACAAGGACGAAGTATAGGCAGAGAAGAAACTGTAAGTTCAGATCAATAGTCTAAATTTCAAAAGAATAATAGAAGGGCAGGAGAATAATAAATTGATGGCAGAAATAGAAGAGTCGAAGTTAGATGTTCAAAAGAATCGACAGAAGGCCTTTCAGAAATACTTTACTTCATTCATGACAGAGAAACAGCAACAAGATGTTAATATCCTTGAATTCAACCAAAGTGATTTCGAAGTTTTTCAATAATTGAAGGAGAAACAAAGACAACTGGCATAGGAAGATCTGACCATAGCTCGGCAGAAGGAGAAAAGCAACCAGATATTTGAATAGAACCTTATGAAGAAATGGGATAGAGTGAGGAAAAGTAGTATATTGAATTATTCTAAGAATTGCGTATGATTGGCAGAATGAAACGATTATATGACGAAGTAAAATTGTATGGTACAAGCTGTAGAGTGGAGACTTCGATAAAACGACACGAAGTTATTCAGGAACTGGAATAAATGCTCAACAAACAGAATTAGCAAATAAGCAAGCCTATGCCACAGAAACACAGTAATATTATAGTATATGAGCATATTAGAGCATCTTTTCTTACCAGATTCGAAGTTCAAGAAATATTGGCAATATGTTCTGATGATATTATTGATTTACACTGCCTTTATCACTCCAATTCGATTGGCATTCATAGAGGAATTCAACGTTGTTTGGTTTACTTTGGAATTAACAGTAGACATGCTATTTTTTTTGGATATCTTAATTACTTTTAACACAGCATATTTCAATGAGGAAGGAGTCCTTATAGTTGATCGTCAACAAATAGCAATTTAGTATCTGAGAACTTGGTTCATATTCGATTTGATGGCTGTATTCCCAACTGATCAAATCTTTTAGAATGAGGCTCAAAAGTTATCGCAGTATTTCAAGTATGAATATGAATCAAAGGCAATATAATAGATTGACAAGACTGCCTCGAATGTATAAATTGATAAGTATCAGCAGAATGTGGTCAACTGTTTAGAATTCTCAGAATCATAATGATTGCTTTTCAGCTATTCAAGACCTTATAAATTTGAATTCAACAACTGTGAGAGTACTCAAATTTTTTGGAACTGTCCTTGTTTGTGTGCATATAATGGGTTGTCTTTGGTATTTGGTTGCAAAATTGAATAAATTTGGACCAAACACTTGGGTATATGAATTGGATTTGCTCAGTAAAAGTGAATATGAATTGTACTTAACTTCCATCTATTGGGCAGTAGCAACTATATGTACAGTGGGCTTTGGAGATATCCACGCCTTCAATGATAGTAAAGTATTAATTATACATAGCTGAAAGAATTGTGTGCATATTTTGGATGTTCTTCGGAGTTGGTTTCTATTCATTTACTGTTGGTTCCCTCTCCACTCTGATGGGAACTTTGGACACAAGAGAATCTCATCTCCAAAGCAAGATCACTTTTATGGATGAGTTCTGCGAAGAAACCAAATTGTCATTGTAGATGAAACACAAAATCAGGAAGGTCTTGGAATACAATTCAATGATTAACATATTCTCCTCTGCTGAAGTGGATGAGTTCCTATCTGAAATACCTACCAATCTCAAATATCAGATTGCCTAGGCCATGTATGCTGGTCTCAAAAATAGAGTCTCCTTCTTCAAGAACAAGGATTCAGTCTTCATCTCCACTCTCATTCCTAAATTATAGCCATTAAAAATAAATGCTGGAGAATTTGTTTACAATAAGGGAGAATACCCTAATTAAGTTTATTTCATTGTGAATGGCAGAGTCAATATGGTTATTGGAGTCTATTCAATCACATTTAAAACATATGTAACAGGTAGTTATTTTGGGGAAATTGAAATATTTGATAACAGTGCACGCTTTCATTCAGCCAGAGCTGAGTTGGAATGTGAATTGTTGGCCATAGAATAGGATGTATTTAAAAAAATATTGCAAGCATTTCCAGAATATTTTGAAGAAATTAAGGCCATTTCGCTAGAAAAGTTAAAGAGAGAAAAAGAGGCCATTGAAAAATTATAGGATTTAACTGGATTATCACAAACCTCTGAATTTTTTAATAAGAAAAGGACTCAATCTATTTACAAATCAATTAAGTAGAGAGAATCAGTACACTTCATAGATTATAGTGAAGAATCAGAATAAGAATTGAAATCAATGAAATCCAGCAAGTTTGGCTTCTTCAAAAAGAAAACCAATCATTTAATACCTGAAGATACTACTAGATTACATACATAAGAGGATACATCCCAAAAGAATCTTATTGTTTCGGATAGTAGTCAAAAAAAGAGTGAAGAACTAGGCAAAGTAATCACATTATCAATTCCAGATTAAGTGAAAAGAGATAGTGAACATAAAATTAAACTGTATGGTGAAGTTCCTCCTGCTATTTCTTAATTCAATGAAGATCTAGATTAGAATCAAAATGAAAAAGTTAATCTGAGAATCTAAAGTGAAGAACCTAACCGTGCTCCTCAAACTAAACAAGTCAGATATATAAGTCAGAATCTCAGATGTAGTCCCAAGAGATAGGAACACAGAAAACCATCCATTTAGATCACATCCCCTAATGAGAATCCAGGTTCTGATACCCCCTTAATCTCTTCTGTAAGATCTAATTTCATTAAACCTTCCATTAAAATTGATGAAGCCTCGTATGAATCAGAAGGGTCTAATAAAAACTCCCCTAATATGTCCATACATCCTCATAATGCATTCTATAATGCTTAGTCTCCTCAAAATTCGCCAAGAAGAAGTTAGAACTTTTCAAAATTCCCTTTTCCTTTTTAGAAACAACCGTCAATCTTCAAAAGTGCTAGTAATCAATACATAGAAGCAAGTAAACTCAAGAATTTACCTAGATTGAGTGGATTTAGAAGAACGTATAGAAAAGAAAGAGAAATTGAAGTGTTGGAGGAGACTATTGAAAATGAGGATTACACTTAATTGCAATAAAAGTTAGTGGAGTTATTGGAGAAGATAAAGAAATAAAAAGAGCAATAAAAAGTCAAAAAATAATAAATCAAATTCAACATTATAAATCCATTGCCTAAAAAGATTGTTTTGGAATAAAAAGATTCTATGAGTATTCCAGATCTACCAGATGTTGAAAAATAATAATTATCTTAATAAGATAGTAATAGTAGCGGTATATTAGAATGATATCACATTGATTTTTCATCTCAACTAAATTATTTATTTATAAATTTTTTCATATTCTTCTGAATCTCCTTGTATTTTTTCACATTTTATTACATAAACAGAATCACATAAAAGAGCTATTGCAAATGTCATTGCAAAATCGCATTTGCTTATTTTTATTTCAAACTTGCTTCTTTTTACATCAAAATTTTATGATTATAAATGAGATATTATTTTTTAAGTTAGTTTTTATGGATCTGTGAAAACAAGTTAATTGAGATGATATGGACCTTCATGTTATTTTACTACAATCAAAGGACTTTGTGGTCGATCATGTGAGTGCTAATTATGAAAATTAGGAGCTCTATAAACAGCAGATCTTTAAGGCGTTTTCAAAGTTTAGGGTTTTTAATTTGCAGGTGAATGATCTGCATTTTCGAAGGCTCTTTGTTTAAATTGCATTGCTTTTAATTTGATTTATTCAACAGTAGGAAACAAAGTTTCAGGTTTTTTTTCTATGCTGAGTGAAACCTATCTCAATCTAGAATTATAATCATTATGATAGATGGGAGTATTATTTAATGATGTTTGAAGTGATGGTCTTTCAGGAAAGGGAATCTAGGCTGAAATGTTTAAATAATTATTTGTAGTCACATCGTTATCGTATTGTTATTCGTTATTACTCTCGAATTAATCATTATTAACAGGGTTAATTTGTGAAATATCAGTTAGATTTTAGAATTCATTGAATTTCTCTTTAATTTCTTCAACCTCTTCTTGATTTTAGACATCTGGCAACTGTGAAATCTTTTGTTATTCTGAATTTTCTATATTGAGTGTTTTTTAAGAATTGGTTGATTTCTATTCCTAAAGGTTCTTCTAAGGAGTCATATTTTCTTTAGTGTCAACCTAACTTATCTTTTGGGATTGGACATTAGATGTCTCTTTAAGGATGGCTATTTATGGATGTTGTGGAGGAGGGATTTAAATTAATTTGTATTAGAATGTCTCATCTGGATCCTACTATTTTTCCCTCAAATGTTTGTTTAATAGCAAATAGTATGTAGTAGTTACTGGATCATGCTTATTGGCTTTTAAATAGGCATATGCTTGAGGTAATTTGAAATTGTAAGTGGCCAACTTTTCCAGGACCTCTTGACAAATATTGATTTCTCCATATCCTGGTGTTAAAATTGGATTAGTAATACATGTTTAAATCCAATAATGCTAGACTATTTGTTAGATATTGTATCTTATGAGAGGATTTACTTGCAATATTTTCTCAAGGAGATCCTTACACAAAGGACTCATGTATTTTGGAGTAGCATATTCGCAATTCATGATTTTTTTATACAATAAATTTAGATTCTTGTCTTCAAAAGGGAGATATCCATTGACCATAGCAAATAGAATGACTCCGCAACTCCAAGTGTCTGCAGATTTCGGATCGTACTCTTTTCCTTAGATCATTTCAGGAGCAGCATAGCAAGGACTGCCACAAGCAGTTTTGAGTAATTGGCCATCCTTAAATTGATTTGAGAGACCGAAATCTACTATTTTGATCTTGTTATTTTCATCTAATAGCAGATTCTCTGGTTTTAGGTCTCTAATATATTTAATTATGGTTACCTATGCATAACATAATTATCATGCATATATTGAACTCCTGACAGAATTTGCATCATGTACTCGGCTGCATCTTTTTCATTCAATCTTTAGTTCTTAATTATCACTTAAAACAATTCTCCTCCTGGGGCATATTCCATAATCAAATATAAAGAATTTACAGTTTAAACTATCTGCGAATAATGGTGATCCTTACTTCATAGATCTATATTATGTTGGGGTGACGCAGTTTCTTCAAACAATTGATCTCCCTTGAAATTCTGTCATAATCGATGTTTTCTTTCATTTTACTCTTCTCCAAAATTTTAATGGCCACCGTTTCATTTGTAATTGTATGTTGACCCAATTTGACCTACCCGAAAGTTCCTTCTCCAATTGTTTTGCCCAAGATGTAATTTCCTATTGATTTCATACTCATTCAAAAATTAAATTAACTGATGGGAAGTGTTTGTAAGAAACAAGACGCTGAAAATGAACTCCATAGTTTAATTCCAAAAAAGAAGGGGGACACCATCACCATATCGCAAAATCATGGAGGAGGGTCACAAATCATCTAAAAAAAGAGAAGTACTGGAAACAAAGGAGACTATGAACCAGATGCTGTTGTAGAAAAACTAGAAGTGGAAGTATCTATTACTATATGATGAAAGCTCAAACGTAATGACAAAAAAAAGTTGGTTAAGGTTGAGGCTCGATAGGATCAAGAGGAAATAGTAGAAAACATCCAAAAAAGTAATAAAAAGAAGTCACCTTTTGATTACTAACTTATTTTGAACTCATTCACCACAAATTCTCTCTTCTAATCCCTTTCTCAATAGGAACAGTAAAAAATATATAATATTTCTTCAGGGAAGCAATTTTAGAATAGATGTTCTATTGCACCACACCTGACGGTCAATTCGTATTCAGACAAGGAGATTTGAAGGCAAGTTCGTTTTTTCTTATAGGTATTACTGGTTAATATCAAAGAACGTGGGTAGTGTCAGATCATCATAGATGGGGAAGTAAAGAAACTATTAAAACAATCTGACTCATTTGGAGAGAGAGCACTCTTATACAATGCACCTAGATCTGCATCAGTGAGGGCAGTAGGAGATTGTGCATTTTGGGCAATAGATAGAAATCTGTTTAGAAAAATGATAGAAGATATGAGAATGCACGAATTTGAAGAGAATCGACAATTCGTAGAAAATTTAAAATCATTTGGTAAAGTGTCCATTCTATCCAATAGAATTTTTAACATTCGATTAAAGATCAGCCATCTCAAGTGTGTTATTTACTGTGTAATTTAAAAAAGGAGAGATTATAGTATAACAAGACGAAACAGCAACTTCATTTTTCATTATTAAAAAGGGATCAGTTTCAGTGATATAGAATGACAACGAGATTAGAAAGATGAAGAAAGGAGAATCCTTTGGAGAGATGGCATTATTCTAGAATTCTAAACGAGGAGCCACAGTAAAAGCAGCTGAAGAAGACGTGAGATGTCTTGTGATCACAAGAGATGAATTAACTAAAATTTTAGGAGATAAAATCTAAGTTATCATGTTCACGAATAAATAAATATGGGCGATCCAAAAACATCAAGTTTTAGGATAATTAACTGAACTTCAAATTCAAAAGATTGTATAAAATATGAATCAATTCAATTATGAACAAGGGGCTGTTGTCTTTGAGGAAAAGGTCTAGAAGTTAGTGATAGTGCTAAAAGGAGAACTAATATTTGTAAATATCTACATTTATACTTAAGGCAGACTGGGTCTAAAATGAAAGCCGCTAGTGAAGGTTAAGTTTTTGGTGACGCTTACTTCAACAAGTAAGAACTTAGTGACCCAGTCATCGCCAAAGATAAATCCGTACTAGCAGAAATCGATTTCAAACGATTTGAGGAAGTCATCGGAGGTTCCTTAGATCAAGTCATTAATAAAAATCAAAAAATCAGTGAAAAGTAAATTGATCACCTAATTTTACTATAGACACAAGAAATAAGAAAGTTATAAGCATGATTACTCTCACCTCAAACTAGAGGAATTCGTTTCGTTAAAGAAATTGGGATAAGGCTAATTTGGAAACGTCTACTTAGTCAAAAATCCTAAGGACAATCCTCCTCATTTCTATGCTTTGAAGTGCATATCCAAAGCATAAATTGTCGATTAGCATCTAGAAAAACATTTAGCCTAAGAAAAGTCAGTGCTCACATCTGTCCGTCACCCATTCCTTATGAAATATTATTGTAGTTTCTAAGATTCTAATCACGTATTCTTCCTTGTTGAATTCATTAAAGGAATGGAGCTCTTTGATGTCATTAGAGACATTGGGTTATTGAGTGCCTTTGACACTCAATTCTACATCGGATCCCTCATTTTATGCATTGAGTATCTAAACAAACAAAAGATTGTTTACAGAGATATTAAACCTGAAAACATTATGGTTGATGAAAAAGGATATGTCAGACTAATTGACATGGGCACAGCTAAGTTTTTAAATCATAAAGGTGGTAGAACTTATACTATCATTGGAACTCCACATTATATGGCTCCAGAAATCTTATAAGGAAAAGGTTACACTTTCCCTGTTGACATCTGGTCCATAGGTATTTGCATGTATGAGTTTATGTGCGGATAAGTACCATATGCTGAAGAAGCTGAAGATCCTTATGAAATCTATGAAGAAATCTAAAAAAAACAATTATCTTATCCTCAATTTCTCAAGGACAGAAAAGCAAAGAAATTTATGGAGTAATTACTAAATAAAACCCCAGAATTGAGATTGGGAGGATCCTATGCCAGTTTGAAAGCTCATTAATGGTTTGATCAATTTGATTGGGTATTTTTATTATTGTATGTTCCAAAGGATAAACTCTATGACAAGGAAATGAAAGCTCCCTATTTACCACCATAATAGAAAATGCCAGCCACAGGTAAAGATGTATAAGGTACTCCAATTATGAAAGAGCTATAAAATCTGAATGCCCCAGTCTATAGAAAGGAGAAGGCGAAGGATCCTAATTGGGATTAAGAATATTGAAGTATTTCATGCACACAACTTTTTTTATGAAGAATTTATATAATATTCTATTTGTTATAGCTTAGAAAATATAGAACACACAATTTAATCCATTATTGTAATAATTCAAATGTGTTACAATAAAGCGTAAATATAGGTGTTTATTTGAAATTAAGATTTCCTACTGATTCTAATAATTAGAGTTAAACTAGAGATTTTCTAACTATTTGATTTAAACTAAATTTAATACTAAAAATAACATAATTTTAATACAAAAAATCTTTATCTCATATCTTTACGTATACAATAATAAATATGGACATAATGAATAAATAAATCTTTACAAGATGAATGATATATTTAAAATTTTCTGATTTCTATATTTATATTTCAGCTTTCAACCATTTTTAATTAAAAAAGAGATAAATAATTTACAAATAATAAGGTTAAATAAATTCTAATGATCACTTCATTTGATGTATTTCTGAACCAATTCAGAACAATCCAATTTTTATATCTACTTTACTAGGAAATCTTTTGAAACATTTTGTTTTATTTTAGTAATATCATTTTATAGTTCTTAGTATAAACTTTTTTTCAAAAATATACTTCGGCTAACATCCCTTAGGATTTCCTTCTTCTCTTTTATTTATATCTAAACCACGCTACCTGATCTTTATTTTTCCAGAACTTTTTTGACTTTTTCTATCTATTAGAATTTTGCCTTTTCCAAGTTCACTAAACTTCGAGATTTTGTATTCTTATTCAATTGAGGCTATAATAATCGAGTTAACTTTTTATCTTAAATGTTTTCCTCTAGGGAAGAACAATGTTCCTGTCTTTCTCTTTCGATTGATTATCTGATATTCATTCGTTTCTTTATATTTGATGTTTATGTTAGGGAAGTTTAAGAATTTTAATTTTTGGAGTTTTTAAGGAATCTATTTTGTTTTTCGATATACTTCTCAAGGTATTTTTGTGTGTCTTCAATTTTCGATTGGGATTGGTTTAATAAAATACAAGTCTTTTAATTATCATATTGACCTATCCTATTGGCATGTGACTTATTTAATTTTTATTCAATTTTTTTGTAAAGTTGATTACATTATTCTAGTTCTTATTATTTTAACTATTTAATTCTGTCATTGACTTATTTTTATTTTACACCATCTTTATATTCTTTTTCTTTCTACTTAATTTTACTTTAACTCAATCCCCTAGGAAAATCTTCTGACCTAAGTAAATGAGTATATTTACTCTAGCATTTCTCTTTCTAGTATCTCCCTCTATTTTTAGAATGCCTTTTCTTATTATTCTAGAATTAGTTCCTAATGTTTTTTTGCTATCAACTCAGTTTTTTTGTTGAACGAATGTGCCCTATCACTTACAGTTTTCAGAGTTTTTTATTTAAGCTTTTCAATTCTTCTCTTTTCTTCTTCCTTCTATTTTTGTTCATTAATCTGCTTTAATTCTTCTTCAACCAATTCTTTGATTTTATTTTTCATCATCACTTCATTCCTATCCCTTTTTAGTTGTTGTAATTCAATTTTTTTATCCAATTAGGAAATTGCATTTTCAATATTTAAATTAAGAAGAGAATCAGTTTGTGTATAATATCTTGTCATTTATTGATCTAGCTTTTAAGATTCTAATTCCTCTTTCTTAATTTTATTTCTCTCTTTAATTAAAAACTTTCTTCGATGTGCTATTTGATGTAAATGAAACAAGAATCTTTATTCTGTTATAAAATCTTCCTCTTCTGGAAGTTAGAAAGTTTAATACTTTTTTTAAACAAGTTCTTCTTCCCTCATATTCAAATTCAACATTGCCTATTGGATTTTTGGTGAGTTGAAATTTAGATCTATACTTAGTAAGAATTGCACATCAAAAGTCAATTTTAACTCCATCTATTCAAGCCTAGGTTAAGTCAATGCTAGAGGGTCATCACTAATAAGTAACATTTTATTTATTAAATAATATATTTAAAATGATAAATAGTCACATCAATCCAAAGTTTTCTTAGATTTGATCGAACCAATGTATCCAGAAACTGATTAATTATATTCCCTTTGGAGATCAGAATAATAATTATGTCTTAGTATTACTTGATTCCATAAGTTCTTAAGAATAGGAGAAAAGTTAGTTAAATTTTGATATCCTTTTTTTATGTTAAAATGTGACTACCTAATTAAAATTCAGATTATCAAGTTTATAAGGAATAAGGATAGGGGAGCTTCTTATTTTAAATTAATCTCTATAAAGACATAAAAAAAAGATACGATTCGATATAAAAATAACTTAATAGTTATAAATACATTTATATTATTTATTCAAATAACAACAATTATAATAAACTGTTGGATCTAATAAATTAAAAAAGAAACAAATCAACTGTTATATAGTAATTAGTTGATTTAAAAGTAAACAATACATTTAACTTTGCTTTTAGGTGATGGTTTTGTATAAAGGTTATTTTCTATTTGATGGATCAATTAGAATTTGAAATAGATTATCCTTCAAATTATAGTTAGTTCAAAATGATAGGTTCCGCTTAACATCATACTTAGCAGATAATTTGATTAGTCATTAATTAAACTTATCTTATTAATGGATAATTGAAAGAATTTCCTTATTTATAATAATAATAAACTTATAAAATAATTCACACAACATTAATCCATTTATGGGGTTTGTTTCCAGTCTATAGAAATATTATTAATAAAGTACTTGAATCTCAGTGATCATATCAAACAACTAGTGAGACAACTCACCAGCATTTAACTTAGGATCATACTTAACTTCATAGATTTTATCATTATATCCAATAGCTTCGATTGGCTGAATACTGACAGCAGTACCTGATCCAAACATTTCAATCATCTAGATATATGGATATTTATGTTACTCTTCCTTCACTTATTGCTTCGATAACTTCTTAGATGTACACTTTCTTTTCTATAACTTTGAATTATTTCATGTCTCTGGTTAATTCCTGAATTTAAATTAGATATAATACTAGTAATGAGTCTCTGACAATTCCTGGCAATATGGTACCATCAAGTTAAGGTGTAACCAATTCTCTTTCTCCTTGCTTATTTTTCCAGAAGAAAAACAAATTACAAACTCCCATCTCTTAAACCAATCCATCTGGTAACATCCACAAATTTTAATGGAATCCAATTTATTAGACCTCTTTCAAAGGCATGACGGTGGGTGCATAATTACCTGCAACTTTATATCCTCCAACACCTCCTGGAGCTGAACGAATCTATATTATACAATCAAATTGTTACTGTTGTGGTGTTACAAAACACTCTAACTGGTTTGAGTCCAGATGGAAAATATGGACCAACGGGACATAAAACAACAAACAATTTTGCTCTGCTTGATGCTCTAACACCTAAAGCTTCTTCTGTTGCTATGATTGTTGGTCTGATGTAGCAACTAAATCCTGGTCTGTCAGGAATCCAATCCTGATCCACTTTCAATAAACCTTCAATGCATTTTTATAATTCAGCTCCATCAAAGTCAGGTAATGAGAGTCTCTTTGCTGATTGTTTCATCCTGTACATGTTACAATCTAATCTAAAAGTTCTGATAGTTTTGTTTGGTCCTTTGTATGCCTAATAATAATCTGATTTAGTAAATACTTTAGCTCCTTCAAAACATTCGATGGCATAATGTAAGCAAGCAGCAAATGGATGAATGGAGAAACTTTTGAAAGGAATAATTTATGGACGTGACCAACTAACCATAATATTGATTTGATTACCCCATTTTTTCAGTCCAATCGATTTCTAACATATGATCAGTGTGAAATGCTCCGAATGTCATTATTTTAGGATCGCAAGGTGGTTTAGTTATGTAATGCATGGTGTGAGTGGTGGTCATATCTCTGGCCTTGAAATTAGGATTTTGATAATTACTTGGAATGACGGATATGGACTAGTGAGGTCTAGATTTTTGTAATAGGAAAATCGGAAGAATAACTGTCATATAAATGATATGATAATACCTTTTGAACTTTTGACACACTCATGGACCGTAAAATAAATATTTAAATAATTTGATATCTATATTAAGCAATTACGCATTATGATAATACTAATTAATTCAATAATTACGCGATTAATATTTTCATTTGAATGTTATTCATTGACACAATTCCGATAACATGTGAAATATTAGCCCTTGCGATATGTTAATGTCTATATATAGAATAATAGATTGATTAATTAGATTAAAATTTTACTAAATAATTAATTTATACTAAATGCAAAATTACATTAATTCTTCTCTCCTGGCTCAGAGACAACTGATCAAATATATTGAAATGAAGAAGAGTCCATTCTCTTCACTCTATGTCAAATTTGCAGAAGTCAGAGTTCTGAATGAGTTTCAAAGATTCATGGAAGTTAGTAAAACACTCTCCCAATTATTTGACTGCCAACCTTCCGATCTCCAATATGCAATCGCCTATATCAAACACTCTGAGAATAAAAATGTAGGTTCACAATACCAAAATTTAAAGTGGGAGGACTTGGTTTCTGAACCTGAAAATTACATAATACTAGATAGGTTGGACAGCATTTGGATGTTCATGCAATATCTCAAACTGAAAGATGAGCTTATACACTTCTCGATTAGGTTTAAAGAGTCTGAATTCGGATTGTTTATGAGTTAACTTGATATTTTGAAAAGCATTTTCAAGAAGGATATTGAAGTCAAAATAATTGAGAAATAGGGAGATAGTGACACTAAATTACACTAGATGAGAAGATAGTATAAGGAAAGGAAGAAAACACAGAGAGGGTAGATTAATGAGAAGAAGGATATGCAGAAGTATCAAGATCAATTGGATACTAAAGAGAATTCTTTAAGATTGGATCATACATCTTCTTAAGATTCCACCATAATCAACTTGATTGAGAATTCTAATATTAATAGTATGATCTCTCAAAAGAACAAAGTTTACCAATAATTTGGGAGTACATTCATTGGAGATCAAGAATTCAAACAACTATTTAAAAAGTCTTATTTATGTTAATCAGAATATGAGATAGAAAATAGGGATGATGTGATTATCTTTGATTCAACTATGGGCAATAAAGTAGAATTAGGATAATGTATATTGGATGTCTCTTTGAAGTAGGCTATCGTAAATGAAGAATACAAAAAATACTATCTTGAAATGGCCAGAGGCAAGAATGCTATTAAAATTTACTATATAGATTTGATAGGCAAATCTTACACAGAATTTAGTAAGAATCTAGTGTTCTACACTAATATCGACGTGGCCTTGAAGGAATTCAAAGGGTGTCAAGACTCCTATTTGATTCAATTTGAAACTTGTTCTGAGTTTTAATTTACACAAATGAGCAATCAGTAAGTGAAATTGTAACAGAGCAATCGAGTGATACCTTTGATCATAATAACTAATTAGATTTGATAATAGATTTTTGTATTAAATTAATTAATAATTTAACAGATGGGTTAATCGCAATCCCAAAATTTAGAATAATCACGTATGAGTGTTCCAAAAATCAACTAATTACAATTTTGGAAATCAGTGAATGATATTCGTTATGGTGAAATCAAAGTCTACAAATTAAATGATGGTCATGCAGTTGCTGTAAAAGATCACATCTTTCAAGACGAGGGATAATGGCATCTCTTTCGAGAACAAGCAGAATAATAAATGTAATCTAGATAGAAAGATCTATTCCTAATTGAAATGCTGGATTTATAATTTATCACGGAAAAAGAACTATGCACTCAAATGACTTAAGCACATAGTGTATATGAGTATTTTGATGAATACTTGGAAAGACTTCTTGTAGAACAAGCTGCATCTAAGCAACATTTTGAAGAAATAGAAATAGCTGCCATGCTACATTGTACTGTATTATCTTTATTAATTTCATTCTAGTTGGTAGCCATCTAAAAATTGAGTATTCAACAAAAGTCTCATGGAGACATTAGACCGCTTACCGTAAGTGTCACGTCATTTCCTAAAAACTGTCCAATCCGATAAAATGAACCCTATCCTATTTATAAATTAACCGATGTTCAATAACTAACAGACTTAAATGCTTTCAAAAGATGTGTTACTAAATAATTAGGGAACTATAATTTAAGTCCTGAATAATTGCAATTTCTCAAATAAAAAGTGCTTCGACCCACTTACGATCTTAACAAATCTGATGTATTCAGTATTGGTTTGACTGCCCTGTAGATGGCAATCCTCAAAAATATCAACGATATTTATGACTATACTCATTATTTACTTAGCACAGAAAAATTAGATGCGCACATAAGAGAAATGAAAACACTCTATAGTGAACAATTGTGTTCTATAGTGTGTTAATTATTGTAATTAGCTCCTGAAACTAGACCTAATTCAAGACAGGCCAATGATCTGTTGATTGGTTATAAATTTCAACTTGAAGATTATTTCAGAGTATTTTGTTCATCCTATTAAGTAATCAACTATTTAAGAAAGCTTACCTAATTATTCTATTGATTTTAGATAGCAAAATAGTAATCAAAAATTAGAGTAATAAGTGGTTAGCAGAGTTGTAGACACTACTGATATTTATGAACAATTAGAACTACTGGAATAAAGAACTAAAATAGCACTTCAAAGAAGTTAGGATGCTTAAAATAAGTGTCAAAAAACACCAGGCAAGTAATTAGACTAAACCAGAAGTTGTTAATTATACAGCAATTTAACTCCCATTACCTAATAAGAACTCTAGTTGTAATTGAGTGATTACAAACAAGATAATATAAATCAATAGGCTACCTACTACAATTAACAGAACAACTATCCAAAACACGAAATTAATCAATTTTAGATCCAGGAACACGAACAATATCAATACAATTAATTAGAAATTGAAGATAAACCTAAGCAAAATGTAGTAGAATAATTGCCTCCTTCAAATATACAAGTTATAGAACCAAGACCAATAACTTACAATGAAAATATAATTAAATAATAATAATTAATTGAGTCCATTAATACTGATTAAACAAAATCGTATTAATATTCTCAATAGTATCAAAATCAATCAAAATATTAACAACAATAATATTCTTAATAATATCAAAATCAATCAAAGTATCAACAATAGCCAAGGTAATCCCAGCTTCTTAGAGATTAAGAATTGACCAGATAATTGACTGGACAATAGGAAGCATTATTAAACTATTAGTAAGAACAAGAAAATCACCTGCAGTCTCCTTATTCCTCAAAATAAGATATTCATCATCAATTCGTAGAACACTTTGATTCTAAAAATCAAGTTGGAGTAAGATTATCAGGCACCTAAGCATAAGTTCAGAGACAATTGACTGGTTCCATAGTGGAAACCAGAAGATCGATTCATTAATGATTAATTATAATGATAATATATAAATATCTAATTATTATCAAAAATATTCAGTTGATAGTATTAACTATGAATTTCAGAGTTCATTTGGAAGACCATGTAATCTTTCCAAATAATCCATTACTGGAGTACTTAAGGCTGCTTGAACTATGAATTAAGACAACCTAAGCTACCAACCAGCGTAGTACCCAATCAAACCTTTGTCTTTATAAACCTTCACAAAGGCTTGTGGGATAGTTAGTTATTTGTAATTTCCATTTTGTTCCATTTGATAAGCAGTCTTAACAGCATCAAATGGTTAAACCAAAAGGATGTTTGGAACTGCAGTCAGTAAACTGCACATTGCAATTTAAGGTAAAGTGAGTGCCTAACTGGGATTCTCCTTAAAGAAGTATCTAATCTTATGATCCCAATAGAGGTAATTCGTCCAGGATACCACCTACTTCAATACCATAGCCTCCATGCCGGTGTATAAATTTCTTACAAAGTGAGACAATGACCTCTCATTTCTCCATAACTATTTAAGTACTAATGATATATTAAAAGTAAGATACTTGATTTTGATTAATGTTGAGTCATCAATTAACACTTAATTCTTTCCAAAGGACAAGTCACAAACGACTCAAATAAGGCGATTGTTGCCCCTGCCAATCCTTTGTGCAATGCTGGGTGATTCTCTATCCAAGAACTTGGTAAAAGTTCTTTGTAGTATTTGGGTATCAATATCATCATTGGCCATCTATTGTGTTCATTTTTCAAATTTACCTGTAGTATTGTTTAAACAATTGAATACTGATTTGGGATGAGAAACCAGCAAATACTCCTTTAAGAACTCCGTTCCTTCGATATGTATCTTTGAACAATTATTTCATCGATGATTGGGTGCTCTCAGCTTGAAGTAAAGTTTTGAATCTATCAAACACATGATCAATTGGCAATCCCAGAATTACTCTAGATATACCAATTATCTAGGTTTCTAAGATAGGTTTCAAATATTTCTAAGTGCGAACTTTGTATATAGATTCAGACATCCTGATTATATAATAATTAATTAATAAGACGATTGAATTCTGGTTTAATAATTTAGAAATTTATCATTTTAATACGCACTATTTGCATTTGATGGACTGCCTTTATCATTAATTCATAATCTAATGATGCAACATTGATTATCATTCACACTTTTTTAATTAGATTTTAAATCATTTTATAATATTCCCCATCCATCACCTTTTTGAATTTCATCCCCTACTCCTCAACATTTCATTATTAAAAACCATAATTGTTTCATTTTCTAATCAGAAAACAAAAAAATCAATCCATCTTATATCGATTCAACAAAGAACTACATCACATGTAAATTATAATAATATTTGCCGTATCTTTTCATTCGATATATAATTTTTATTTATAAATTATTATTGTTTTTTTTCATTGCCCAATCATCTTATTTCCTTTAAACAGAAGAACAATTAAAGAATAGAAAAATTTAAATATTATGTATGATTATGATGATTTATTTATTCTCTATTTCTATGCAATATTATTGTGTATCGGAAAGTGTTTCTATTCAAATTTTTGAGTGAGATACAGGTTGCTCATTAAGTAAGTAATAACAATGTTTGCAGATTAATTATTATAAAAATAAACTAGAATGATTATGTTTTATATTAACACTTAATGAACGATATAGAAATTATAATCTGAGTTAAAATTCTTTAAATAAATTGATAATTCCTATTTCGAGTCCTTTTTTCATGATAACATAATTCCTTTAGGTTGTACTTGAACTATTAATTCTGCAAAAAAATTGTAGTTTACATATTTCTTTATTTTATTTTGAATAACATAAAATGAAACTACTCAATTATTTTTCATTTCTATATTTTAATTTATCTTTACATATGAATTAAAACATCAAACCTATTGCTGCAATCTTTATTGTAATGAAAGAGAAGGCATAGTTATTAAAATTTTAGATTTAATAGGATTGTTACTAATTAAAGCTTAATCTATCTTTGTTTTAACAATTTTAAATAATATAAAAATATATTTATTATTACAAGCTAGCTTTTTTTTTACGAAAATAGTGAGTTGTAAGTAGCAATAGAAAAAATTCAAATAAATACTCATAAGGATTGATTGATATAATGTTCAAATAATTTTGATTTGATGCATTATTAAGAGTATTCAGTTATAAAAAAAAGAATTAATTTTATAAATGAAAATTGCCTTTTTTTAGTGAGCTTGGTTGTTATAAAAGGAATAGAATTTGAATCATTTTAATAAGCTGTCAATTTGATCCAGAATCTATAGGTTCTCCTAATGCAAAACAGATGATGAATATAAAAATACTTATGAGGAGTATTGAAAAACAATAATAAAAGATTTTTCCCTTGGATTACAATTTTGGAAAAAGTGAGGTTGAAATGCAAGAAGATCATAGCGTTCTATCACAGGCGAAAGAGAAGATTATTCAAGCAAGAGAATTTATTGAGAGTCTTGATGAAGGTGAAATATGAATTTGATTCTTAGAACTTCAATAGGGGCAATAACAAAATAATAATGATTAAACTATTGATTAAGTTTCTTAGGTCTAAGATGTTTAGACAGATAAGGTAGAAGAAGTGAAAGAGACTGTTAAGAATGAGCAAGTTAAGAGGAGGGTAAGGATGATGAGGATCCTTTTGGGTGGAGATAAGGTGAAATACCTCAACTTTTAGCGCATAAGAAAGAAAAGCACATAAGAATACTCATGCATTTATTCAAATAATGAATAGAAGCAAATTAACAAAGTTCAAGAGTGTATGAGCTATTTTTTAAGATTAGAAAATCAGTAAACTTATTTCTACGGCTACTGAAATGTAGGAGGATCAAAATGATGATGGTTAAAAAAGAAGTTGGAGAAAAATTGAATTGTGTGAGGAAATTATAGATGAGTTAATAGATTGATATTATTCTTAGAAAAAGTTATGAATGATTATGTAAATTATGTTATGATATGCATTAGGATTATTAAAATGAAATCTATGAATTATTTAAGTAAAGGCAACGATAGATTTAAGAAGTTGCAACTAGTTGTAGTTAAAGAGTTATTAGCTATTAGGATGTAAGTTTAATTGAAGAGAAGAAATTTTAAGAGAAAAAAAAAATATAACATCAAATTAAATCTAAGAAAAGAAATCCAGTTACATTTGAATAATAACTTATAATTTAGAATAATTTACAAAACTAATTATAAAAATATGTTTAATAACTGTAGTTTTTTGCAAATCGTAATTGATGATGAAGAAAATTAACAGCATCGATTGGAATACTAAAAATAAATATTACAGAGGTAAGAATGTTGGGATTCTTGAGAGTATCAGGAAAATAAGTAAAATTGATATAATGATATTTGATATTTTCGATATTTATATTTTGATGTTTAATAATTATATTATTATTTTCTCATTTCCATGTTTACATTTAAACCAACTCTTCAGCAACTGATGGATGAATTCCTACAACATTATCAAGATCACTCTTTTTTGCTTTTAATTTGATTACAACACCGAAACCTTATGTCACTTCAGCTGCATCTGGTCCCAAATAGTGGAATCCAATAACGACATCATCTTCCTTTTTCACAATTAGCTTTGAATAACATGTACCCTTTCTGTTGGCAAAATTCCAAAACAGAGGAGTAAATTCTGATGTAAAAATCTTAAGATTCTCTTTTCCAAATTTCTTTGTGGCTGCCTCCTCTGAATATCCAACGCATCCGTATTCTAAAGGTGTAAAGACAGTTGTTGAAACATCTGAATATTCCATGATCTGATTTCCATTTTAATACAACCTTTTTATTAAGCGTTTACCACACATAATGGCTGTTGGTGTTAGTTCTAGTCTTCCTTATACACAATCTCCAATGGCAAAGATGTTTGAAACTGATGTTGAATCAGCATCATTTGCTATAATCTTACCAGATTCTTTATTAGTTTCCACACCCACTTATTCTAATCCTAGATTTTGTGTGTCTGCACTTCTTCCTATTGCAAGCAATACTGTATCAAAAACATCAGTTTATTCTTAGCCATTCAATACCCATTTCACTAATCTCTTGCCATCTACATCCTCTATTGAACTTGGAATGGTTCCTCTAATGAATTTGGTTCCTGATATTTTCATGAATTCACCAATTCTTTCAGCTATTTCTTAATCGAATCCTCTTAAAAGAATACTTCTCACCATTACAGTGACATCATAACCTAAACCTGTTAGAAATCCAGCACATTCTAATGCGACATAAGATGCTCCAACAACTAATGTTTTCCCTGGTGCATTTTCTAAAAGATTTATTTTTGAGTTTAATACTTAAAGAAAATAAATCATCTGAAGTAATGGTCAATTATTTAACATTGGGAATGTCAGTTGGAAATGAAGGTCTCGATCCAACTGCAATTACGATGTATTCTGCAGTGACAAACTCAGATTATCCATCTTTATCAATGAGTTCAATTGTGTGATCATCTTTTAACTTACCTATTATATATATAGAGGATTACCTAATTTATTATAATAGGTAATTCCGTTAGTTGTGACCAACCAATCATCATTACCTTTATTGATTCCTTTTACTTATCTTTAAACTTCATTCACCAAAGTATTCCAATTATGCTTTGAATGAGGATCCACTCCTTGCCATCCAGTTGCTGTCAACTCATGTCTTATTTCCCCTATCAATGCTGTCATATGCATTAACTTTTTAGGGATGCATCCCACGTTAGGACATGTGCCTCCTGTTCCCCATTACGTTCCATGTGGACTTGGTTTGATATAATCAGCTAATCCAACTCGTTTGCCTAACTTTTAGGCCTCATCAACCACTGTTAGACCACCAGAACCCCCTCCTATAACAAAAATGTCATATTGAAATTATGGATTCATTAACAATTTTATATTCAAAATTCTTTGCAATTTATATAATAATCTTCATCTTCTTCCTTTCCTACTTAAAAAAGCTGTTGTTCCTATTACTATCGGCCATTTGATTGGGGCCATGAGTTTGTAAATAATGTATGCTGCCGTAGGTGTACCATATGTTTCAATCTATTCCCATTTTCCTTGAGTGGTATCAAATCCTAACCTAATGTAAAATTAAAGATGATACTTTGATCCAACCTATTTCACATCAACTCCCTATCTCAATGCGAAGTAAACGATCCCATAATTGGCTAAGCAGATGGAAAAGTAAACGGTTATTCCCAATTTGCCATAGGTGGCAAAGAATTATTTTGCTTTTTATTACATTTATATTTATATTAATATATAGATATAGAGAGTTAATAGACATAAATAATTTTATTGAGAATTTTTGAAATAGTTTTTGTGTGATAATTTATTTTTAATATTACTAACAATATTATTTTTATCGAATAAAATTATTAATGCAAGGAAAGCATAACTTTATATTTTCTTTGGATGGAGAGCAAAAATCATTCTTTGTTTCAAATTTAGATGTTGCATCCTTTTGTCGTTTGATTCGATCTGCCTTTTAGGTTGACAAGACCATAACAGCATTACAAGATGCGTAAGGTAAATGCAATAATATAATAGGAAATATTTGTGATTTGCAATATTTCTGCCACAATCTGCATGTTCATAAGGATAAATTCTATGTCATACTGACAGAATAAAGAAAATCTGAAAGGAATAGTAGGAAGTCGCATAAAAGTAAAAATTCGAGAGTGCAAACAACCGAAGAACCCTCTTATTTAGTTGATTTCGGAGAATTCTTATAAGAAATCCAGCAAATTAGATTTAGGTACATTTGAAGAGTCATCTAGTCCTCAACATCCAGTTTTAACTATTGTGTTGGTGTTTGACAATGAATATTAGGCTGGAATCTTTGGCCAACCCATAGTAATGAGAATCTATAAAACATTTGCATTTCTCTAAGCCTATTACACGATAATACAGGAAGATGAATCAGACTCATTGTTATTAACGGTTTTTGAAAATTAAAATCTTAAACACGAAATGGAAATGAAAATTAATCATTCAATTGCTGAAGATGTGTGTTATTAGATTGAACAATTGTTATGTGAAGAAGAAGAGCCAGAACCTATATTGTAGGGTAGTTTTGCTACTCCCAATAGCAATGCAAATAATAATATCCCCTTGATTGTAACTAGGGGAAATGAGAAATAGATTTTATAGGTCGAGGCAAATGACAACTTTCATTCTAGTTAAGGCAAAAGAACTCATGGGTATAATTTGTGTTAATAAGTGTAATGAGGGTCAAAAAGGCTGTTGAAAAATTTAGAAATCGATTCGAATCCAGAGAATATGAATACCTCTTAGGATTGATTATCGGTTAAGATCAATCCGTCTTTGCTGCGTATCAACTGTATTAAAAATAGCAGGATGATGAAAACTTCATTAAAAATCTGAAATTACTGTTGCCTCAAGAGGACAACAACAATCTTTCATTGTAAAATTGAATATTTTATTTAATAGTTAAAACAACCTCAAATTCATAACCAGTCCCAGTAGGAGTGATCTACATTAATCAGTAAATTTTCCTTATGATTGTAATCCAACTCCTGGTTTGAGATCGTCTGTAACGATAATAGATTAATTACTTAATTCAGGTGATTTAGATTCAATTGAGACTGGAATGTTGAGAGAATTGAAAATGGACAGTGATTTAGATGATTTGGTCAAAAGTCTCATGGATTACCCTCAAGATGTACTATAATATTATATTCCTCAAGATTCTACTCTAAATAATAAGACAGTATTTGCAGAGTCAATTTCAGTAAGAAATTACTAAGAATTTTAATTCTCATTAAGTAGAGTATTTTCTTTAAGAAAATGCCAATAAATAAACTCCTATTTATGAAGGATTTCAAAGATTTGGATAAAATGGTTAATTATAAGATCTTTTTTCATTACTCAAAGAGAATGTAGGGCAATTAGAATAATAATTGAGGGAAGAAAATAGTTATTCCTATTATTTGATGCATAAACGGCGAAAGGATAGTCATGACGAACATTTTCATTTCCATTTGAATTTACCATAAATCAATTAATAGGAAGAACGGAAATTGAGTGTCGATTCGATATTATTGGAGAGTAAGAAAGAAATAAACTTTATTGATAAATATCATGTTAAAGTATTACAAAAATACAGCAATGAAGATTACGAAAAACTTTTTATGACTGTTTATGATCAATGTAGCAAATTCTGTGATGAACATGAAAAAGCTAAATTACATGGATACTATACAGCTTAAAACCAAAGGTTACTTGAAATATTAGATAAATATGGATAAAGATATGATATAGATTGCATTAAATCAGATATCAATGATTTATTGACTTTACAGAATAAAAAAATTGATGATATTCCTTCCCCTACTCATGGAGCTGTCATCGAACCTAAAATGCATAAATATTAAAATTTCAAATTTATAATAAATTTTTTATACGAAATTGATAAAGTCATCACTTTAAGGTAAGCAAAGGCATTTTATTATTTATATTCAATTGAAGATATGTCTGTTATGGCTGCTTATGAAGTATATTGTGAAACAAAAGAACAAGACGAGTTTTTAAATACTCTAAATCTCATATTTAAGGTTTATTCATCCTCTTCTAGATTTGACTTTAATGAAATCGAGCAATATGATAGTTTGATTGAACAATAATTAAATATTCTGTTTGCTTACAGAAGATGTTTGAATTAGGAACAAAGATTGGCATTGGAATAAGTAATAAATCAAATTATATTGTTTAGAACATGATATCATGTGATAATACTCTATTAAAACTCTTTAGGGATTTCCTTAGATAGAGAGATTAGAGGATATTCATTTAGAAGTTATCAGATTTTGCAAATAGTCAAATTGAAAAGCAAAAAGACAATTAATCAATGGATCCTTACATGAAAAAGATCGATTAAAACAATCAGCATAAGGATTTGATAAAGGATATCTGCGCAAAATTCTTAAAGACCAAAGTCAAACAAATAGATCTATTGATGGATGCAATTGACAAGGATAACATTATGATAAAGTCTTCATTGGAAGTCTATGATTATAATTTAGATAAGTAGGATTTAGTAGAAAATATCTAGCTCATATATAATTATATTTTGAAATCTAATGTGAAAAGCATTTTGAAAGCAAATCTAATTGAATTGGGAAGATCAAAAACTGATGTAAACATTTAATTATAATCAATAGTTGACCTACTTATTAAGAAATATTAATCAAGACGAACCCATCCTTAAAGGGGCGTTTGAATTGTATTTTTAAACGAAGGATGAAGCAGAACTAAAGGATACTATCAGTCGAATACTCAAATTTAGCAATATTTGATTATTATATTATATGTACAAAGTTGAACTTGTAGATTCATCCGAATTCTAAGATCGTTCAAAATACTATAAACATCTATTTCGCACATATTGTCAATGGAGCTTTCTTAAATACTTTGTGTATAGTATAATTTGGTTGATCGGTGGCAGAGTAATAATAATACTATCATCTTAAAGATCTCAATTCTTTATTCGATGCAAGGGTTGTATGTAATTCTTACTGGATTCGCACTAATTTTTACAAATTTAGGCACAAGAGAAAAAGGCACGTTGAGTGCATACAGCATATTCAATAAAGGATATAAAAAGTTGATGGGATAGATGACTGAAGAAGATGTGGCGAATATGTATAATATGGGTGGAGTCAAAAAGAAGAACGATGATTATAGTGATGATGATGATGACAAAATCTCCAAAGATTTTGAAGCACTGTCCATGGAGTAGATGATGGCAAAATTAGGTAAGTTGGGAAATAAACAATGCTTTTGTAATTCAGGCAAGAAATATAAAAAATGTCATTACTTTATACATCAAAGGATTAAATAGTAAGAAGACGAAGAAAGAAGAAAAGGAATTAAAAAAAATTGACAATATTATATGTGATTAATTCTTTTATCATAACTCATGCATTTTATAATTGCAATAATTCTATTTTTTGAATAGAGAGGATGCTTTGAATATAGAGCGAATTCATACTTGAGTGGGTTTACAAATACTGTAAATGTCTTTGTTTGCCATGTTTTGATATAGATTCCTTAGTGAATATTTGTCCTTTGTTCGATCTATGAAGTTAGACGGTTGGTTAGACAAACCATTAGTATTATAATAATGAGAAGAAAAGATATATTTAAGAATATTTCATATTTATTTGGAGTTTGAGTAAGCAAATCCAAACAGCATGATGTTTAATTGTAATCCAAAGGCAACTTTTATTATGAAAGATAAAGAAATAATCTTAACGAGTTAAGATGCAATCAAGTGATTCAAAATGGGTTATCAGATATTTTTAACAAAAGAATCTCTTCATCAAATGAATTTCTCGATAAGTTTACCTTTGATTCACAAAAACAAATATAATTTGGTTTCTGAAGAATCTGAAACTTTTGGTTAGGTGTTATGAATTAATATCATAAATATATTTTCCCCTGCAGTAATATATTAAGTATTTCATTAAAATAATTAAAAATTTATAATACATTTATGAAATAGTCTCCTCATCTTAAATTGTAGATTATAAAAATGCGTCCCATAGTATGTAACACTGAATTGGCTTTTATTATTCCAATTAATGAGGAAAAAAAAGTTTCCATGAGTAACAAAGTTAATTCATATCTAGAACGTAAAATGAAAACAAGTAATGAATAAGTTTAAAATGTACGCTCTAGATATTAAGAACTTTATTATCAGCAAGAATCCAACTTAGAATATTTGTATGATTAATTAACGGAAAGAATGGAAAAATACTCTCTTTAAAAATAAAAACAATTAGCAAGCAAAGCTAAATAAGCAGGTGATTACAATTTGAAATGGAAAGAAAGACTTTAACAATAAAAATGGTTAGACATTCATATGAGTAGGTTTGTCAGCTGAAAGAGAATTCTACTTTTAAGAAATGCAGCTTTAAGAGTTTTAAAGGAGAAATTCCAGAACTAAAAGTTTGGCCTTACCAAAAATTGAAAACACTAAAAAACTAACAGAGCCAACTCCTATTATTAGAAAAAAAGAATAACAATATTTTGATAAATAGAGAAAAATTATTTATTGTTCCTATCAAAGGGATTTGAAATAAGTAGAAAAATCATAGTATTCAGATGAAACGATCCTTTGAAATTGCTACTAAACTAGACCAGAATGATCATAGAATAATGAAATAAAAAACCTTAGACATAAAACCAAAACAAAAAGTGGCCTAAAAACATGATGACAATACGTTTCTTACATATGTTTGAAATCCCTAATTGATTATTCAATTAACATATTTAAACTTGCAACGAATGTTTACAATTATAATTAATTAATCAATGTAATATATATACATTAATTGCAAATTATCAAATTAGTTCATTTTAAAAATATTGGATTTTTTGATATTTTATTCTCCAGCAAATGGATAAATTCGTTAAGATTTATCTATTTATATGATTTATTATACCATTCCATCATTATCAGTATCACATTAATCTAAGATTTCTTACCACATTTATTCATCTATTTCTTCATCGAATAGCTCATTCAATTCTTGCTTTGTAATCAACCCATTTTAATCCAAATCAAATAATTTAAAAGATTATTCAATTCTATATCTACTTAGTGATTTCTCCTTGTTTATTGTGGCAGTGATAAACTCACTAAAGTCTACTATCCCAGAACCATTTGCATCTAATTGGGGAAATAATTCTTCTACAATAGTCTCAGCTGCTAATTTATCTCCTTTATGAATTTTTAAATAGGCTATTATTTATTATTTTAAATACCCTAATACAGTTCGTCCTTACTGACAGTTCCATCTCCATTTTTATCTATTTCTTGAAATATCTTGAGCAAATCGGTTTTTTCTTGGTTTGTAACTACTTGAACAGTGATAAACTAAAAGATTGCATATTTTAATTTATTTTTTGAATCAAAATCTTATAATTTACTGAGAGTTAAACTGTTAATTTATCCTTTTGATTTATTATTTTTGATCCATTCATGATTTAAGGCATCAGCAGCTGAAATCCTATTTGTGGGATTATACATTAGCATCCTTCGAATTAAATCTTTTCCGGAATTTGAAACTTTGCCCCAATCGGTTGGATCAAATGAATATTCCCCTTTTTTTACTTTTATCAAGACCTCTTATTCATTTGCTCCCATAAAAGGAGGATACCCACTCAAGAGTATATATAATATTACTCCAAGTGACCAAATGTCACATTTTTCGTCATAGTTGGCATCAAGCACTTCAGGGGCAACATAGAAAGGCTAAAAAATAAAAATTAAATACTGTTCCAATTCGTTTTTGGAGTTTCTCACAGTTCTATAGCTTAGCACTAGCACCAAAATCAATAATTTTAATTGAGGCTTGGCTGTGCTTTTAATCAAATAGAATGTTTTCTGGTTTTAAATCTCTATGGACAATTCCTTTTTAATGGCAATAAGACACAGCTGATAGTATTTATTTCATAAAATTGGCAATCTCTTTCTCTGTTAATATTGAAACAAGTTTAATTTTTTCAAATAACTCTCCCCCTTCACAATATTCACTAACCAAATAATAACTATATTTATCGGAAAATATCTCATATAATTTTACTATATTTGGATGATCTATATCCATCAAAATAGCAGTCTCCTCCAATAACCGTTCTTCATCCTCTTGCTTCATCTTCTCCTTCAATATCATTTTCACAGCCCTTATCATTCCTAATTTAGAAGTCTTGATGCTACTTACCAGTTTATTTATGAACGACTTTATAGACTTTACCAAATCCTCCTTATCCAATCATTTCCTTTATCAAATATGAATCATTAATGTTTTTTTTAGAATTGACTCTTACAAACATAGTTTGTTTAATGTTCCATTATTTAGAACTAGTCTTCATATATTCTTATTTAATTTCAACATCAGTAATATCTTTCGTATTTGATGAATTCTTTATTGGAAAACTTATTTCCTATTCTCTTTCAATATTACCATTGACATTAAGATTTATAATACTTTGTATGAATTCATTTTAGAACTATTCCGAAGTTTCTTTAGGAATCACTTAATAAGATGGATTTTCGAAAGTTTTTGAGGAGCAACATCCGTTTGGAAAGTATTTACAACAACCCATTAATAATAATAATTTATAATTAGTATGATAAAAATTTTTAATTCTTCTTAATTGTTGAATTTATTACCCCTTATAAAAACTTTAAGATATTGGAAGATTTCTTACTGTTTTTAGAACTAATAGATTCATTCTTAAAGTAAAGACTCAGAATGATTTAAAACAATAATGGCAAAATTGATTATATAGTATTTTTTGATATTGATAATTACATTTATAAATAACTTAAGCCTTAATAATGTCAGATTTCATTTAATCAGAACTAAATAACTTTGATTAAAATTAATTGAGATATCACTCTTTCAATCTCAGATTATGCCTTTTAAAGGGTTTGTCTAACTTACGAAAATTTTTCATATAATAAAATTCTCTAATAACAACCCATTGTTGTAACTAAATAATATCCAAGTATTCCAGTCATAATTTATTTTGGTGTAAAGGCTTCAATAATCTGATTCAATATTATATAATACTTTTAATATAATGCCAAAGTTTTGTATGTTGCATTTAATAATGATATATGTTAAGGAATAGGAACAATATCATCGATGCCATAGCTCTTTAAAGCTTCAAGTATCATGAGGTTTTTCATAATAACTCATGTATGCTAAAAATAACTTTTTATTAATGTTTTAGAGATAATTTTCAATTAATTTGCTGGTGATATATTCTTTCATCCAAAAACAGTATGTTGATTAAAAATGCATATGTTTGTTTGTGCTAGTAAAACAATTTAATAGATGAGTTGATTAGACAAACTTATCAATCATATTTTAGCTCTCTCTACAATTAACAAAGAATTTAAGAAATTCAATTAATTCGTCACAAAATTCGGTGCTTTTAATTAGTTGATCTTTATATTTAATACTTGAACATCATTGACCCTTATAGTCATTAATAGATTACATTTTCATAGTGCGTTATTCTTTTTTCTTCAGAATCTGTGAATAAATCTCTAAACCAAACTTAAGGCCCAGTATAATTTATGATATAATTTAAAAATGTTTGTAAGATTAATCCACAAGGATGGTCAGTTACTTTAATTTATTAATTAATAGCTCCCATAACTTCTCTAAAGAATTTTTTTTCATTTATACCCGTCTTGTTTCTATCTTCAAAGATAGTATTGGCTTAATACTCAAAAATGTTAATTTTTGAAATTTCTGTATCTTCAAAATGATTTGAAATTTTGTTTTAATAAATCAAAGGATTTGTTTCGAATTTACGTATAATCATTCTTATGCTTATTGATCTTCAAAATTATTTAAATCTACATTATGCAATCTCTATTTTATAACATCTGATCATGCTTAATGTTTATATTGACTTCTATATAATTTTCTTAAGGTATAATTAATCCCAGAAAGTTATATCTCAACTATTTGAGTTTTTATTAAACCAAAACAATTACAAGAAGTAAAACAATACTTTATTTTGTTTTCATAAATAAATATGTTAGAATTTTCAACCTATGATGACTCAATCGTCTTTGTATGTTGGCCTGATGTAATAGAAAATATACTTAAAAATAATTTAGAAGAATCCTTTGTTTCACTTTATTATGACTTAATTCCCATATAAATAAAAATACTATTACATCTAAACAAAAATGATGATCCAAATGTATATGTTATACTATAAATATTCTTAAATAAAAGTTAAGTTATGTCAATTATCGATTATTTATACTTATTGATATTGGATAGCCTTTATGACTCAATAAAATTAATTGTTAAATTTTGAAGATTGTATTAAAATGAACATTCATATTATTATTTAATTCTATTTGTTATTAAAATCCTGTTTCTAAACAATTACTAATATATATATATATATAAATTAAATTTTAGAAAGTATATTGAAATTATTAAAACTATACATCGTGCCTTTGTAAGAAAAGGTAAGGAATAATTATAAAATGTTTACAAAAATTTTTTAAGGTTTTCAACTTACAGTTGATATTTTTATTTATATTTAAAATCTAATTCATTCATAGCAGGCCTTATAAACTTGCATTTAAGAAGATTCTTTATTCCAAATGACTATATATTTCTGATCATCTTAAATTGTTCCATAGCAGCTTGCTGCGTTGTTTACAATCACATCGCCATCTATATAAAAGGAATCATTTTTTGATTTTTTAATTCTATAAATATACTTATTTTAATTAAGAATTAAAGTTTGTGTTGAAGAATTATATTTTGAAGGGAAGAAACAATAGTCACTTCCAAATTCTGAATCAACAAAGGGCTTTAATTTAATACTTAATTCAGGCTTATGCTAGAAAATTCCATTTTCAAATTTAAAAACCTGGGCTATTGGTTTTGAATTTTAACACCATATAATCGTATCATCTGAACAAAAATTGATTCTCAGTCCATATTCATCTACATCTTGATTAATAATATATTTGAACTCCCATTTATTGTTCTCATTTTTACTCCAGATTATTATAGATCTATCTTCACTGCAAGATACCATCTCAGTATCAGTTGAATTCAAAGATATCTAAAATACTTGATTTTTGTGTTTGTTTAGAGAATATTTATACTCAATTAAATTATCACCACTCTTAACACTCCAAATTTTAATTGAATGATCGCTACTCGAAGATAAGAGTTCATCTTCCTTTTCATTCAATAGCAAACATAAGATTGAATTAGAATGCTATGTATACGCTTTTGAACCCTCCCAGCTATGAGAACTAAACCATGATTTTTTATTTCTATCAATCCAACATCTAATTGAATTGTCCATTCCACCTGATAAAAACCAATCAATTTTCTTACTGAATATAATACAAAAAACAACGCTCTCATGCCCTTTTAGTAGAATTTTTTAATCAATCAAAATTCCATCTTTAAATTTCCATATTTTGATATCATTATTGCATGATGCAGCTATAAGAGAACCATCCCTATTAATTGCAATACCAGTACAAATTTCCTTCTATTAAGTTGAACTAATTAATTTATAATTTATAGTCTCTGATTTTTCATTACTTTCCTCTTTAGCAATTACCCTTGATGAAATATTGGATGCCAAATTTTCTGACTATTCATTACTATTTTTAGTAATTAAACTTTATGAATTGCTAGGCGTATATAAGAATTTATTCTCACTAATTAAAGATTGATTACTTTCTTCTTGGGTATCAGGATTGACTTCTTCATTTTGGCTAATAATGTTATGAATCATGATTTAAGCCTATTCATCATTTAATAAGTCCTTTAAGAATTCGACATTTTGATGAGTTTTTTTTGAAAAAGTTGTTATTAAATTCTTTAATTTATACTATAAATTCTTTTTTCTCAATCGAAAACAAATATTAATTCGGAATGTTAATTTTATCAATTTCTTCTAAAAGACTATAATAGGAAGATTTTTAATTTAATTCAAGCAATGTTTTTTTCTATAACTCCAAATGATTTAAGATTTGTTCAAATTTTTGTAAAACTAAGGATTTAGTATTTTCTAGATAATCTTGAAAAATTTTTATTGCATCAAGTTTACTGTTTATATATATTGTTTTCTCATGGAATAACTAATCCTTTAGTTCCTATATCTTTGTAATAGCTTCTTAATATGAAATACCATTGATTTTTCCTTTTATTGATATTAAACAATAAGGACACTTCAATCTTTCGTTTTTTTTAATTCCTTCATCCAAATCAACCAAAATAATAGGTTAATCTTAATGATTATTTGAGCAACTCAAATTATGTTGTGACTCAATCATTTAACATTATTGCATTCTGTTTAAACAGATATTATTATAATTATTGTAATGCATTGATATATATCTAATTTATATTTCAGAAAACCTATTAAAATTTAAAAACATACAAATCTTTCAAAGTATTGTGTTGGATAATTATAAACCTCATTCAAAAAGCTTTATCTTAATATAATACAAAAGTCCTAAAGATAACATTCAAAATTTATACATGCAACTAATGAAGTAAATAACTTTTCTAATTTGATTAGTATTTGATCACTCATTGCTTTACATCATATTTTTCAATATTTTTCATATATTTCACTATTTTATTTCTAAACAATTTAAAGCAATTTAGATAATGCTAACTCCTGAAATAATAATTAGAAATGGGACAGGAATTTAATATGAATTAGCATCTTGAAACTAGAAATTGTTGTTAAGTATTGTTTATCATAAGTAAGAAGCCGAATTTGATAATTATACTAGAGTAGACAATATTATTGTTTTTTAACTCAAGAATATTTAGGTTTTTTATGAGCTCAATTTTTTATATGCGGCTCCGCTAATAAGAAATTTATATTTGCCATAGAATTTAACAATTTAAAGAAAATCAGCTTCATTCAGTATAATAAGATGGATAAACTGTGTTCCAAATTTAATCATCTTTAAAAATTGAGATAAGGTTTACTTTATCACTTTCAATAAAATATGGATATAAGATTTTTCTAGATTAAGAGGGAAAAATTAAGAATTAAAGAATGAATTGATTTTCAAATTGTTTAATTTGGAAATTTAAATGAGAAGATTATTTCATTTATAATTTGCTTCTATTATTTTAAATATATCAAAGCAATAATCTATTTAAATTTTTCTTAAATTCGACAACATAAAAGATTACATAAAGTCATCCACATATGCTTTTTATGATACATTTTCATCTTCTCAATCTAATTTTGAGGAACTTTATTAGTTTTGAAGTAGGTGTAGATTTCTTTTCCAAATCCTCATTTCTTCTCAAGCTATCTTACACATTTCATTATTTAATCGGTAGAGCCTTTTCTAAAAAGAGTGTTTAAATAATTAAATGCTTATTTCCAAAAAA